AAACGGCTGCCACGTGATCCTGGATTTCTGAACAACCAGCCCAGTCACAAGCAGAGACTCATCCTTCGTTCAAACTCCCGGTGAGGACACCGTGCCACCTGGCCCGGGTCAGGAGCTCACAGGGCATGAAGACATCACTCTGCTGTGACCATGTGCGCAAGGCATGCGGTGGAGGGAGACCTCCGCTGGGTCCCCTGAGCCTGGAAAAGCACAGCTCCAGGCCTGCTCCATGGGGGCTTCTGAGGGGAATCCGGCCCCCGAAGGCTCAGGCCAGGCCGGGGAAGCTGGCGTGGTCACAGGCCTTCCAGTCCTCAGGCTGCGGGCCGCCCCCTCGACCCGTGGCCAGGCAGGCTCCGCCGGCCAGTCTAATGAGAAGGCCCAGCCCCGAAGGCGCAGAGGCTCCCGCAAGCCCCTCGGCCGGTCAGCGGGCCGCCCCGCGGACCAGGCAGCTCTTCCCACTTGGAGCTCAAGCTGGGGTTTCTCTTTACGCCAAGAAAAGTCTCCCAGGCTCCCTGCCGGAGCCTCCGCAGGCGCACGGGGAGGGGAGGAAGTGCACACGCAGCACTTGGCTGCCTCCCGGTGCAGAGTCACCGCTTCCCGGCCTGAGCAGGCCCCAGCCGAGGGAGGGACCTGCCTGGCTCGCAGGGACCCCAGAACAGAGGTTAATTCAGGTGAAGGCGGCACAAGCGTGGAGCCGCGCCCTGGCCGAGCCTCGCTGGCTGGCCCTGCAGGACCGTCGCGGCTCTGCAGCCTGGCCTGAAGGCTCTGGGTGCTGCTCTGTTTTCAGCAGTCAAGGCCCGATGATTCAACAGTTAAGAAACAGTGGATTCCCGTCCAAGTCGTTTTCTGGGGCACGGAGGGGTTAGGAGAAATTCCTTCTGCTTCACCCCCTGCTGCTGAAAACATCTCTGGACTCCGAGCGCTCTGGGCAGTATCGGTCAGGGGACGGCATCGGGAGCTCAATGACACCCCTGTGGATCTCAGTCTCAGGGAGGCCCCTGACTTCGCTCCAGCCTCATCCCCTTGTAAAGTTCCTGAAAGGGCTGCGAAAGCACCTCCTCCCTCCGTGTCCCATGTGCACTCAGCCAGGCAGACCTGGGTTCCAGCTCCAGGCCGCCGTATACTGTGAGGCCTTGGGCGAGTGGCTCAGCCTCTCTGTGTCAGACTTCTCGTCAGCACAAAGAGGGTGACATTGAGGGGACCCACCTGCGGGGACTGTGAGGAGAAAAGGTGACACAGCCTGCTCCCCTCCTGGTAGGGGTGTGAACCGGCTCTGTCTGACCCTGTGACCTCAGCCGTCCACCACCAGCTGTCTCTCCAGGGCCACTAAGAAAGCCTTGGGGGGGTCTCCATCCACCCCGAGTCTTACAGGCAAGGAAGCCGAGGGGGCAGGCACCACAGAGACCCCTGAGACCCCATCTCAGAAAAACTGGAAATCTGATTCCACATGTGTTTGGGAGTTGCTTGGGGTTGGGGGTTGAGGGTGACAGGGGACAGCTCTGGAATAAAGGAGAGGTGGTCCTCAGCGTTGTCCTGCACACTGGCCCCTGTGCAGCGAAGACCGCGTGCTTGTGGGGGTAGGGGGTGGGGCCTGCTGATCGTTCTGCTCTTCTGGCCAAGAGCTTTTCTGTCAATTTTTATGAAATGCAAAAGGAGTTTTTGTTTTATTCTGTTTTTTTTTGTAAAGCTTAAAAACACATCTACATCTTATACTTGAGCTTCCATACTTTAAAAAAAAGGAAAAAAAAGAACAAAAATAAATAAATAAAAAGAAACCCATCTCAGGCTCGGTCAGCAGAGCTACAATGGAACTCGCCCGGCCTCCCCCGGGGTGAGGCTCCCCCCGCACAGTCACAGCAGCCCCAGCGTGACCACTGCTCGCCAGCTTCCGTACACAGCAGCAGACTTCCACATCTCACTGGGCACCGACTCGGCGCCAGGCCCTCCGAGGTGTGCGGCCTGGTCACCCCACTCAGTCCTCTACCTGGGAGGGCCACCCATCACCTACAGTTTAAGGTCAGGAGACTGCCCCAGAGGTCACATCTGGGCCAGCATGCTCTGCCCCTCGCCACTGGGCACACAGCCCCGTATGGCCTTGCTGCTAGGACCCTCTGTCTGACCAGACTCCACACCCCTTGGTTCAGGTTCCACTGAGCAAGCACCTGTCGCTCTGGGCAGTTCCTTTGGGCCAGCTCCTCAGGCTTGGATCCATCAGCTGGGGCTGGGGGCTGGCGGAATGGAAGGCCCCCTGCCAGGGGCTGTGGGGAGGTGGCAGGTGTGATAAGGTAAGTAAACCATTTTTGTGAGTTTGTGAGCCACTCTAGCAAATGATGGAACCCGAGGAGGGGGTCATGGGAACCTCTGATGTTCAGCCAGGAGGTCCAAAGCACAAGTGACAACCTGGACTTGTGACCGGCATCTGAAGGGGGGGAGGGGAGGGAGTCTTGTGGGACAGAGCCCTTAACCTGTGGGGTCTGACGCTATGCCAGGTAGACAGTGTCAGACCTGGGTTAACTTTGTGGAGGGCCCAGTCAGTGTCCTTGGAGAACAGGAGGGTTTGTGAGGGAGAGCAGCCCCCCAAATGTGGCACCTGCAGCCGGGGGCAGGGGGCAGATATCCTCAGCAGAGAATGGGCTGGGACCCCTCAAGGTCACCCCCTCCTCACTTTACGGATGAGGGAGCAGCCCCCACGGGAGGTGGCCCACCCATGGTCACACAGCCCGTGATGCCAACCCAGCTCTTCCACCTTCCATGTGCCAGTGTGAGGCGCACAGGGCATGCCCGCGTCTCACTCTGATGGGATTCCAGCCCCTGCCCATGCTGCAGGGTGTGCTCGTCTGAAGGGTGGATAAAATGGCGTGGGCTGGTCCAGACAACAGCACCAGCTCTGAGTGGCCCCATGGCCCACCTCCTGTGTTCGCGAGTAACCTCCAGAGTGTGGGCAGGGCCTGCAACTGGCTTCTAACCAACAGGACCCTGCAAGGGTGATGGGCCGTCACTTCAGCAGTAACCAAACGAGAGGGTGTCAGCAGTCTTGCCAGGGGGCGCTCTCCCTTGCCAGCTCTGAAGAAGCTGCCACGCGGTGAACGGGCCTCAGGACAGGGCCACGTGGCAGCGAGCTGAGGCCAGCCTCTGGCCGACAGCCAGCAAGGCACCTAATGCTGCCAACAACCACGTGAGCTCAGCAGCAGGCCCTTCACCAGTGAGGCTTGAGCTGAGAGCAGAGCCCCAGCCAAGAGCACAGCAGCAGCCTGATGAGGCCCTGAGCAGAGGACCCGGCTAAGCCGCGCTCAGAGCCCAGGCCCACAGCAACTGTGAGAGGACAGTGTTCCTTTGGCCGTGAAGTTCATTGCAATTCATTACACAGCAGCAGACAACAAATACACAGAGGGTCCCTTGCCACGGCCCTGACGACCACTCTGCCGGAAGCATCCAGATGTGGCCAACCAAGGCCAACAGGGAGAAGGCAGGACAGCGTTTCCACTTCAGGGCGCCTGCCCACCATGAAAACGACTCCATGGACTACGGAGGAGGATTTCTGAAGTCATGACCAGGGGAGTGCTCTAGAAACACACCATTAGCCACCGTCGCCGATTAACAGGAGTTCGCAGACCCATTTTGGAGAATGCCCCGTGATGAGTCATCAAAATCAACTTATCTTCTCTCCTTGAAAAAGACAATCACAGCCCTTCTGTTGGCAAATGCAGCTGCTACCTAAAGGACCAGTGATGTGTTTCCTCCCGGGAAGTAGGGAGTTCCCTCCCCAAGGATCCAGGAAGAGGCAGGACCCCCGCTGTCCCGCGGTGGCATCAACCCCATCGGTGCACAAACCCAAGCAGGTGTCAGCACCGAGAACAGCCTCAGGAGCCACTCGAGCAGCCCTCTGGTTTTACTGATGGAGGGACTGGAGCCCAGGAAGGGTGAGGGGCTTGCCTGAGATCACACAGCAGACTGGAAGCATGACGAGGAGATTCTGGGTCCCGACGGCCAGGCTCCACAGCGCCCACAGTTCCACCATGATGTCCACTCCCAGAAACAAACTGTCTAAATTAACAGGGATCTGCAAATGATCAAGTTCACGCCCCCACCCCCAAATATCAACAGGGAAGATATCCCCCAGAATTCCTGCCAGATAGTCGTGCAGCCTCCACTTGCACACCCTTGATGACAGGGTGCTCACTCCCCGGAGGCAGTGTGTCCCACCTCTTGTCAGCTCTGCTGATCCAAACATTTTTTCTTTCGTGGGCTGAGCAGAAATCTGCCCTCGGTCTGGCTTCCGTGTTGGATGTTCCGTGTTCCGTATGGAGGGTGGCATAGAACAAGCTGTTCTGTTCTCCACCCAAGACCCCTGGGACTGTCTCTTCTCTCCCCTGGCTGAAGCCCTACGCCCAGCCCCAGCCACTCCTCCTGGGCACAGCTGCCACCTCCAGCCCCTCCGGGCCCTTGGAGGATGCCCCAGACATGCAGAGCTGCCGTGAACCGTGTGCCCCCAGCACCCTCCCTCAGGTGCCCATCCCCGAGCCTGGTGAGAACCATGGTCACTGCTCTCTGCACCCCATGACCAAGGGGGGCCTAGGGAGAGGGAGGGGCTCAGAAACTGTGGGTGCGCAGTAAGCGTGGGCTGGGTGAGGCAGACCTCCTGCCCTTCGGGACCTGCACCCCTCGCCTTCTGCCGGCATCTCAGACCTAGACCTGGAGTTCTTGCACCTTCCTGGGGTGTCTGCTGCCCAGCTCCACTTTCAAAACATCCCAAATGCATTTTGCTGCCCTTTTTTTTGGGAGCTGAACCATGCCCACAGCAGACCCAGATCCGAGACCTCTCAACAGTCAGTTACTACCTGCTAGGGCTGCCGGAACTTTTTATCCATCCGCCAGGAAAAATCTGTTCCTTACCTAGTGCCACCCACTGGTCCTTCACGCTCATTCCACCTCCCGCTGAGAAGCAGAAAAACATCAACACTTCCTGCCTCACATGACAACCGCATTGTTAAGAGTGTTTCTCACAAAATATCTCATTTAATTCCCCAAACAGTCCTGTGAGCTTGTTTCTCTTGAGCCCATTCTGCAGACGACGCGACAGAGGCTTGGGAAGCCTGAGACTGGCCTGAGCGCACCTGCTGCGGGGCAGAGCTGGCTGCAGTGAGCAGCTGTGGGGCTGCTGTTAACACTTTATACCACTGATGTTTCCATAAAGAACAACTTGCTTCTGAGCTTCCTAGCAGCCCTCGCAAAAAGGGTGATGAGAAAAGTCACCTGCTTCTCACCGTCTGAGGACCTGACAGGCAGTGCCAGTTCTCCAAGCGCCCCACAGAGAGCCGTCTGTCACCTGCATCCTTGCTTATGGGTCACAGAGGGACAGAATGGCCAGTGTCTCCTCTGTAGGAAGAAGCTTCCAGCACAGAGCCCCGTGGACTCCTTGGCCTGGCATAGGCTGGGGTTGGAGCAGACCCAGGAGGTGGCTTCACGGAGGGCAAGGACCCTGGACATCTCTGGGGTGGGTGTGTGCATGAGGGTGCCTTCTGAGCCCCCCTCCCTTTGCCTGTCCCCCAGACCCCTCCTCGCGGCCATGTCTCCTGGTGCAGCCAAGGGTGTGGGAGAGAAGCAGTGGGGGAACCTTGTCCTCGGGACGGAGTTCTGTGGCCCAGGAGACAGTCTGGTGCCTTCAGAAGGTGTCAGCACCACTCTGCAGCATCAGGAGAGCAAGCCTGCCTTTGGAAGATGCCTCTCTCCAAGGGTTCTGTGAGGTGAACCCTCACTGAGTGACCACAGCACGGGGCCGGGGCCCCAGTGGCTGAGCAGGTAAGGCCCTGACCTCATCGCCAGGCCTGTGAGGAGATGCTACCATGGGCCCCAGAAGTGGGGACTCAGCCTGTCTAGGGCGTCGGCAAGCTGGGGCAGGAGGGCAGGGAGTCCCGGAAGGAAGCAGCAGCAGGTGGCAGGTGTGAGCACCTGTGGGTCCTGCAGCCTGACCCCGTGCCCACCTCACCCACCGCCTGCACCCAGCCGTTTCCTGCCTGTCTCTGTGCCTTGGCCAGTGCTGTTCCCTGCCTGGAACACACCCCGCCCCCCCAACCATGGATCATCATTTGAAACACCCTTATGCGTCTCCTCCTCCCATCTCCCTGCCTCCTCAGCAAGGCCCAGCGCCCCCCGGACCCCCGGAATCTGCCTTCCTCTCTCCCGGCACAGTGCTTAGGCACGGCTGAGGTCCCTGCTGGGCTCGGGGTCCTCAAGATCCAGGCCAGGCGTGAGGCTCCTCCGTGTCCCCAGCAGGAGCCTGGCCCAGAGGGGCAGCAGCGAGTGGGGCTGAGGTCAGTTGACTTCTACCGGCTGAAGGGCTCAAGCGTCTCAGGTGGAGGGAGACTGGGCCTGCCCTCCCACACACCAGGGTCTGCACTGGGTGGACATGCGAGTCTCTCGCCCCATGTGGCAGACGTCACCATTCCCATTTTACAGAGGGGAAACTGAGGCTCCCGTAACTTGCTCAAGGCCATGCAGCTCAAAGAGGCTGAGGCCACATTCACACCCACATCTTTTGGGCTGGTTTTGTTGTTCTCCCAACCCTGAATCGGTTCTCCTGGCACCCCGCTTCTGCCCCGCTGCCTGGTAGCCGGCTTGGTGCAGCAGGCTGCTAATGCCCAGTGTGGCCTATGGGGTGAGTCTCAGAGGCTGGGTTCCGGGACTGAGGAAGGGCCTGCAGCGGGAGCTGGGGCCCTGGGCCCTGAGGACGGAGAACCGAGCCCCCACTGAACTCACGGAGCCAGGGCCCGGGGCAGCCGTGTGGGCTGGAAGCACCCACCCAAGGTGGGATCGGAGGCAACCCCTCTTGCCCAGCGGCCAGGATCCCAGCCCTGACCCCTCCCTCAGGGCCTGCCCCAGGCCCAGCAGCTCCCAGGGAGGGCGTTCGCACAGGCAGGGAGAATGCTGAGTCCAGGCGTCAGGACCTGCGGGGACCGCTCTGACACAGAAGCCCGTGCCCCGCCTCCGCCTGTGTCAGCAGCCGTGGTCCTGGCTGAGGGCCCCCACTTTCAAGACGGATTCAACAAGTTCACCCCTCGGGGAATTATGAACCATCCACAGCAACATCTGCATTTCCTGACTCTTCCAACTAAACGAAAAATCTATACTCTTAAAAAAGGAGCAAAAAAAAAAAATTAGCCCTTGAAAGGAAATTTAAGACTTGAACCCTCCCAATGGCCATAAGGATTTCCAAAGACCAAAACCCTGATTCCAAAGCAAAGTGCCAGGGCAGAAAAGAGGCCACCGGCAGCAGCGCAGACCTCGCCAGGCCGGGGGCTACTCAGCAGGCAGTTCTGAGCATCCGAAATAGCCTGCGCCTGGCTGGACACAGGGAGGACCAGGGTCACTCCCACCCGAGGCGCTCCCGGGGACAGACCGTTCAACGAAAGACGGTGACGCAGCATGACGGCGCCATCCTACCGGTGCGGCAGAGGGGCCAACGGAGAGGGCCTCCCCAAGAGCTGGCTTTACCTGGATTCTGAACAACAGGACTGTGCTAAGCAGAGAAGAGAGAGAAGCATTTCCAGGCCGAGGGAACAGCATGTGAAAAGGCTGAGGTGTGCAGCGCACCGCAGCAGCACCTCCCCAGCCCCAGCACCAGACCCCACCCAGAGAGCGGTAAACACAGGGGGCTGCAGCGGGCTGGGGCCCAGCTCAGAGATTCGGATCAGCAGGCCGGGGCGGGGGGCCCACGATTCTGCATTTCTAACAAATGCCCAGGCGAGGCTAACCCTGATTGTCAGACGACACTCTGAGCAGCGGCGGTCTAGAGCTCTCTCTGTCCAATGTGTTAGCCACCAGCCACATGTGGCTATTTGAATTTCAATCATAATTACATAAAATTACACCCTCAGTTCCTCAGTCTCAGCAGCCACATCTCAAGTGGCCAGTGCAGTGTCTATCACATTGGACAGCGCAGATCTGGAACACTCCCACCGTTGCAGAAGGTTCCACGGGGCTGCGCAGGTCTGGAGGGTTCAGGAACAAGCAGCGGTCCAAGCTGAAGTCTTGAGGGGTCAGAGCAAGTGCGGGGAGATGAGCTTGAGCTAGCCGGCCGCTAAGGGAAGCAGCTGGGATTCGTCCATGGAGCTGAGGATGATTTTCAGGTTTTGAGAAGTGGAGGTTGGCCATCAGGATGGGAGAACAGATGTGGTGGTCGTCTCCTTCGAATCTCACGGCACAGGGTTCTGGCTCCCAGTGCTCACGGAGCAGCTCGTCTAGGACAAGCTCTTCTGTTAGTAACAACTGTAACCCTGGACGAAAAGAAGAAAGGCTGAAGGCACTGGAGAGTGATCAAACACAGGTACGACCCGGAGGGGAGTGTGGCCCTGAGAGAAGCGGGCACACAGGTACGATCTGTATTGGTACGGCTCTCCCTAAAGGATACTGCCGACTGCGCAGGGCACGGAGGACGGAGGTCAACCAGAAAGCTGCTGGCTCATCACCTGAGGAGTGGTGGACAGAGCTCAGTGCTGCCAAAACAACCGGAAATTGAGGGGAAAATCCTGGAGAGGAGGGACACACAGAGGGGGCACTCCAAAATCTGCATATAAACTGCTCTGAAATCCTTGGCTGACTCCTAAATCGCACAGGAGTGACTGACAGTCCAAAGGGCCAAGGACAAGAGCCAGAAGTACAGCTGAGCAGAGCGTGCAGTGCTGCATGCCACAGGGAAGACAGAATTTGGAACTCAAGTTCTGCCAAGTTAGAGGCACCAGGAAAAACCTTGGCTTCCCATGAAACCCCAGAAAGACCCACTGTAGAAGGACGGACCTGTCCAGGACTACAGGGACATGGAATAAGAAATCAGAATAGGGCCCGGCCTGGTGGTGCAGTGGTTAAGTTCATATGTTCCGCTTCGGCAGCCTGAGGTTTGCTGTTTCAGATCCCAGGTGTGGACCCATGCACCGCTTGTCAAGCCATGTTGTGGTAGGCATCCCACATATAAAATAGAGAAAGATGGGCATGGATGTTAGCTCAGGGCCAGTCTTCTTCAGCAAAAAGAGGAGGATTGGTGGCAGATGTTAGCTCAGGGCTAATCTTCCTCAAAAAAAAGAAAAAGAAATCAGAATAAAGGCAAAACAGAGATACATCTGCCTTAACAAAGCCTAATGCCAAGCCTCTGCCAACCCAAAGTGATTCCCTGATAATTAAACGAGCAATAAAACAGAACTCAGCCATCTTCTAGGAAGACAACTGAATTTAGAATCTCTACAACATCTGGAAAGCATCCACAACATCCAGTATACAACAACAACAAAATCTAATCATAGGAAGAAACAGGAAAATGTGACTCATAGTCAAGAGAAAAACCAGCCCAAAGGAACAGACCCATAGATGACCCAAATGCTGGAACTGGCAGAAAAGGACTTTAAACTTGATGGATAATGACTGAAGAGATGGAAAATTTCAGGAGAAATTACCTGCAAAAAGATCACCAAATGAAAATCCTAGAAAGGAAAACTACAATATCTGAAATTATTACAAAATCTATCACTGAGTAGGGTTAACAGTACGTTGAATGAAACATAAGAAAGGACCAATGAACTCAGAGACAAGTCAAAACCGAAGTCATCCAAAGTGAGGCACACAGGCTAAGAGATTAAAATAAACGGAGCCTAGCGGTCTGTGGAATGGCACCAAGCGCCCTAGCACAGGGATGAGTGGAGTCCTATGAGGAGAGGGGAGAATGGAGCAGAAAAAGATATTTATAGAATATTGGCTGATTTTTTTTCAAATTTGATCAAAAACAGTAACCCAGGGATTTACAAAGTTCACCAAACTTTGGGATAAATAAAAAGGAAATTACATCTTATGAAGAACGTTATATAAAACTGCTGAAAACTAAAGATGAAAACAATTCTTAAAATCAGCCAGAGAACAAGCATCCACTCCACAGAGGATGCAGCAATAAACCCATGATTCACTTATCAGAAACCATGGAGTCCAGAAGACAATGGAATGACAACTTTAAAGAGCTAAAAGAAAAATACTGCCAGGCCAGAATGTTATACACAACTAAAACATCTTCGAAGAATGAAGACAAAATAAAGACATTTTCCAGAGGGACAGCATACTATAAGACATGCTAAAGGAGAGCTCAGGCTGAAAGGAAATGAGGCCAGGTGGAAATTCGTATGCGCAGGAAGCAGCAGAGTGTACAGGAAACAGTAAATACGTGGGTAAACATGAAATGTTTTCCTTTGCACATTTAGAAGTCAACAGGCTGTTTCAAGCAACAGCAACAGCAGCGTGCTCTTAGGTTGCTTTTGCGTTCTCCGTGAAGTCGTCTTAACACTGATCCACAGCAGATGCTGACACACGAGGGACACGCATCGCAAACCCTGAGCAACCACGAGAGACCCCAGCACAGGGACGCAGACCCCCACGAGGGACGGCGCTCATGCAACTTGGGACTGTCTGTGTGTCACCCTCTCTTCCTCTCCACAGCCCCAGCCACCCAGGACGCCCTGTCCCCCTACTCCAGCCTGGCACAGCTGAGCCCCGGGCCCTGCCAGCACTACCACTCGTCCATCCTGACGTGCTGGTGCCTGCTGGGCATTCTGGAGAGCACCAAGCAGGGTCCCAGCCACACAGCGCTCAGCCCTCTCCAGGGGCTGAGTAAGTATGTGCTGAACACGTGAACCAAGGTGATGCTTTTAGCTCCAACCGAGGGTGCAGTTCCTTCGCCCCCGTGAGTCCCCGCCCTCCACCCTGGCCACAAAGCTCCCATTCTCCGCGCTGCGCAGACGGCTTGCAGGGGGAAACAGCAGAAAAACTCACGTGGGCAAACGCTTGGCCACCCCACCCCAGGACAAATCATCTGACGAGACGGGGCTGGAGCCCTACAGAAAGGCCCACTGCGGCCTCTCTGGATTAAAAATCACTGGACCCCCAACTACCCAGGCCATGGAAATTTCCCAGCTACCCCGGAGGCCACATCCTCAAGGCACAAGAGGCCGGGGGATTACTACGTGGTTTGATGCGCCTCCCCTCCTAACACACGGAGCCGCCTGGGAGGAGCAGCCCAACGGTCCTCTCTGGGGCCAGCCGCACTGCAGCAATCGACACCGGTCACCTGCACAGCTGAGCCCCTGCCGGGGCCTGGCTGGGGAGCCCCCAACACCCACTCACCCTTTCCTCTTTGTCGCATCCTCAAGGTCTGACAAACAAGGAAACTGAGGCGCAGCCCCTGCAGCCCCCAGCGGAGGGCAAACAAGGGCGGGGTTTCTGTGATCAACACGGTGAGACGTGGATGCTGTCTGACCTTCATTCTGGAAGAAGTTAGAGGGCAGTGACGTCCAAACTGGGATCATTCAGGTACCATCTTTGTGACGTTGGCCCCCTGCACGCACCAACTAAACAATCACCTGTTTAATATTTTGTACTAAACTGACTTGTTTTATTGAAACGGATTCATTTTGAAAGCACACTTCACTCATCACCAACAACTGGAGGGCAGGACTCTCTACCCTCACTGGAAGGTGAGAAATAAATGCACGCCCAAATTAACTCCCACATGTCCCCTCTGGTCAAGGGCCTTGCCAGGAAAGAGCCTCCTGGGAGGTGGCAGTGCCAGGTTTGAATCCTGACTCTGGAAGTTGCTAACTGTGCAACTTTGGGCAAGTCACTCAACCCCTCTGAGCCTTGGTTTGCTTCCTGTGGCACCAGATCACGGACACCCCACAAGGTGGTGAGGCTTAAATGTAACAATGCAGATATACTGTCCAAGGCAACAGGACTTGAGGGAGTGGCAGGCAGCACTCACCTCCTGTCCAGATGGGAGCAATCTTTGCAGGCCAACCCAGCCTCTCCTGGTCCAGGGCCTCCCAAAAGTTCTGTCTCCCGCACTAGACTGAGCTAGGGTAAAAAAGCCCACAGTGATGAGAGGGGAGCCAGGAGCTGGGAAACTCCGCGGCTCGCCCACTCGTAATGCACTTCCTTGCGAGCAGCCTCTTCCCCTAATGACAGAACCTGCAAGAAACACCAGAAATGAGCTGGATGCATTAAGGCACACTCACCCAGACGGGGCCTTCCTGCAGGGACCACGTTTGTTCGCACTGTGGCAGTAGCGGCCCTGCATGGTGACCCTCGGTGGGCAGCCACCCCAGGAGCAGGTCAATGGGAAGGAGAAGCACAGCCCCAGCTCCTGGTCCCCTCTGAGGTGACGGGGTCTTTCATGAGGAGAGATGGGGGGAGGGGGTCACCTCTGAGGTGGGAGTGGATCCCCTCAGCCAGAGCCACGGAGGGTGGAGGACAGAGAGACACTGGAGGGCAAGTGGAAGATGTACCACGCACGTGACCTGAGGTCACTCCCTTGCCCATCCCCCAGAACCCTCTCCTCTGGGTGCCTCCCTACTCCTAGCACCAGACAATGACTCAGCCCGTGGCCTCTAAATGTACCTCCCACCAGCCACTGGGTGAAAGTCCACCTAGCCCTTAGGACACAGCGGTCACCTCCTATCTTGCCAACCCTGACCAACTCCAGCTGGTGTCAGACCGGTCCCTACAGTAACCACTCTGCTCCCCAAGTATTTCGTCTGCAGCAGACGGGGTGACAGGGCTCTGGGAAAGGGCAGGGGCTGCCTGGGCAGTACACATATGAGCCCGCGGGGCTCCCCAGGTCTCTGGAGGAAACGCAACTTAGGCAGGGCTGCCCGGGCACAGAGGCCATCTGCTGCAAGCCCTGCTGCCCGCCTGGCTCGGTGAGGCACTCACGAGGTCCCACTTTCCACATCAGATGCTCCAAGCTCAGAGCCGTCCCCCGGCAAGTTCCCCGGGCAGGCCACAGCCAGGCTGCCATGGTGAGCACTCACTTGGCCGTGTACATGCACAGACACGTGGTGCACGGCTACAATGCTACAGGGCGCGTGATGCCCAACGTTACCATGACCTTTGGGCAGGGGGCATGGTGGTGCTAGGGGCCAGTGAGAAGTGGTACCTGGAACTCAGAAGTTGGATCCAGTGACACGGCCTACCAAGGCCATTTCTGCAATCCTGGTGGGGTATAGGCAAGTCCCCTCAGCCTGGCAGGACCCCACCAAGATGGGCAGAGACCATGACCACTGGCTGGGGCAGGTGTCTCCCAGAGGTGTCCAGGAGACCCGAGATCATCTAACACCCCCTGCTGACGCCAACTAGGATGTATCCTTGGGGCTTTTCAGGGCAAACTGTCTGTCCCAAGACTTGGGGAACAGCTCATTTTACCAAGGGCCACCCCGTGTGCCCCAGGACAGGCAGCTCTGGAGCTGGGTTTTAAATCCGGGAGTACTGATCACAGAGCCAGGCGTCCGTGCCCACTGCAGCACGTCTCCGTGAGTCACGCTGGAAAAGGAAAGCAGGTGCGCATGGGCGTGGTCCACCAGGCTGCACACCCTGCACATGCAGGGGGCCTAGGCAGGCCTGGGGCTCCCACTCCATCCTTCAGGAGATGCTCCCCTTCCAAGAGGAAGGAGAAGCGGGCGGCCCCAGGTCTGCTCCCAGGATAGGGAGGCCAGAGGGCTTGTCTTGAAGGGATAGTCCCAGATGTGCTAGGCACCAAGTAACAGGAAACCTCGGCCCCCTGGCTCCCCAGGGAAGATGCTTCACCTCTGTGAACGGCAGAGGTCAGAGGTGGGGAGGTGCAGCTCCAGGGCTGGCTAACCCAGTGGCTCAGGACGTCAGGGAACCTGCCCCCTCCATCTTTCTGCTCTGCCACTCACGGCTTCCTACACCAGGCATCCCCTGCAATGGCAGCAGCCAGGGCAAGAGGGGGCTCCACAGCAAAGACATCGCCCCCAGGAACCCCAGCAGTTCCCTCCTGCCTCGCTGGTCAGAACAGCTCCATCTGCAGAGGCAAGCCAACTGTGGCTAGAGTGGCATCTCTGCAGCCTCGTGCAAGGGAGGGGCTGGGCGAGTGGTAAACGCCACAGCCACCACATGGGTGTGGGAGGCCTGGGATCTGGGGGCCCCAGCCGGCAGGGGGCTTCCCGAGGGCAGGGCCTCGAGCCCTGTGGCAGCCCCAGCCCCAGCGCCAGCAGTGCAGCACCGAGCTGGGCGCCTCCCACAGAAAGGAATGAGTTTACTCTCATTACATGGAGTGAACTAAGAATACCCGCACCACAGGAACTACACAACTAAAGGTCGCCAGGACGCCCCCACGGAAAACCAGGGCAACACAGAATCTACGGAGGCGGCATTCTGAATGAAGTGAAAAAATAACTTCACAGAGAAATACATTAGGACTTTTTTTTCCTGGAATGAAAAGAATTAACGTGCCTGTGGGGAGAGCTAGAGCAGGGCAGGAAGAGGGCGGTGAGCACCGGAGCGGCAGGATTCCAGTCGGCCAGTTGCTGGCAGGACGGCTCACCTCTCGGAGTACCCTGTTCTTCTCACACCCCGAACTCGAAGCGTCCAGAAGCCAGAATGGCGCCCAGAAAGGCCAGTCAAGCACTTCCTATGTCTTCCAAACTCCAAGTTGCTGTAAGAACTCTCCCACTCTCTTTCTGATAAGATGCTGCTGAACACAGGATAGAGGGCCTAATCTAAGACACCCCAGCACGCAAAGGGGTGGGGCAAGAGTGGCTCCAGCTGCTCATGTCTGTGTCACATGACCACGATACCATGGTGATGTGGAGGACAGCAGACAGAAGCCGGTGGAGCCCCCACGAGCACAGAAGCCACAGGGCTCCGAGGAGCCGGGACACCTCCGGCATGGCCTCCCAGCACCAGGCCCCTGCTCACAGGGCAGAGCAGCTCACGAGACCCGCTCTTCCGTCCTGGCAGTCAGTGACGGCCGCAGCTCCCCAGGCCCGTGGGCGAACGGGCAGCAGGGTGAAGGCAGAGCACAACCGTCAGGGTGATGCATGAAAAACCAGCAGACACGGGTTTTGAAAGCTTCAGGGACCAGTTTCCGTTTTGCTTCCGGTTGCTTTTTCTTCGGTGGCTTCTGTTCTCTCCAGTCGCGAATGTGAACTCTCCCGTCCAGAACTGTGGTTTGGAACAGACAAAAGACACAGCCAAGAAGTTAACCTGCAAGTCCATTAACTGCCCAGGATCTGTGGGAGGCAGCCGTCCAGGGCCAGGGATGCAGTGACGCGAGACCAGTCGCCTCGGCAAGCCAGCGCCCAGAGGGAGGGAGACAAGGTGCTGAGATCTCAAGCAGTGACCAGCAGCACCCAACCCGCCCTGAGGCCTGCGGTCCCCACCTAAAGGCTGAAGTGACAGAGGCACAGCACCCGCGGGCAGCGAGCAGGCAGGGAGTGGGTGGAGGCGTCCCGGGGTGTGGGAGTGTGGAGGGGCCGGCACCAGCGGGACTGGGAGCCATCAGGAGGTGCGTGCTGGACACTAGGGAGGGGTGAGTAGCCTGGTGCCTGAGGCCGAGGCTCTGGTGATGACAAGATCCAGAGTGTGGCCCCAGGACAGAGTGGCTGGGACAGCCTGGGGGACGGGCTTGTGGGAAACAAGCTGAGGCCTGGAGCCCGGAGTGTAGGAACCATAAACGTGGTCCCTGATTGAGGACATGTCAGAAACCGATCTTCGCATCACACAGGGGAAACAATGCGAGGCGCCAGAGGCCTTCCCCAGGTGGCAAGACGACCGGCAGGCTGCAGGGACACCAGGTGTAGGCACCCCACAACCAAAGCCCCCCAGTGTAGACAGGGTAAGGCGCAGGGCTTCACAGAGGCCCGCCTGGAGCAGAGGGAGGCTGAGAGACGCACTGGGAGGGACCTGGGTGGCTGGGTGACCTCAAAGCTGGGCAGCTGGAGGACCCCAGAGCAGCGGGGGATGGAGGCCGGGGGGAGCACAGTTCCATCAGCCGACTGGGCCCCCACCCAGCTGCCTCCTGAGCCAGTCACCACTACTCGGCTGAGACCCGCCCCAGAGCTTCCACTTGGCCATTCCATCCTGAGGAGCCGACAACTCCACGGGAAATGCAGCCAAAGCAACCAAACCCGTCCTGGTTTTCCCTGGAAGCCAGAAAGCCACCCGGAGCGGGAGAGGCTTGGGCAGAAACAGAGGGAGCTCAGTGAACAAACCTGGTGCTCCGACTTCCAAGGAGAACCTGAGAGTGTGAATTAAGCTTGAATTCCACTTTCAAACCGACCCGTGTCGTGGCCATAATGAGACTGTTTGTCTTCACAGACTGACGTCACGCTCCCTTGAAACCGGAGACAGGGGCTGCAGGGGCGCCTCCCTGTAGGGAGGGATGCGAACGAGGGATTCATCCTCCCGGGGCCGCCAAGAAGCACCTACTCAGGGCCAGGCTCAGTTTGTCCCCTCCACGGAGCCGTCCTGCTGCACTGCTCCAACAACGCTGACGCTCAGCTCACGCAAACCCCGCTGTGTTCCACTGGATGTTCCCACAGCAGCACCTCCTGGCGCCGCAGGGAATGACACGGCCCAGGCCAGTGGGATGGGGAGTCAGACCCCTGAGGTGTGTGCAGAAAGGGCTTTGGGGGCAAGACTCCCACCAGACTCCCGGAGTGCGCGCCCCAGAAAGCTGAGGAGCACTGGCCCAGCCTGATGTCCTGGCCGGGTTCAAGAGAAATACGGGGGACAGGGTAGGGGCTCACCGGGCCAAGCCTGGGCAGGGACCTCTGCCCTCCAGAGGTCAGGCCATGTCCCCTCCCCTCAGGCCAGGCTGGCTTACAGCAGGCCCTCCACAGGTGGTTTCACGAAATATGATATCTAGCCACATTTTTGGAGCAATACCTGAAAGGCCAGGGAAAAACGGGCCCAGCTAGTATTTCTAAGGTGAAGGAGTCGGGGCTAATGACACAGGGGTGACCCTGGAGATGGCAGAGGCCGGGGTGCCCTGAGGTTGGCCAGGACAGCTGACGTGTGCCCCCCACCCCCACGCCCAGGACACAGGGCAGCTCTCTGGCATCCCCCTCCTCACAGCCCCAGCTCCCACTCTGGGCAGGCCTGTGCCAGGCAGCCTAGGGCACCAGCATCCAGGGTGCCTGCTCCAGCCCCAGCGCTAGACTCTGCTGATGCAGAAATAGGTCCCAATTTTAAAATGGAACTGGAGGACAACACACACCCTCCCAAAGCTCCCCTCCCATCCAGCGTTCCTGAGGTGTCGGCCCTCACGTGCGCTCCCTCGGACCTGCTGAACACAGCACAGGAAACTGTTTCGTTTCCTCTGTTTCTGACAGCAGACGCTACCTTAACCAGTGTTCTGAGGAACTGGTTCAAGGTTCTCCGGAAAGTCACTATGGACAACGTACCAGGACGAAGCACTGGTTCTGGTCAGATGTGGCCTGGGTTGCCAGCCCAGCCCCTCCACCCAGGGAGACCCTGGGCAAGTCCACACCTTCAAGGCCATGAGCGCAGGGATTAGAGAGACCACCCGTGCAGACCACTCAGCACGGCATGGGCACACACACGCCCCACTGGCCAGAACCTCCTGACCGCCTGCATGCCAGGCTGTGCGACCCTGGGGGCGGGCACGAGAGCGGGCCCCCGGCCTCATGCACCGTGCTCACGGCCTCTGGGTGGCGGCCCAGCGGTGCCTGGCACACAGGGTGCTGGGCACTGGCTCAACTGCAGGCATCGAAAGTCATCTTTACTCTCTCACTCTTGGAAACATCACTAGAGCCTGGCCACGTCATTTAAAACCCCTCAGACAGAATGAGACCCAGCTCCAGTGCATAGTTTTTGCATGACTGGAAGCAGAATGTTTACTCAGAGCTCAGTCCCCAAGCCTCCTACTCAGAAGTGTTTCCAAGAATAAATGTGCCCTCTGATGTGAACAGCAGAGAAAAGCAATCACACACACGCATATTTATAACGGAGAAAAAAGCTACTATTTCATGAAACCAAACAAAAAAACGCGTTGGGACAAAGAGAAGGAAGAGCCCCCGTCGGGGTTGCAGTGGGATGCCAATGCCCAAAGCTCTGAGACCGAGGACGCAGGCAGCCGGGCCAGGGCTGAGCCACGGCAGGAAGTTCCAGCTCAGGAAGGCCGCCCGCGTCCCGCCTCCTCCACCCACCAGCGGGGCCTGCCCTCCTGGCCTCAGCTTCTGCATCTCCCCCACCCGCAAATATGGAGACTCCAGCTCTCCTTATAAAGCTGACCGCCATCCTAACAGCAGCACTTATCCAAGGAAATCAAGCTGAAATGAAAACCAAGTGTAGCTACGCAGAGGCAGCTGGCACCCAAAGGCACCACAGGCGTGCACACTCAAGCTCTCACATGTACACGTGGGGAGGAGACAGTGCAGGCGTGCACATCTGAGCTCTCACGTGCACGCATAGTGGGAGAGAGAGTGCAGGCGTGCACACCCAAGCTCTCACATGCATGCACGGAGGGGGACAGTGCAGGTGTGAACACTCAAGCTCTCACATGCACCCATGGTGGGGGAAGACAGTGCAGGCGTGCACACCTGAGCTCTCGTGTGCACGCACAAGGGAGAGTGTGAGGTGTGCCCACGTGGAGGCAGAGAAGAGAAGGCGGCAGCTCTCCACACCCTTGAGGTCTACAGGCTGAGGGAGTGGGCAGACGTGCCTCCTTCCCTACTCCCTGCCCTGCTGAGTCACGTCAGACCACCCCACTTGGCAGCAGCACACTGATGGGTGGGGGGGACTGGCTCAAATCCTGGGGTCCAGAAAGCTGCCTGCGTCCCTAGACAAGGTCTGCGGGCCCAGTATGCGCCCACGCCCCTCCTGTGGGCCCGGCAGGTGTACGGACCCCTCTCATGGGGCCCAGCAGGTGCCGGTAGCCTCAGGTTGGATTTCCATTCTGTGCTGGCATGATGGCTTCCCTCACCCCTGGAAAAGCCCCCACCCAGCAGGGCCAGCTGCTTCCTTCCCACACAGACCCCACTGAGGCACCTGGCCACTGTGCTGGACCCACGACTTGGTGTGCCTGCCTCCTCTGCCAGGTCCTGGGGCAGGAACAGAGAAGCCATCATCTTAGTTTGCAGCCTCCAGCCAGGGCATGGACATGGAGAGCCATGCCCACAGATGGCACCTTGTGGGTCAGGGACCCTGGGACCCAACAATCTTGCCCCTGGTGAGGAGGGGTCCCCTGACTGTACCCTCCTCACTGGGCCACTCATTTCTTCATCCTGTGACACATGCTAGCACCAAAGCAGTGAGCTCTGGGCTGCTTCTCAGGCTGCAGAGTAAGACCTGGGCCCGCCCCAGAGAGTCCAGGGTCTAGTTGGGGCAGTGATGTGACTGGTGCAGAGCCTGGGGACCCAGAGGAGGCAGGACTGGGTGGGGGTGGATGGAAAGCTGTTTAGGAAAGGTTTCCTGGAGGAGACGGCAGCTGAGCTACATCGGAGAGACCAGGGCACCAACCGAGGTGGGGACAGGGAACAGCCTTGTGAGTGAAGGTCCCAGAGAAACACAAGCCAGCAGGCCACACAGGAGGCACTGAGGGATTAAGTCTGGCAGAAGGGGGTGGGTGGGGCAGGGGTGGGTGGAAGGAAGGGGCGGTGTGGGCAGGGCTCCTGAGCCAGACCAGCATGTCACACCCTCACAGGAGCCCATATTCTCAGCAGGTCAAGGCTGGGCCCCCAGGGCACATCGACAGCCCCTGCAAGCCTGCTCTTCCCTGGAGCCCACGTTCACGGAACATCTGCAGATACCACCACCCTGGACCAGCGCTTCTGTACGTCTAGTGTCTGCCCCCCGCCTCCCGGAAAGAAGAGCTAGTTGGAAGTACACAGCACTAGCCCACCCCCAGCCTTCATGAGACATTTCACAGCAGAAACAGCATCAAACTCGCTTCCCCTTCTTAAGTACTATGGGAACCAGGTGCTGTTCTGTGGGGGGACTTGAACACGGCACTTGACCTTCATGGACCCAACGTGAGAGAGAGCAGGCAGGCCCGGTGACCAATAGGGCTCAGGGCCCTTCGTACGGCAGGTCACACAGACAGTGACACTGCAGCCAGACTGGAAGCCAGCTCTGCTCCTTCCTACTCTCACACCGTCACATCGGTGGCACTACTCCCGTGCTAGTCAGAGGCCCAAGTCCTTCTCACAGCCCTGCCTACCCCCACCCCTCGCTCATCAAGCCTCCAATCCTGCTCCTTTCCAACTCAGCCCCTTCGCGCAGGCTGCTCTCTGCCTCAAATGTCCCGTCCTCGTTCTCGTCACCTAGCTGACTCCTACTCCCAGCCCCAGCGTCACTCCCTCAGCGCGGCCTTCCCGGCCCTCCAGGTTGCCTAGGTCTCCCTGCACCTCACGCCACCAGGGAAACATGCCCGCGACATTATGGTGACGCAAGAGGACACAGCTACTTTTACAGATGCATACGGAAGCATGGAGGGGTGAAACAGCACACTGGCTGGGAGGCACTTTCAAACACTTCCACAAAGAAAAACAGGGAGAAAGCTTCAAGAAGCAAATATGACCAATTATTGCCCATCTGGATGAGGGGCAGACAGGAGCTCCTTTGTGTACGCTTGAAAACTTCAACTAACGGAACAACTTAAACCTCGGGTGCCCGTGTAAACGTCTGTGACACTTTCCCCTCCCGGGCACCGTAAACTCGGGGTGGGGGTGGAGCAGGGCCAGTGCTGCCTTGCTCTGCAGACTGAGTGAGAGCACACAGGCGCCTGGCCCTGCCGCTCCGGCAGTCCTGGAACCAGGGCGTCAGCGCAGGAGGGCAGGGAGCGCCTCACCCCTGAGGGGCAGACTTCCCGAGGCCCCAGCGCAGGTACACAGGGTGCAAGAGCCGGCAGGAATCGGGGCTCCCTCCTCTAAACTGCCCAGGGCCTGGCTGGGAGCTCAGGATGCTTCTAGTGTGCAGGCAGCCAAAGGCCAAAGCAAGGTAAATGAAGAGCCCCCACCCAAGAAGGCTGCCCAGGCCACATGGGGCGCCCAAGCAGCAGCTTTCAGACTCAACTTCCTTCTGAGTGAGGAGCGAGCACATCCTGCAAGGGGCAACTCCAGGCCTGGGGGCGCTGAGCCAGAGAGGTGGGAGCAAATCAAAGGGGGGGGGTGTGGCAGTGTCCTCTCCTGATGTGAGAGGCTCACAGGTGGGAACTGGGTGAGGGGCAGAGGGGCACTCTAGTCTACCTTCCCAACTCTTCTGTGAGTTTTAACTAAAATAGAGTTTACCACTAAGAAAAAAGGTGGCGGGGGGAGGGGGCGATGCCAAGATGTGTAGGAAGGAAAATCCTGACCCAGGGGAGGTGGAGCACGGTATCCCGTCAGAAACAGGCACCTGCAAAGGCGTACCGCTTTACCTTCGAACACCTGATGGTTGTTTCTAAGCAGCGTCTGCAAGCCTCCACATTCTCGCTTCAGCCTCTGCAGAGTCTCCCTGTCCAGCTCACTGGCTACCTCAGCCAAGGACAGGCTCTCTGTCGAAAATGGGGTTTCCCCCAAACAACAAGAGGCTATTAGGAACCTGTTAAACTCGAGTTCTCTAAATTCAAACCCCTTACATATGTCAGCAGGAGACCATGAACACTGAACGTTTCATTAATTTAGTCTACAGCTCACGACAGCTGGAGCTCCGCAGGCAGACCATTGGTGCCCGTCACCCCCAAGAGCGTCCACCTGCCAGGCCCTGCACTGCGGGCTCACCATGCCCGCCTGCCCACAGGCGAGCCAATATGGACACCAGGCAGGCAGCTGCTCCTGCAGCGGCGTGATCCCACCTATCAAAGCACAGCCCACCCTCAGGGCACCTCTCCGCTGCCTCAAACTTACCCCAAGAGGAAGCGGGGAGTCCAAGGAAAAAGTTAAATATTGGCCCAGAAAGCCTTCCCTGCCCCTCCCAGTCCAGTGCGTTAATAGGAACTACAAGGAGGTGGGAGGTGGCCCCCCGACTCCTGGATGCTGACTCACGCACTGGCCACCTCCCACCTGCTCATCCTTTGATACGGCATGTCCTGACCCCCCTCGAGGGCAGGGGCTACCTCCTCTCACCCTGCGTCTCCCAGCCAGGCCTCGCAGAGGGGAGACCCGGGTCTGAGATCAGTCAGGTCATGAGGACAGACCCACTCATCCGTCACGCAGAACTCGGAAACACGGACGGTCCTGTGCCCAGGGCGGGCTGGGGAGAGGATCACGAATTCCAGTGACCGAGGGAGGGGAAGCCCACCTGTGGGTGGAACCTCTGGCTGACAGGCCAAGGGCACAACTCCACCTCACCGGAGCACGCCTCTCACGCACAGGGGGGCAGCCGGAGCACCACAGATGAGCCCCAGATGGAGGGAGACCAACCTGGGGAGGACGGCACCCAGCTCCCAGATGTCTCCCATGGGCGGGCAGGGCTGAGACCTGATAATCAGAGCCACCCCACCATCTACCTGTGAGCCTAGGGAAAGATCCAGCCTTTGCTCACTAAAAGGGCGTTCCATCCCAGGCAGACTAGCAACTCCCATGCGGAATCCTTCCCAAAGGACCCGGCAGAGGAAAGGGCTACCCTGAGGATTAAGGGTCAAACTCCATATTTTAAGATTCATTCAAGTCTCTGGGGCTCTGTGCCCTTCGAGAACCCACTAGGAGCCTCTACCCAGCTTGCCTTCCTCTCTACTCTGGCCCTGCCTTAGCAGGGTGCACTGAGGAAGTGGGGTGTCAGCCCATAGGACACCCCATGGACCTCAGGGCTGGAGGTCCACAGTTACATGGATGGTCAGCCAGCTGAACCAGGGCCACACTGGCCAGGGCTGCGACCGGGTCCCCAGAGAGGCTCCCCTGATCAGACCCTAGCAGGGCAGGATTATTCCTGGAGCAGGGTGATGCTCAATGGCACTGCCACATCGCAAGCATGAGAGACGGGAGGGGTGTGAAAACATGAAGACAGTAACTTGAGCATGACAACTTCAAGGAGGAAGACCAGGCTCGGAGAGGAGGAGAACCAATTGCCATCTCCTCCCTGGCCCGTCCCACCCACAGGGCCAGCCAGGCCGCAGTCCCTGACAGGCCGAGGGAGGGTTCCTCTATTTCCTCCAATGACCCAAAATCTCCAGGAGATGAGCCTCTGGCTCTGCCCCCAGCGCCCTCCGGCTGCTGACAGGCATGGGCCCCGACAGGACGCAAAGGAGGAAGAACCAAGCTCCTCATCCAGCAGCCCCGGGGGCTTTCCCCACTCACAGCAACCTCACAAAAGTAACAACGCTGATGCTTTGACCCCTAGCTCTCTTGAGTGCCACTAATTTCAACACATTACTCATCCCATGAGAACAATGAGGCACAAATGTCTCCCTTTTATCTTGTCTGATTTTTGCATTTTGGAGATTTTGAAGAAAATGAAATTACCAAATCACAACATCTTACCAATACTCAAGGGGACAGTGCACTTTTCTGGCATTCAGTAACCTGCTTTCTGTTTAGATAATCTCTATGGACTGAAATGAGCCGCTCTAGACCCTGAAGCCTGAATGCTTCTGGAAAAGTCCATTAAAGGCCCAAACACTACCACTCTGACCTCAACTGCCTCCTCTGAGGAACCAAAGTCCAGTGTGTTAATAGGAACTACAAGGAAAACGCTAAAGAAGGAGATTATAGGTAGCCTAGTTATTACCACGGTTTCCTTAAAGCGAATTTAATTCAAGATGGCCACACCATTTTAAACCGGTCATCAAGGAGAACAGAGTCGCTGCCTGCAACCCAGCAAGTGCTCAGCAGCCCCCGGCGGCGCACGGTTACCTCCTCGATTCCAGGTCTTCAAAGTGCCACTCGGAGAACTTCCTGTTAATTGCGTCCCACCTAACAACAAATGTGCCACTTGCAACACCACTTGGTCAACAAAGTCTCGAGGGAGGGCAGCACAGTTCCTTCTGCGCTGAGCTTTCTCTCTGGGCTGAAATCCAAGCAGCCACAGTTCGGAGGCCCGGGCCTCAGGCGTGTGCCCAGCTGCGCCATGCAGGGCTCCGTGGCCACCGGGGTGATGGACACTGCTGGCAGCAGCCTGGGGGGAAGCAGGGGCAGGCTCCCGGCCAGGTGGGCCCAAAGGGCAGCCCCGCCTGCTGTTAATGTACCGGGTCCTCTGCTCATCGAGGGACAGCTCTCTGGAGGGGGGGTATGTTCTGGATTTCCCGACGAGACAAACCTGCATTTGAAGAGAGCAGAGCAAGTGTGTTAGCAGGTTCCTAGAGTCTATTTCAGCGTTCTCCATAGAATTCTCTTGTTCTAGAGTACAAACTATAAAAGTTTTGATATTTACCATGAAAGAGATTCTTATTTTAATAACTAATACAACATCAATGATGTAGAAACAAACACCAGCAGCTGGAGCTCTCTGCTGAGACTTGCAGAGTTCTGACAAACATGCACCAGCCAGTCCACCCCTCCAGGAGCACCGTGGGCCTAGCCCTCAGCATGGCCCTTGGTCAGCCCTCCCGCCACCGCTCCGCCCCACGCAGACCCTGATGGACCCCCACGAGCTCTGAGCCGAGGCTATGAAGGAAGGAGGCATCAGTACAGGGACCTTGCCAGAGGGAGGGCATGCTCGTGTGGACCAGGAGAGCGCCTGGTGGAGCACAATGTTTAATTCACACTACTCCCTTCCTCCTTCACACATCCAGACGAAGGCTGCCCTTCCAGAGCCCCTGAGAGAGGGAGGCCCAGGCCAGACACGCTGCCATGAGCACAGCATCTCAGGACTCTGTTCTTGGGCATTAAGTACAAAGCCAGGTTAGAGGTGAGGAAAGGAAACACTTCTACTTACACCAGAGGCACCCCTTATGGCTCTCTAGCTCTGCCACCTGCTAAATACGTGAGCTCAGGCAGGGACTTGACTTCTCTGTATGGGGACTGAGAGTGCCTGGCACGTGATCAGTCCTCACTAAACAGCTGCTACATGTGGCCATCGCCTTGCATCTGACCCCCAAGCCACCCAGTGATAAGAAAGCTGCGGCTCAGAGAAATCAATCAATAGTCCAAGGATCCTACAACTAGTGAGGGAACGACAAATGCAGAAATCAAAACTGCAGGGCCCTCGTACCCACCTACATGACCCAAACTCTAGCAGTTCCCAAAAATCAATTCCAAGCTCAGAAGACTATGACTTGCCAAAATAGTGGGCACTTAAGAGAATGACACGAAGGCTCTGAAGACAAGTCCGAAAGGACATTTTCAAAATGCTTCTGAGCAGTGATAGGATTGACAGCAATGATGTCCCTGAAGCCCTTGACTGCAGGGCCCAATCACTGCCAGCTGGTGACAAAGATGCTGTTTTATCTGGTCCTCAACATGAGCCATGGAGAGCTGCTCCTCCCCACCTGACTGGCGAGGATGCGGGCCTAGGTGTTGCAATCTGCCCCCGAGTGCACTGCTGGAAAGCGGCAGGGCCAGAGCTGAGCCCAGATCCTGACCCAGGATTTGGTCCTTTTCACCACGCGAAGCGATCAAGCTCTGTGACTTAGACATGAAGGATTTTTGTGTTTTGTTTTTCAAAAGAAGCACACAGCCATAGTCTTGTAAAAGACAGTTGTCAGAGATTAATGTAAACTGATTCCTCTCTTTCAGAGGGTCAAGTCCTTGGAGCAATAAGCAGGAACCCCGCCCAGTGTGCCCTGACCACCGGGCAGGGTCACAGAGAGGGGCCACTGTTTTCAGACAGCACAAGGACCAATTTCTGCCTGGACAGATTGCATTTCAGGTAAATCTGAAGTAATGAGCCTTTTAATAAGAAAATTTGAAGTCACTTTGAACTTCTAAAACAACTTTTTTTTTTTTTTTAAGATTTTATTTTTTCCTTTTTCTCCCCAAAGCCCCCTGGTACATAGTTGTATATTCTTCGTTGTGGGTCCTTCTAGTTGTGGCATGTGGGATGCTGCCTCAGCGTGGTTTGATGAGCAGTGCCATGTCCGCGCCCAGGATTCGAACCAACGAAACACTGGGCCGCCTGCAGCGGAGCGTGCGAACTTAACCACTCGGCCACGGTGCCGGCCCCTAAAACAACTTTTAATCTCAGCCCATCATTTGGGAATCCAAGGAGGCCAACTCGGAGCACCCCAGCTCAGATGACACTGGGCCACAACCCACACAAGCCAAGCTGACGCCTCCTCTAGGAAGGGCCCCTCGGGCTGCTCACAGTTTCTGCAAAGACAGCAAAGACCTGGGGAGGGTTCCTGCAGAGCCGCTACAGGCCTGCAGAAGGAAGTGCCAAACCCCTCCAGAGGAGGGGACCGTACAGACAGAACGAGCCCTCTGAACCCCAGCAAGGACTGAGATGTTGACACTGGCACAGGCACCTTCTGGAACATTCACACTTTCAAACATCACACTGTCGTTTTTGGTTCTGTGACACGGCCCTGAGCTTTCCATCTAAACAGCAACACAGCATGGAGAACACCCACGGCGGTCAGGACGTACGCACTCTCTTGGTAGAAGGAATCCTAAGGCAGTCCTCCTCCACGTGAAATCCACAGGTCGAGCCCACTTCCGTAATGAAATCCAGGTATTCCCGGTACTGGGTCTTCCCGCTCTGCCTCCGCTGGTACTTCCCAACAAAGTCAAAGAAGCAGCAGGGAAGGACAAAGAAGCGGCAGTTGTAGGAAGACCTTCAAAAACAACCAACAGACAGAAACCAAAAGTCCTGAATAGATTCATAAAAGAAAATTCAGCAGAAAGCCCATGGTAATGGTGTACTAAGGTAAAACATAAACCTTTGCTCCTGGCTAATTTTGTTCTTTATGTAAAAAAGGAATTACAGGGGCCGGCCTGGTGGTGGTTAAGGTTGCACGTTCCTCTTCAGCGGCCCAGGGTTCGCCAGTTGGGATCCCGGGTGCAGACATGGCACCACTTGGCAGCCATGCTGTGGCAGGCGTCCCATGTATAAAGTAGAGGAAGATGGGCATGGATGTTAGCTCAGGGCCAGCCTTCCTCAGCAAAAAGAGGAGGATTGGCAGCAGATGTTAGCTCAGGGCTAATCTTCCTCAAAAGAAAAAAAAGGAATTATATGGGGGCCATCCCCATGGCCGAGTGGTTAAGTTCCCGAGCTCCGCTGCAGGCAGCCCAGTGTTTCGTTGGTTCGAATCCTGGGTGCGGACATGGCACCGCTCATCAAGCCACGCTGAGGCGGCGTCCCACATGCCACAACTAGAAGGACCCACAACTAACAATATACAACTATGTACCGGAGGGCTTTGGGGAGAAAAAGGAAAAAAATAAATTTTTTTTAAAAAAAAGGAATTATAGTCTTCCCCAATTTATTTTCTAGAAACAATGCAGCACAGTACTTTTCAATAAAATATGATTCTAATAACTTTTATAAAAAATATTTTTCCATTGCAGTTATTCTTCTCAACTGGAATCTAAAACTTTCTGAAGTGCTTTGAGATTTCAGCTGTCATAAGAAATTTCAGAGGTAGGCACAACAAAGGTTAAGATTTTCTTTGCGCTATCCCTTGAGAGCTAAAATAGCTCAAAAGAATCCTGGATGAAGGAGACATGGGGATGGCAGCATAACCAGCATCTTTTATTTATTTATTTATTCATTCATTTATTTATTTATTTTTGAGGAAGATCAGCCCTGAGCTAACATCTGCCGCCAATCCTCCTCTTTTTGCTGAGGAAGACTGGCCCTGAGCTAACATTCGTACCCATCTTTCTCTACTTTATATGTGGGACGCCTACCACAGCATGGCGTGCCAAGCGGTGCCCTGTCCACACCCGGGATCCAAACCAGCGAACCCCAGCCCACCGAAGCGGAACGTGCGCACTTAACCGCTGCGCCACCAGGCCGGCCCCATAACCAGCATCTTGATGACATCTCCTTCTGATACAGAAGCATAAGCCACCTCTGACAGACACCTGGAGTTCCTACTTTGAAGAGACAAACATTGCTGGAAATCATCTTTATACTGACAGATTTTCTCCTCTGAAGACAAACCCTCCTGTTATGAGAAAAATACTTCCAAAAAATGGCACATCTTTCAAGACTGGATACAAATATTGTAGAAGTAGCACGGTTTTGATCAGCATTGTCCAATAGAAATATAACATGAAAAGGAACCTTCATTTTACATTTTCCCGTAGCCATATTTTAAATAGTGAAATGGGGAATTTATTTTAAATTTAACCCAATATATTCAACCTACCATCACTTCAACACTTTGAAGCAGCTATATTTGAAGTGCTTAATAACCACAAGCAGCTAGTGGCTCCTGTTCTGGACAGTAAGGTTGAGGCAACAAACATCCCCAGCCGCTCACTTCTCCACTTACTCACCTGGCCGCAATGACAGGTATCCACGGGGTTAGTTCATCCGAATGGTTACCAATTAGCCAATCAACGTCAGGGAAAAGGGTCTTATCATTTGGTGTGATTGCACCTTCCTAAAAGAAAAACACAAAACAAGACTAAATGTTTAGCAAATAAATGCAGAGCTAGTGAGGCAGCAGGACACAGCGGGAGGGCCAAGGCCCCACGGAAGCACAGCTGCTCTGGGCATGACCTCAGCCCCTCTGGGCATCCTGCGCAAAATACCAGGACTAGGAGTGAGAAAGTGAACACCCCTGGGCCCATGTATGCCCCAGAGTGCCGAGAGTACTGGCGACTTTTGGCGGTGTCACAACCAGAGAAACGAACACTTGTCTGACTGCTAATCTTTGTTTGATAATTAAAAATGTGCTTCTTTACAAAAACAAAAAAGGAACTATAGGAGAGATGGGACACGGAAATTGCTTCATCTTTGGCAGAATATGGGAGGACGAAATGGCCCTAAGAGTGGGCAAGTGGCGAGCAGCTAGGTCTGAAGTTGATTTAGGTGCATAATATAATGCACTGATACAACCTGAAAGTCTAAACTTCCTTCTGCAAAATGAAGCACGTCTATGAAAAGATCAGAGGTAGGAAGAACTGACATATAAAGTATGCATTAGTTCTTTGCTACTATCCTATTATCTTTTGTAAACTCTCAGACGGCAAGGAAAAACCCACGGAACAGGCATGTAAACCATTCTGATAATTTCTCTAGTTAAGCTGGAAACAGCTTGCTTTATGACTTAAGAACTTTAAATAAAAGCTCTATCCTTTCTGCTAAATAGCAGGCCATCGTTAATTATTGAAATCAACAGCCTCAATTGTGAATCTGTCAGTAAAAACTGGAAAGAGAGAGAAAAGACACTACACTACCACTCAAAATCCTCTTAATTTTAAAACTGAGGAATCTATCCCCAAGGGAAGTAAGCAGAGTGTCATTCCCTGATGAAAACAAACGGAAGGGGCTGGACGGGCCAAGTGGTCAAGTTCGGGTAGTTCGCCTCGGCGGCCCAGGGTTCACTGGTTGGGATCCTGGGGACGGACATGGCACCACTCATCAGGCCATGCTGAGACGGCGTCCCACATAGCACAACCAGAAGGACCTACAATTGTGTACTGGGGGTCTTTGGGGAGGAAAAAAAAAAGAGGAAGACTGGCAACAGATGTTGGCTCAGAGCCAATCTTTCTCGCCAAAAAAACAAAATGGGGAAGACTTTACAACAACACTCACTTTTCAAGGCCATTTCTCACAATAAAACACAAGAGTCTTGTAGATATAATGTATACAAAAATAGAATTTAAATTCTACAGTCTTTCCAGGTCTTAAATAAGCATATGTGCTTCTATTTATATGTATATTAAAATATTGGAAATAGCATTGCTCACCTGGTATATGCATAATCTAAAAACAAACCAAATCTTTATTCCCACCCACTCTAGATTTAAATTTGCCTATTTGTCTCTTTAAATGGCTTGTATTAACAAAACCATAATTTACACTTAGTGATTACCACAGCAACATTTACAGTTACCTTGCCAACAGCACACTAGACAACCAAGCCCCACATGTTTTACGAAAACTTTTAACTGACATTTTGAATACAGCAAATTGCAACATTCCTATTTCATATACAGCTTCACAAGCAAAATTAAGACACTTTGTGATCACCACAATGCTTTTTTAGAAACAGGCTTTTTTCTTACCATCTCTTGCTTATAAGCAAAAGAGGTTTTTGAAAGAATGAAAAGAAGCTGGATCCCATGCTTGGCCTTTGAATGTCCAGATCGTTCATGGAAATGACTCATTTACTAGGCACTATGCACTTGCCAACAAAACACGCTCATTTCTGGCAAGTTCTTCTAGAGCAGAAGGCCTAACAGAAACGTGTTCAGCTTCTACCCTCATATTTAACACCAGAATAAGCAAGACTATTCTAGCACTGAGGCTGAAGGTCCAGGTGCAATGAGAAAAAAATTCACAAGAGATCAGAACACAACTCTATCAGCAGGCCTTGACGACGGGGTGGGTAGGGTCTCCCCCACTCCACAGAAAGTCTGAGGCAGGTTGCTAGGGAACCTCAGATACAGCACTAGAACCTTCTACCCGTTCTCTAAGAGGCTCCTCATGCCAGCCAGCTCTTCCTTAGGGTCACAACTTAAACAGAGGGCTTATTCAACTGCTGTTTGAACTTCTTACCCAAAGAAATTATTTTGCTTTTTCACAAAACATAGGGACACAGAAAATTCTAAAATCAACATGTTATTCCTTTTGCCTAAATCATCACCCTCATACCTAAATTTAGAGCCTGATTTTAACCGTGTAATAACACCTGGTCTGCACACACGACGGAAGAGCCTCCCAGCACATCATCTGGCTCACCAACACACTCTTCAGCCTTGAGATCTCTAAAGTATGTTTTAATTTATTACAATCTATGAAGATATAAACAAATGCAAACCTTTGTAGCTGTAGCCGCCCCTGACACAGGAAGGGTTAATAATCACTGGAAAAAGCTTGCCAACAAACTGTGACCCGGAGGTGAGAAGGCCGGTTAGCCAATGACGGGTAAGACCCCCTGGGGGGCAATCTAAGCCAGGCGGCGGCCGCCCGGGGGCACAGATGGAGAAACGATATCAATATCGGGAGCAAGAGGGACCGTTGCCTAAGAGACCTTGCCTGCTCTGAGATAAAAATATAGGAGCACAGCAACAACATGATAATATCAAAACAGAGGCCAAGAGAGGGCTCCTTGAGAAATCACTAAGAATTCTTGGCATTCGCTAATTACTTCATCCAGAACACCTGTGTATGTTTAACAGATGTAAGCTATGGATATATTGAAACGCTGGTTATAATAAACTCAGAGTGGCCATCAGCCCTCTCCGCATCTATCCTGATGTGTACATTGGATTGCGACACCGACAGTAGCATAAAGCAAAGCATAAACATATAATGAAAAACAGCAGATAAAGAGCTGTTGGGCAGCTCCAATGAATTTCCCTTCCTCCGATCTTTTATTTTTTGCAATATCATTCTTAACTTTAAAAGAAAGTGAGGTAGATAGAAAATACAAAAATAGTCTCAAAAACTGTATTTTCTATTTACAGATGAAATGATATCCCTGAGAATTGTTTCAAAGTAACAGCAGGACTAATGTGTGGGGGGGGGAGGGGGAGATAAAAGAATGAGCGTTGAAGCTGGTTGATAAGTTTCTGGGGTTCATTACACTCTTCTCTCTGCTTCTATATGTTCTTGACATTCTCCATAAAGAAAAATAAACACTGGTGTCATTTCCCAAGCCGGCCTTCTGCCCTCTGGTGGATGAGAAGCTGTGTCCCAGTCACACCCCCGCATTCTAACTCCAGGACTAAGGTCTTGAGGCGAGCAGGGAGCCGCTCAGCAGAAGCTGCATCGCAGGAGGGCAGCCACAACCCCGGGGTCCCAAAGCCAAGTACTGGGCCCCACTGCCGAGCGCTCCCCTGGCTACTGGGAGGCCTCCCCTAGAGACCAACAGCCACAAACACTTGACAGGGGCCCCGCTGTAGGGTCACTGCTGAGGAGGAACCCATCATGTCCCTCCCTTAGGGGACACTCAGGATGAGCGAGAGGCTCTGGACCAAAGGTGGAGTGACCTGGGTCACTGAGCCCCACGGTCATGGGCTGAGACCAGGCTACTGGCCGGCTCAGAGCAAACCTGCGGTCTGTCTCCGCAGCTCCGTGGGCGTGTGCATGTCTGCGGCCAGGCCGCTTCCCCTCACTCTCCTCCCCGACTCCTCACACCGCGCCCCCGTGCTGGGAAGCAGTCCCTCTACTTACAGCAAGGGACCTGCCAGCTCCCAGCGGCGGCATCCCTGCCTCCCTAGGTTTCCGCCTCTTCTTAGCTGTTACCACCACCTGAGGCACCACGCGCCCACTCATCTATCCCTGGGCTGTCTGTCCCCACCTCCCCACACAACGAAGGCAGGAACCTTTCATCACCGCTGAATGTCGGCACCTAAAAGAATGCCTGGCAGGCAGCAGGCACTCAAATATTTGGTAAACATGTGAATCCCTTACTTTTTCTCCTGTTTTTTTGGATACATCTCTTACAGCATTCAAGATTCTTCCTGAAATGAAAGTGTATTTCAAGTAAACCTTTCTGAAAAGCATCATGGCAATATTATCAAAAATCTTTTAAAATCCAGCCCTATGAAAAAGATTCCTTTTAAAGTGGACTAAGATTTACACGGTGTAACCTGTAATCTGACAGCAGGTGGTCAAGAAAAGGAGAAGAGTCGAGGCAGCAACCACGCCTCCGTGGCGTGCTGTGCGTGTGGCCTAGCCTCCCTGCGGCACGGGCTCCTCACCTGTGAGAGGGGCATAAAACGGACAGCCGACCGCCCGGGCCGCACGAGGGCGCCAGCGCGTCCAGACACACAGAGTTCTGGGGAACAGCACACAGCACTCAGAGGGTCGGCAGTGGGGACAAGACTCGGTGCCTGGCTGTTCCGTGCAATTGGACGGAAGAGAATTCACCCATTTAAAAACAATGCTTACTGGCTGGCCCCATGGCCAACTGGGCCCTGCTTCAGAATGCTCTGCTTCGGCACCCACAGTTTCACCGATTAGGATCCTGGGCGTGGACATGGCATCGCTCGTCAGGCCATGCCGAGGCAGTGTCCCACACAGCACAACCAGAGACAGTCACAACTAGAATATACAACTATCTACCAGGGGACTTTGGGGAGAAGAAGGAGGGAAAAAAAAGAAGATTGCCAGCAGATGTTAGCTCAGGTGCCTATCTTTAAAAACAATAAAAACAATGTTTACAAGTAATTGTTGAAGGCTTTGGAAAACGCCAAGGATGAGATGTTACCAAACAAAAGCTAGAGCTAAAATTCTACATACAATACGGTCACAGATGTCATTTTTAAAAGTATGTGTATTTATGTCCATAAAGAAAAAATAGTGATTATCTCTGGGTAGGGGTATTAAGAAAAAGAGAATGTCCCATTTCAAGGAAATGTGAAGGGTAAAAAAATATATATGGCACAGATATGTGAGAAAGCGTCTGGGACACACGGTCCGCTCTACCCCTCATGTCCTGCATATCCGAGAGCCAGGAGGCCATCTGGTCAGGGGTGCATCTCAACTCTGTGCTGGATACCTCGCCACCCCCCACTTGCCCCTGAGGAGGATGCTCCAGGATGGCTCTCCAGGAAGCATTCTTGAAAATCCCAGGCGGGGCTGAGTCCCTCCTGCGAGTCCCTGGCCCCTAAACCTCCTTTGTACCAGCCCTGACATGGCACTCTAGTTCACCGCTCATCTGTGTGGGCCCCACGATGTGTACTCCTTAAAAGCACATGAGCACAAAGACCCATGCTAAGTGATTGTCTGAACAAATGGCCTGTCACGGGCACCGGAGAAGATGCAGAGAAGATCGAGGGTCCATCCTCTGCCCCCAAGGTAGCAAGGGCACCCACACAAGATGCAAACTGCCTGCGGCAGACCTAGGGGAGGAAAGAGCACCTCCAGCTCCGGAGGTCAGCATCAATTTAACCAGAAGGTTTTGGAAAGTCTGAAGGCTCACCCTTCTTTAAATCTCAGAGCACCTAGATTAATATGAATTGTTATGCCTGGCATTTCTGATTGGCCGACACACAGAAACATACCCACTGAGACAACGGCCACCAGGGAAAACCACGCTGAGGTCAAACAAATGCAGAAAGCCAGTACCTCCAAGCGAGTCTGTGGTCCATACATGTCCCAGATTTTTCTTCTTCGGATATCAATCCCTCGGCCTGGATGCTAAAATAATAAATTTCAGAAATCAAAGGTTAAGCTCAGCACATCATAATAAACTAGCAAAATAAACTACACTCTGCAGGGGCTGCCACCAGCGCGAAGTGCAACAGAGCCTCAGCATTCACAGACGGCACAGCAGTTTCTCAGCTCTCCAGACACTCTGGCTCCTGCAAGACGCGGATGAGGCCCTGTACTCCATTAGCCGTCACGAGCCTTTACAAAGGGGAAGCAGAGCCGAGAGGCCGAAACACCTCCAGGGCTGGAACCCCAGGAAACAGGCCTGGAAAGGGAGCAGCTCTCTCGGCTCTCAGTCTAGTTCAGATGTCGGGCACGGCTGCTCTTCCAGCTTGCCAACCAAGACGACAGACAGCCATCCTGTGAGGCGAGTCCTTACCAAGTACACTGTGGCCACGCCCGTTAGCTCACAGGCAACCCCACCCCCCAGCGTCTCCACCTACCAGCCTCCAGGTCACCAAGTGATGCGCTAACACCCTACATACAACCTGTTTACAGGTATTACAATTACAAACCCATTCTTTTACAAAGCAATTCAGAAAGTACATTTTAACAACTCCATTCCAAGTTCCCACAGTTGAGGACAAATATATCTATCCCGTAAGGCAGAATGCTACGGTCAGAAGAAAATCAGCCATGGGGTCATCACAACTGGGCTTCACGCCTCGAGCGTGAAGGTGCTGAGCTCCAGCTCTCTGAGCCGGGTGATGGGGGAACAGCACCTGAGGCACTGGATTCACCAGGAAGGCTGAGACGACAGCAGAAACTCCAGGAATGGGGCGCTACGGCTTACGTTTGCTGACCTGCTCTGACCGCCTTTACTTCTCTGACGCAGAAAACAGATGCAAACTAGCACCACAATTTACACTGTGCTATATGTGTCCGGGACTGTCCTCTGAGCTGAATTTAAGCTTCTCGAGGGCAGAAACCCACCTTGCCCTTTATTCCCCTTGCAGTGCCTTGAAATGGTGGGTTTTCTAAACAAAATTATTTGACAGCAAAAACACATGTGCTGTTGAAAGTCTGTGGTTTTATAGGTACGCCTCACATGTTCCTTAGAACCGCTCTTCTAGTCTAATGAGGTGGCTGTCTTTCCCTCCTGTTTTACAAGCTGCCCGTTCTACAGAGCAACAAAGTTTATAATCAGACACTATGCCAGTAGCCAGGATGACTCTGAATCCAGGTCGTACCAGGAGAAAAAGATCTCAATGAACCTTGGGCTGGACTTGAAGACACTCTCTAGAGAAGATACTAGAAACGGCCATGAACCGTGCTTTACCCCCTCACTGCTCAGGATGTGGACCAGAAGACCATTTCCGCATCCTAAGTCAACAAAGGACTGCTTAGCTGTCACTCCCCGCTCAGCTCTTTCTTCTTCCCATAGAATCTAGTCAACAGAAAAAAAAAAACAAAGTCAGTTTGTAATTCACTCTATCCCAGAATAATTCAGACACAAACCCCACGTGAGACTACAAATCGCACTCCCACACAGGTGGAGAGGCCTCATCAGAGGCCCTGGGCTTTCACTCAGGTGACACATAGTTAGGCAGAGTGTGGCACATCGGCCCACTGCTCTCGAGTGATGCCGCCTGGAGCATCAGAGCTTTCTTCTTCCATCGAGAGTCCAAAGTAAAGTGGCCATGTCTGGGTAAGAGCTTTACAGGTTATTGTTAGTTTCTTCACGCTTTCTCTATATTCTTTAAGTTTTGTATACTTTGATAATCAAAATAAAATATGCTATGTCTAAAAAGACTAAGAGAATTGCAATTGAAAGGAACTTGGAAATTATCTAGTCTAAATATTTTATAGATAAGAAAAATCCAGACTATTAAGTTAAAGAGCATGTCCAAATTTAGGTGGCTAGCAAGCTGGCTAAGGAAAGATCTAGAACTAGAAACACCAAATGCTAGGAATGGAAGGGATGTGCTAATCACATGAGCTCCCATATGCCAGCCAGCATCTCCATGTTGACCATTAATTATGAAAGAATTATTTAGCTGAATGCCTGCAGTTACGTTTCACAATTCAAACTTGTTGTACACTCATGCAAAAGCACCATGCAAAGTTAAAAAACTATTATTGTGTAAGCAACCTTGGCAAAGAGAACTACAAACAGCCTAGGTTACGAATTTGACCAATGTCGCCCACTCCTGTAGCATCTGCCCATGGCAGGCTTCCCCCACCCACCCCACTCAGATTACATACATTCTTACCAGCAGGTAGGTGGCAATAGCCACATCTTCATACACAAACTTCTCAGGATCAGTTACTTCAGGCCACACCTAAAACATTTTCAAGAGCATATGTAAATTGTTCTCCATCTCCCCACCATTTCACAATGTTGAATATTCCCTTAAGGTGTAAGTCAATCTGGACTAACCACGCAATAAAATAACAAAAATGAGCTTGTTCCAAAGACAGAAACTCACCGTCGGTCTCTCATAGTAAGAGACGTGCATAAAGACACACAACCCTCTACCAAGTCTACGTGGCAGGACACACCAAGGGCAACGCGGTCCACGCAACACCTTGCAATAGACAAGGTACGTCAGATATTCAGACAGGCAACTAGACATCAGAGGAAATGCTCAGCTCTTTCTCCCTATCTTCAGCTCTTCCATCTTCATTGTTTACCCAGAGGAAGATAACGAACAAGGACACAAAGAGGAGGCGGGTGGGGAGGCCGACAGGGGTCAAGAGGCCAGTACTCTAGCCCCGTGTTCTGTCAGTGACTAGCTGTCATTCGTCAGGAGTGTCACTCAGCTGTTGTGTCCGCATCTCCCTGTGTGTAAAGCAGGGACGAAGCCTTAACCACCACGCAGGATGACCATCAAGGTGCTCTGAGAACTGTAAAACACTAGCTATGCAAGTGCAAGTCCTCGTTATTGAAATCAGTTACGTGCAGAAGAGGAAAAACCGATGGCCAATGTCAAATGTTCAATTTCTGTTTCCCGTCACGGTGGAATAGACAGTTCAGACGAGCTATTTCACTAAGGACAATTTTAAAAGCTGGAAGAATATAAAAGTCCCTTCTTGAAGATGCTGAATGGTTACTAAGATGATGAAGGAACACAAGGCCAGGATCTGAGAGAGAAGGGGAGCCAGCCTAGGTCAGCAGATCCAGGACCTACACACGCTTCAGCAAGAACGAATGGTACTGCCTCAAGCCTGTGAGTCTGGGGTGCTTTGCTACAGAGCAATAGATGACTAATAAGAGAAACATGGAAATGACAAAGCGTGCTTGCTTCCAGGAGGAGGAGGGAGGGGTAAACTAGGAAGAGGACAAAGGAGGCTCGACTGAGCTGGGTGCGCACCCACAGAGGCCTGCTGTTACCTTCTTTGTACATCTTAGATATAAAGTTCACGTTATGAAATTTATCTCCTTTCTGGAAGTTTCTTTTGTACTTTAATTTCTCATATATTTTCTTAAAATATCTTTTAAGTTTATACCAAAGAATTACGGTAATTTAGTAATTTAATGTTCAATTATCTTAAATTTAAATATTTCCCTTTTGTTCTTTTGGAAAAAAAAAAACCAACAATCCTTTTCCATAACACTTGCCAACGCTGCTGTGGTGTGCATCCCTAAGAATGTCAGAGCAACGCAGGACTTACGTGGGTATACTAAGACTTAAGTCTGCGTCTGTACAGAACTAGATGGTGCACAGGAAAAGCAATTTTACCCAGCGTAGTCTGGTCACACTTCCTCCTGTAAGCGAGGGGCGTCCCGGACGCTGTTCCCCAGAATTACCTTGACCATGTCCTTGTATTTCTCCTTAAGCGCCCAGTAGGCCCTGCTGTACTTCAGCACGGAGATGAGGGACAGGGTGCTTTTAAACCCACTCTTCCCGCTCTCCACAGACCACCTGGCCAGCTTGGTCAGCAACTCCTCCCCAAGCCAGGTGAGTTTGGGATAAGCAATTCCATCTGGATGCCATCTTTCTGGACAGAAAATTAAAACGGATATGAACCTTTGAAAATAAGAGAAATGTGAATAAGTAGAGCTAGCTTCAATCTTATTTTAAAATTATACGTTTATTTGCTGAAAGAAGAAATAAGACAGCTACGACCACAAAACGTTTTATCGAAAACACAAACTAATCTGGAACTAGTCACAGAATTTTCATCTAACAGAGAAAAACATTTAACAAGCAGAAAGAATGCCTCTCCTCTTGCAAACATTGCTGCAAATGCATTTACACGTCCCATGAGACCCATCAGGACGGACAAACAACGAATCCCTGTCACCTTCTGCTTCACGGGCTAACGAGCCAGGTTCTACAGGGTCTGTGGACTTGCCTAACATTTCTATTTTTTATACATTTTCACTTGTGCGGCTTAAATGTGAGGATACCGGTTCACCAACTATTCACCAGCCAGAAAGCAGAGTGCTCACGCACGCAGCCCCCCGCAGTGTACAGGTTCATTTTGTCTACTGCGTGTCTCCTGCCCTCAGAATGCGGGGAGGCCGCGGCTCTTGTCTATTGTGTTCACGCGCTGCTCTACCCGAGCCCTAACAGTGCCTGATCCACGGCAGGCGCTCGCTGTCTGTGTGCCGAGTAAGTAGACGAAAGCTCACAACCCGTGGGCCCAGATCACGACCACACACTCTCCGAGGCTGCGATTCGGGCGGCACGATGAAAGGGAAAGAGCATCAAGTTTGCCAGGCCGCAAAAAAGGAGGTGGCGTTCGATGGGGCCCCCAGAACAAGCAGCAGCACAGGCGGTTGGATGAGAGGGGTAGAGCGGGAGACAGGCGGGTGACAAGGGTGAGTTGGTCAGTCTGCTGAGAGCTATGACTATGAGGCTTTTTGCCACCACATGCATCAGAGGGACACAACTCACTCCCACAAGTAACAGACACCTCTCCTCTCCGGAAGCCTCCTCTGGGCTGAGGCCCCTCGGCAGCCACCCCTGCTCTTCCCGGGCCTCGCACTCTTTCACCACGTGTCCCCAGCAGTCACATGACCTATGCCCTCATCTGCTCAGGCCTCTCTTTGGGTGCCCCCACCCACCCTACTGGACACAGCCCCACCTTTGCTAAGGAGGGACATGGGAACAGAGAGCCATTTCCTCTTTTCCTTCTTCTCACAGTGCACAGCACCCCCTGGTATCAGTACGCAGAGGTACCTACCTGCCCCATGAGAGCCGCTCACCACCACACACCCAGCACGAGCACATGGCGGGCCCAGAGACACTACGGAAACCAGCGCCCAGGAGCACCGTGCCCCCCAGCAGCCGCCCCTCTAACGGCCATTTAACGTGTGCTCCACTTAGAGGACAACACATCTGGCCCCCAAAGTCTGACCAGTGCCAAAAGGAATGTGAGGGACAGCTGCCAGTGGGGCAAGGACAGGAAATGCCAATGTGGAAAGATGGGGAGCAGCCAGCTGAGCCCTCTGTAACTCGTCAAAGAACAGGGAATGTGATGCCAACGAATCGCAGGTGCTGGGAGCTTCCCAACATACTGAGCAGACAGACGCCACCTCCAGTCTCACCAGCAGCCCCCGCACCAGCCCCCACGAGGAGACCACCACAGACAAAGCTCGGCCCGCGGGGTGTGCCTCACTCTCCACACACCAAGGGGAAAGGGCCACACACAAGGCCCCTCTTGGCCGCTCACCCAGGGTGGCCCTAAGTATGCCCACCAAGCTTCTAAGCCTTTGACAGGTCCCCAGGAAGCCCAGCCCAGCGCCCTCCCCACTTCACAGGTGAGAAGACAGAGCCACGAAGGTGACGCACCCAAGATCACACAGCCAGTGAGGAGACCCAGGTCTGACTCCAAAACTAAGCTCTTCCCACTGGACCCTCCACTTTCTACGAAACACTGTGCAAAGCCCACACCGGTTAAACACACACGATCCCCAAGGTCCTTCTAGAAAGTGCAGACCGGATGTGGCTCTCAGGATAACATCACCACAAGAATAATGAGTGAATTTACCCTTCCTCTGACTTTTTTTTAAAAAAATATACCAAGTGGGGGCCAGCCCGGTGGTGCAGTGGTTAAGTGCACATGTTCCGCTTCGGCGGCCCAGGGTTCACCCGCTCGGTTCCCGGGTGCAGATATGGCACTGCTTGACACGCCATGCTGTGGTAGGCGTCCCACATATAAAGTAGAGGAAGATGGGCACGGATCTTACCTCAGAGCCAGTCTTCCTCAGCAAAAAGATGAGGACTGGCAGCAGATGTTAGCTCAGGGCTAATCTTCCTCAAAAAAAATAAAAAACAAAAAAATAAAAAATACCAAGTGGAAGTAAACCAAATTCCAGATTTTCCATTGAGGCCCAAACACCATATGGAACTAAGGGAGCATACTGAACAGCTCCTTTTCTAAGAAGCATCACTGAACACCCACTGTACCTAAGACCATCTGCACCACAAGGAAACAAAAAAGGAAGCATCACTCACTCCCTTAACTGAGCTGTAAGAAACAACAAAAAATAAAGAGAGTTCAGTTTATTTGAATTTGATGCTAAAACTAGGTGCTAATAGCCATCAAGGCCACGTGGAATATGGAGACTACAGACCCCAGGCAGGCTGTGACCACCCAGGCTCCACAGGAACACAGACGTAGCATGGAAACACCAACAGAAAGCACCTTTCCACTAACCCTAACTGCCCGAGGGACGGTCCCCTGGCTCTTCAGTGACCCAGAATCCTGCAGCTACCTAAAAAAGTAATCAACTGAAACCACAGAACACTGAAAGAGGAATCCGTTTTCTAGTTCTTACCATTCTTCTCTGCAACGACTGAGCTGAATTTGATACACATTGCTCATCTTGACCTTTAAATTCCCTTCATCATCATCTTCCAAAGGTAAAAAAGTTACAGTTCCATTGAGGACATCTGAGGAAAAAGAAGATACGGATGATAAACTAAAACTGCTTAGTTCAGTGTCTTATCAGAAGCCGTCATAACTTGTAATGAACCAGTTCCGGAGCCATCCATCTCCCAGGGCTCCCCACCTACTGACAGCAGTGCCAGGGGTCGGACAGGCTTTGATCTCCTATTCCCTGCCGCATCCCCGCCCTACACGGGGCAGGGCACGCGGGAGACAGTTTGCCAGGGGCTGAGTGTAAGAAGCAGCCCTAAAACCAGCATCCCCGAGGAGAGGAGCACTGCTCCCAGAGAGAGGCAAAGAGGCCTGTGAGAGCGCCACGTCTCCACCCGCAGGAGCAGGGGCACCGCAGCACAGGTCCTCTCAGTCCAAGGGAGGGGAAAGGTAAAAGGTGACCACGACACGGTGCATAAAGGCTGCAGAGCTCCCAGTCTGGGCACCGCAGGGTCAGAGAGAGCCTCCTGGAGGAAGGACCCCTGGGAAGTCTTGCAGGAGCTCAGAGGCAGACAGTACGGGGCGGGGGGCATGCACCCACCAGCAACTCTGCATTGCTGCTTGTGGCAGACAGAACAGCCTCTCCAAGATGCCCACGCCCTAATCCCCAGACTCTGTGACTATGCTGTGTTACAGGGCAAAGAGGGACTTTGCAGATGTGCTTAAGGAACAGACGTGAGAAGGGGGAGAGTACACTGGATTACGCAGCTGGGCTCAATCTAGTCACATGAGCCCTGAGACCATTCTCCAGCTGGGGGCAGAAGAGGTGCAGCTTGCGAGCAGGAGAATTTGATGCGCGGCGGGCTCCGAGACGCAGGGAGCCGTGTTCAAGAACTGGAGCGAGGCCTTGAGAGCCTTTCCACTCACCTCCTTACCTGCTACACCAGCATTTTGTCACTCAACATCCGGCACTTCTTCACCGTCTCCCTGAAGCCGTCCAGACACTGCCCCAATGAACGAACCCATCCTCTACGTGCCCCTCGAAAAAACAATCAAACATCTACAACCTCCCCAGGACACCGCAAAGGAACGGGCACAGTGGTCCCTTTAGCGCCTTTTCAATGACATGAGGTTGAGCGCGTGCTTTTTAATCTATCCGCATTCTCTGCCAACGATTCACTTCTTGACCCAACTCTCGCCAGGCTCCTCTGAGCCCTGTCCCAACTGGGCTTCAACCCCGGCCCATAAAAACCTGAACAAATACTAACACAGCTCCTAAGGGCACAAGGCTGCACCCCTAGGATGCCCCTAGGCCCCCTTAAAGTGCCTGCTCCGGAAAACTCAAGGCTGACAGAGAACTGACTGTTGGAGCCCACACCTGAGGATAGCCCTGTCCCCCGGCCTCTGGGAGGGGAGGAGCCCAACTCCATAAGCACCAGGTGGCCACCCAAACGGGTGTCACATGGACCGACCCCCTCCCCCTGCCTTTCCTGCTTTTTGTTAACTTTTCGCTGCCCTGACTCTAAGTTCACCCCCTCCCTAATCCCTCCCTCTACCTTGAAAACACCGGGGCGCCTCTGCACAAACCAAAGTGGAGTTCAGTTCACACTGGACTCTCCTCCCCACAGCAACAGCGAAGTACTAATTGAAACCCACCCTCGCCGCTTTCACTGGGGTCCGGCTTTGTTTGCCTCTGACACCTCTACTAAGAGAGATGCTCATACCTTGCACGACCATTTCCCTCGTCGGAGCGAGAAGCGGGCGATGCGGGCTCGATTTCAGGATGACGGTTCTGAGAACCACGTCCAGCTCGTGCTGCGCCTCCGGCCGCGACCCCGCCCGGGAGCCGGCGAGGAAGGCCAGCATCTCCCGATTGCCGCAGAGGCTTCGGGAAAAATCGCTCCAGAGAGAGTCCAGCTCCGAGGCGGGCACGTCGCCCTCCTCGACGCCAGCCTTGCCGGGCTGCCCGGGGGCCCCTGCGAGCAGAGGCGCCGTGGCTGCTGCCCTCCGGCCCCGGGACTCCTCGGGGACGCGCCCCGCCGTGCCCAGCTGGGGGCCTGCGCTCGTCCGGGGGCCTCCGGCCTCGGCCCGGGGCAGGACGGCGCTCCGCCGGGCTTCCAGGCGGGCGCCACACAGCCGCTTGTTGGCCACCTGCGGCCTCTCCAGCCACACGCCCACCGCCTCCCAGAAGCCCCCCGGGAGCAGAGCCCCGGGGTCGCACACCGCCTTTCGGCCAACCTCCGCCATGGTCTGCCTGACTGAAGAGCCAAGCGGCGGCGCGCCGAGATGACGCAACTCGACGGCGCGGCGTGTTAGCGTCATGGGGGCGGGGCGCCGGGGCCGGAAGTGAAAGGGCGGGGATGCGCCGGCGACTTTCGTGCTTCCCTGTCCGTGGGGCGGGCTGCCTGCGGGTGTTCTCACTGAGACTTTAGCCGTTGCTTCATTCACCGGGAATCCAGCCAAGGCGTGTGGGTGCCTGATAGAAACACGATTATATATATATTAATATATAATACATAATATTATAATACATAATATTATTATATTGACAAATAAAAATGGCAAGTAATAGGATATATTGGAATATATGAGGAAGCCATTTGGTATAAACCTAATTCGGCCTGACCTTGTCTTTCCAAAAGGGCCTGATGGAGGCGGTTGAGCATGCATTGTATATCTGCTTTAGAGATTCCCTCTGGCAAGAGCAAAGGCCCTTGAGATAAAGGTGCAACTTCCCTCCCCCTCCAAACGTTGGCATCTCCTTAAAGATTAAGCATCTTTCTTTAGGCTGGGAACCGATTGCAGCACTCATCTGTGACCGCCCAGCTCGAGGCAACACACTTGCCACCCCATGGCGTTCACTGAGACAGCAGACCTATCTGGCGTTTCCATCAATCGCTGTGCTGACAGAGCAGCCTTGTGACTATTGTAAAGGGGACATTTCAATCATATGAGAAACATACTCTTTGAGGATATATAACCACCCTATATACCCCCACTTCTTTGGAGTGCTCTGTTCCTTTGTTGAAAGACTCTCCCGGGTTATAATCCTAAGATTTAAGCTCAGAATAAACTTACCCAAATTTTCATTTATAGATTGGTTATGGATTATTTTCGTTGACAATATTATAATAATACATAATATTGTATATATGTTTTTTTTTGTGTGTGTGTGAGGAAGATTGTCCCTGAGCTAACATCAGTCCCAATCTTCCTCTACTTTCTATGAGGGACACCACCACAGCGTGGCTTGATGAGCGGTATGTAGGTCCTTGCCTGGGATCTGAACCTATGAACCCTGGGCTGCTGAAGTGGAGCGTGTGAACTTAATCATTATGCTACCGGGCCAGCCCCCAAACTAAATTTATGTTGCAAACCTCTTTCCCAATACCATTCTCATCTGCCTCCTACTTGGTGTAATTTTACTGGGGGAAGGAGGTTGTGCTGGGTGCTGGTGGCCACAGCAGAGCTGTGACAGGAGCGTGCTTAGCACTGATCATCATGGCCCATCCCACAGTAACCTGGTGACTCCTTTCTGGCCACTTTTGTGTGAATTCTGAACCAGTGAGGGAGGCGGTGGTGGTGGTGAGAGGGAAAGGAGGAGGGAGATAGGCGAGGCAAATGGCCAGAGTTTGGGAGGAAACTTCAGTGTTAACAATGTATTCAAATAATTGCAGTTAACAATGATGGCCAATAGAGCAAATGACTAAACATGAGCAGGAATGTGTGTGCCAAACGAGGTGGAGTGGGACAGATGTCAAAATGAACAAGAGCACATGGGTGGGGACTGATGGCAGAGCTCTAGTAGGGGACTGCCAAGTCATTGTCAGCTGAGTTACTGAAAGAGTGCTCACCCTCCCACTCTGTTCCCACCAGCTCCGCTGCAGTTCCCAGTAGCTTCACCAGGAAGTAGCTAACGAAACATGTACAAAACCAAATTCCCTTTCTTTTCCCCAAAGTTGCTCCCCCTATGCTTGTCTCAGTGGCATTTCCATCCACCCAGGTCCCAGCAAAACAACCCACAGAGTAGTGTGTGACCTCTTCCTCTGTCCCTATCTCACCACCATCCAATAGTTGCAGTGTCCACCAGTTTTACCTAGAGATGCCAGAGCACACTCCTTTTCAGACACAGGCCAAGCAGGGTCCTAAGGCCAGAGAGGGGACCGAGTATGGGGGAATGGAGGACTGGCAAGCAAAGACCAGAAGGTGAGTCCTGAAGTAAAGCCATGGTGGGCTTTACTGGGTGCTGGAAACAACAGTCTTAAACCCAGTTACCAGTTCAGGAAGCTAAATGGAGAGAGTGAAGTAACATGGCCCAAACTTGGAGAGTGGAGGTAGACATTGTGAGAAGAGAAGGGAGGAGAGAGAGGCAGAGAAGGGAGGGGGACCTGATGACACGTGCAAGCCTGCGAACATCCGCTCTGTATGTGGGCTCCATGTGCATTTTGTGACAACACCCATCTTTCATAGAACCAACAGCAAAATGTCCGTCAACTCCTCCCCCGCTCCAGCTGCTCTGCCGAGGGCTCGTCTCAGGCCTTCGCCTCAGCTGTGCTAGATCCCCAGTTGTTCCTGTTCCGTCCTCTTCACCTTTAGCCTGCCCTCCATTGTCTGCTTAGAAACACCTACTCTCTCCCTCTCACTCCTGCAATGGGCTCAGATGAGTTCCAAGTGGAAAGATGTTTTTCTAATGTCAATAAAACATAGGAACCTGACTCACTTTTTAGTAGTTATAATTTTGGCAGAAACTGTGACCTAAACGGGGTGTGAATTCTGTAATGAAGGAGTATTTTATTACTGTCGAAAGTATCTCCAAACATTTGAAAAACAGCAGCACGTATTTTTATTAGACCACTGTTATTTGATCTGCAAGCAATCCTGGGTGCTCCTATGGACTCAGGGACCCCTTGGACCAATGCCACAGACCTCTGGCTGGAAACACTGGCCTAGATGAAAGATCAATTCTCACAGCTTAGCATGGCATGTACAGGGCCTGATAAATAAATGAAAAGCAACAGTGTATATCGGAGTATATGAGGAAGCCATTTGGTTTAAAACTAATTTGGCCTGACCTTGTTTTTCCAAAAGAGCCTGACGTGGCCTGTTGAGCATACATTGTGCATCTGCTTTAAATATTTAGTATGTCCCAAAGACAAGAACGAGGCCCTTAAAGATAGGAATGTAGCTTCCCCCAAATCAGCAATTGTTTAAGTTTAAGCATCTCTTCCTGGGAACTAAGGATTTATTCTCGACTTGCTGTGCTCACCTTGTCACCACAGACCTACTGACCACGGACCTGCTGTGCTAGCTAAGCATCTTGTGACAACTGTAGAAGGGACATTTCTATCATATGCGATGTATGCTCTTTGTTCCGAGACGGTATAGAACCACTCTGTACACCCCACTTCTTTGGTGCCCTTCCTTCTTTGGGGAAGGAAGGCCCTGGGCTAGTCCTCAGATCTGGCACATAATAACCTCACCTCAATTGTGATTTGTAGATTGATTACAGATCATTTGCGTCGACAGGCCCTAGTTTGTTGATCAGTCCCTTCCTCCTGCTTTTGCACCAGAAGGTCCCCCTGATTATATCTCTGTTTTGAATAAGGGTCACAGCTGTGAGAGCAAGTGTTGCCATGGAATGAAGGAGAAGAAATTTCATAGCAGAATAGGAGTAGAAAGGGGATTTCCAAATATCAGCTGAGCATCTCCGTCCAGACGTCCTATCAACTTCTAAACTCGACGCCTCTCTAAAACTGAACGTGCCATCTTTTCTCTTCCCCGTGACTGCACTGCCCACCTTTCAGTTCCCTTTAAGTGGAAACCTTCTGACTCCTTCTTTCTTCCTCTTTACATGGTAAATCGCCAAGTCTAGTTGATTCTATTTCTGTAAATTCCATTCGAGGCGCGTGTCTTACTTTGGATTACCCGCCCCCCCCCCCGCCCCCCCCAAACAGAGCCGGAGACAAGGATCGGGGCGCAGGCGTTTAAGTATGGAGCTGCCCCAAGATGCAGGGAGGAGGAAGAGGGAAGTAGGAGACGAAAGAAAGAACGCCAGTAAAGGGTGGGTTTCGAGTTGGTTACTGCTTCCGGCACCCCGGCGCAATTCCCCCGCACCCTCTGAGGAACCGGGCGCGACCACGGTTCTCAGACTTGGCTGAGCTCCTGGGCGGCTCGGTAACTTGAGAACGCCAGGCCCCAGCCTGCGGGCTCCGACTCGCCGCCCGGGACTGGCCGCAGGAGCCCGCGTGCTGAACGATCGCCGGGCACCTCAGCGCGAGGCCCACGGGGCGCCCGGGCGCGGCCAGGGACTGGCCTCCGGCGCGCACGGCCTCGGCGCTCCCGGCGCGCGACGCGTCCTGCGTTTCCCGGGCAACGGGGGCGGCCTGCGCGGCGCGATGACGTCAAGGGCGGACGGAGGCCGAGAGGCGGCGGGGGCGGTGGCCTGGACGCGGCTGCGCGCGCACTCCGCTCGCCCTTGACTTTGTTTGCGCTCAGCTAGACGCCCACTGAGCGCCTGCTGTGTGCACTGGGCGGTGCGGAGAGACAGCGAGCCGGAGGGACCGCGCTTTTCTGAGGTCTAGCCTGCGTCAGCCCCGGGGCGAGGGGGCAAGGGGACGAGTGAGTGCCTGGTGGGAGCGGGGAGACAGCGTGTGCAAAGGGCCGGGGGCGCCCTGGGCGTCGGTGCACGCCCTTCCAGGTGCGGAATTGCCTGGAGCAGAAGTGGCAAGGGCCGGCGGGCGGGTAAACGCCTGAGACATTTTGAGGAGTTCGAACGTTGTTCTTTGGGGTCACTGGACACCTGTCACCTAAAGGAGAATGATGAGATCTACATTTTAGAGTCACCTCTTTCACTGCAGAGAGGAAAATTGAGGTGGCTGTCGCTGTCATAATGATATCAAGGCCGCAATCCCATGCTGGGAGGTGTTCCAGGTACTACTGTGAGTTTCAACAGCCTGGAAACTAGGCTAGCGTTACCCTGTCGCCGTAACCACTGAGGCACAGACAGGCGAAGCGACTTGTCAAGTTCACTCAACTCGTAAGCTTTAACGTTGGGGTCTGATGCCAGACACTCTGGCTTCAGAATCCTTGCTCCCAGCAGCTGTGCTTCCTGCAGTAATGTTGGTGACCTCAGGTGGCGGGGGGCTCCAGGGACTTACTGGCTGGTTAGGATCATGGGCTTTGGGGTCAGGTGTGCCTGATAAGAGCTGTGTGACCTTGGGCAACGTTCTTCACTCTGACAGCTCAGTTTCCTCACCTGGAAAATGCGAGCAACGTTGAGATTATGTAGCTGCTTAACACATGCACCTGCACTCAGCGATCGCTCAGTGATCGGAGGTTATGATGATAGATTTAATAGGAGCGGGGAGAAGTGAGAGCATTGAGTAGGCATTAGGGAGGCGCGGGAAGGACCCGGTAACTAACTGGGTCACAGGGCGTGATGGAGAAGGGAATTCCAGGATGACAACCCTTGGGCCACCGGCTGTCGAACTGGGCCTGTGGCAGGACAGGCTGGGTCAGGGGGCTCAGGGTGAGCCCAGTGTTGAACATTCAGAGTTTGAGGGCCTCGGGAACGTGACAGGGAGGGGTGTCCAGGAAACTGCCAAGTGGGTGTGGAGGTCTCCACGCACGAAGGAAAATGTACACGGATGCCCTGATGCAGAGCGGGAGTGGCTAAGGCCAGGTCTGCGAGGAGATGGAAGAGGAGCAGCCGAGGAGGAGGGGAGTGGTGTTCTGGACCCCACGGGGGCGGAGCTCGAGGAGTCACAGGGATGGGGCCACGTGCGGGAAAGTCCAGAAGGTACTGTTCCCCTTGGACTTTATCACTTGCATTTGGGCACCTGGTTTCTGCCAAGAGCTGAGCCTTACTTTTTTTTTTTAAGAAAAATTGCTTTATTGAGATCGAATTCATATACCCTGCAATTCAACTGTCTAAAGTGTGCAGTTCAGTGTTTTTCATATAGTCCCAGAGTTGCAACCATCACCACTGTTCAATTCTGTAAAATATTTTCATCACCCCGAAAGAAACTTTGGACCCATTAGAAGTCACGCCTGTGCACCCCCTCCCCAGCTGCTGGCAGCTGCTCATCTCCTTTCTATCTCTGTGTGTTTACCCATTCTGAGCGCTTCATGTAAATGGAATCATGTGATACGCGATCTTTTGTGTCTGACTCCTCACTTAGCCTGATGCCATAGCGTGTGTCAGTACTTCATTCCTTTTTGTGGCAAATAATATTTCGTTGTATGGACAGACTGTATTTTGTTTATCCGTTCATCAGTTGATGGACATATGTGTTGTTTCCACTTTTTGGCTCTTACAGATAATGCTGCTGTGAACTGCCTTGTGCAAGTTTTTGTGTGGATATCTGTTGTCGTCTCTCTTAGGTGTGTGCTTGGGAGTGGAGTAGCTGGGTCGTATGGTGACTGTATATTTCACCTGTTGAAGAGCTGCCAGACTTTTCCAAAATGACGTAGGGACCATTTACGTTCCCACCGGCCACGTGTGACGGTTGCTGGTGTACGACTGCTCCTCATCCTCATCAACACTTGTTATTTTCTGTCTTTTTGGTCGTGGCCATCCTGGGGGGTGTGAAGTGGTATCTTTTTGTGGTTTCGATCTGCATTTCCCTGATGGCTAATGGTGTTGAGCATCTTTCCATGTGCTTGTTGGCCATTTTTATATCTTCAGAGACATGTCTATTCAAACCCTTAAAATTGAGTTATTTGGCTTTATTATTAAGATTTAAGATTCTTCATATAGTCTGGGTACAAGTCTCTTATCAATATGTGATTTGCAAATATCTTCTCCCATTCTCTGAGTTGTCTTTTTGCTTTTGTTTTTTTTAAAGATTGGCACCTGAGCTAACAACTGTTGCCAATCTTGTTGTTGTTGTTTCCTTTTCTACTTTTGCTCCCCAAATCCCCCAAGTACATAGCTGTATATCTTAGTTGTGGGTCCTTCTAGTTGTGGCATGTGGGACGCTCCCTCAACGTGGCCTGATGAGGGATGCCATGTCTGCACCCAGGATCCGAACCAGTGAAACCCTGGGCCACTAAAGCGGAGCGCGTGAACTTAACCACTCGGCCATAGGCTGGCCCCTCTTTTTGCTTGCTTTCCTTTTTTTTTTTTTTGAGGAAGATTAGCCCTGAGCTAACTACTGCCGGTCCTCCTCTTTTTGCTGAGGAAGAATGGCCCTCAGCTCACATCCATGTCCATCTTCCTCTACTTTCTATGTGGGATGCCTGCCACAGCATGGCTTGCCAAGCGGTGCCATGTCTGTACCCGGGATCCAAACCAGTGAACCCAGGGCCGCCAAAGTGGAACTTGTACACTTAATCGCTGTGGCACTGGGCCGGCCCCTCTTTTTGCTTTCTTAGTGGTGCTCTTTGCAGCAAAGTTTTTAATTTTGATGAATTCTAATTTTCTAATTTTTTTTTATTTTATTGCTTGTACTTTTGGTGTCATATCAAAGAAGGCTTTGCCTAACTTGAGATTATAAAGGTTTACTCCTGTATTTTCTTGTAAGAGTTTTACAGTTTTAGCTCTTACATTTGGGTCTGTGATTCGTTCTGAGTTCGTTTTTGTGTGTGTGTGGACAGAGTTCAACTTCATTGCTTTACGTGTGGCTATCCAGTTGCCCAGCACCGTTTGAGAAAAGACTGCCCCTTCTCCTTGAGTCATCTTGGCACCCTTGTCGAAAAGTAGTTAACCCTGCATGGACGGGTTTGTTGCTGGACTCCAGGTTCTAGTCCATTCATCCAAATGTGTCCGTCTTAAGGCCAGCACCATAATGTCTTCGTTACTGTCACTTTGCAGTGAGTTTTGAAATCAGGAAGTGTGACTCCTTCAACTTTGTTCCTTTTTCAAGGTGGTTTTGTCTCTTCTAGGTTCCTTAAATTTCCATATGAATTTTAGGATTCGCTTTCTAATTCTTGCAAAGAAAGCCAGCTGAGGTTTTGTTTGCGATCACACGAAATCTGTAGATCAGTTGAGGAGTGTCGCTATTGTAACACTGAGTCTTCTGTTCCCTGAAGACGAGATGTGCTTACATTTATTTAGGTCTTAGATTTCTTTCGAGAATGTTTTGGGGCCGGCCCCGCGGCCGAGTGGTTAAGTTCGCGCGCTCTGCTTCAGCAGCCCAGGGTTTCGCTGGTTCGGATCCTGGGCGCGGACGTGGCGCCGCTTGTCGGCCATGCTGAGGTGGCATCCCACATGCCACAACTAGAAGTACCCACAGCTAAAAATACACAACTATGTACCGGGGGGCTTTGAGGTGAAAAAGGAAAAAATAAAATCTTTAAAAAAAAAAAGAGACTGTGTTGTAGTTTTCAGACTATAAGTTTTGCACTTCTCTTGTTGAATTTATTTCTACGTATTTATTAATTTTGATGCTGTTGTAAATGGAATTGTTTCCTTAACTTCATTTTTGAATTGTTCATTGGTGGTGTATAGAAATACAATGGCGTTTTGCATATTGGTCTTGTACCCTGCAAACTGGGTGAACTAATTTTTAGTTCTGATAGTTTTTTAGTGAATTCCTTAGGATTTTCTATATACAAAATCATGTCACCTGCAAATAGAGATTCCAGCCTGGGTCATTTTCTTGCCTAATTGCACTGGCTGGAACCTCTAGTACGGCATTGAATAACGAAGGTAGAGCTGACATCTTGCCTTGTTCCTGATCTTAGGGGAGAGGCATTCAGTCTTTCATATTTGAATATGATGATAGCTATGGGTTTTTTGTAGATGCCCTTCATCAGGGTGTGGAAGTTCCCTTCTACTCCTAGTTTGTTGAGAGTTTTTGTCATGAAAGGGTGTTGGCTTCTGTCAAATGCTTTTTATGCATCAGTTGACGTGGTCATGTATTCTCCGGTGTGTTACATTAATTGATTTTTCAAATGTTGAACCAGCCTGCTTTCCCGGGATAAATCGCACATGGTCGTGATGTATAGTCTCTTTCATATGTGGCTGGATTCAGTTTGCAAGATTTCCTGGAGGATCTTTGCGTCTATGTTCGTGAGGGACATTGGGGTTTTGTTTGGGATCACGTTGAGTCTGTAGGTCAGTTGGGGAGCAGTTGGTTTGTGGTTTCCTTTTCTTGTGATGTCCTTGGTTTGGGTGTCACGGTAACACCAGCCTTATGGAATGAGTTGGGGAGTGTTCCCTCCTCTTCCATTTCTTGGCAGGGTTTGTGGATAACTGGCATCTTTCTTTAGGTGTTCGGTAGAATTCACAATTAAAGCCATCTGGCTTCTCTTTGTGGGTAGTTTATGGATTCCTCATTCAATCTCTTTCCTCGTTGGAGGTCTGTTCAGATTTTCCGTTTCTTCATGAGTCAGTTTTGGGTAGATTGTGTCTTTCTAGGAATTTGTCCATTTCATCTAAGTTGTCTAATTTGGTGGCATGTCGTGTTCATAATTTCCCCTTGGAATCCTTTTTATTTCTTTATGGTCAGTACTAGTTCCCCACTTTGATTCCTGATTTTAATAATTTGTGTTTTCTCTCCTTCGCTGGGTCAGTCTAGCTACAAGTTTGTCAATTTTCTTAGTCTTTTCGAAGAACCAACTTTTGTTTTTGTTGATTTTCTCTGTTGTTTTCTCTTCTCCATTCCATCCGTTTTTGCTCTAATCTCTCTTCTGCCTTCTGCTTGCTTCACGTTTAGTTTGTGCTTCTTTTTCCAGTGTCTCACACGGTGCTTGAGGAGCGTGACCCGAGGTCAGACATGGCTGGGTTCAAACCCCTTCTGTGCCGCTTCTCAGCTGTGGGAGCTCTGGAAAGACAGCCCCTCTGAGCTTCAGTTTTTCCATCTTCCAGTAGGGACAAGAGTACTTGGCTCACAGTTTGGGGGAAGGTTGAAGAAATCCCGTCTGTAGCGGGCACCGTCCCTGGCACCCAAGCAGGGCCTCCGACATGCTCCTCCCACCCTTACCCCTTTCCCTTAGAAAACACAGGGCCTTTTTCCAGTGAAAGAGATCGCTCTCCCACTGCTTATGGGCAGTATTGACCCGTCGTACTCAGAGTCCAACATCCTAGACGATTTCAGCTTCAGCTAAAAGGATGTGAAGGTTCCCGTGGGCCTCAAACAGCTAAGCTGGGGGTCCACACACAGGACTCAGCTCTCCCGGTATTCCTCTAAGTCTGGGTTCATGAGCCACCCCCATCCAACGCCTTGGTTAGCCAAGGCTCTGTGGAAAAGGAAGCAGTCTACTTAGAAAATTCCAGAACCATTCAGTTGAGAGCTGGTTGTGGGGTGCTTGCTCTGTTAGTGGGAAGCCAGATGCCCGTGTGTCAATTAGTGTCCAGGACAAAAGCCTGTGTTCAAAGGCTCTGTGGCTGATATCCACGTCCAGGAGAGCTGGAAGGGGTCCTTTGGTGAGATCGTGTGTGGCCAGTGGACCGGCGAGCATTGGCTGGATTCCAGAGGAGAGCTTCCTGGCCGCAGGGTCTGACTGCGCCTTCGGGGAGGGGTCTGGGTGGCTTGAGTGCCCCCCGGGAGGGCCAGGTGTTCTCAGGCCAGGCTGTAGCACATACAACCTCTGGACTCTACGCCCGGCTCCCCCACAGCCTGTGATCGTGGCGCTTCCCAGCATCGGCCCCGGGGCTGCCCTTGGCTGTCGCCGGTCTCCTTGGTCTCCTTGTTCAGGAGGGAAGTGAGGGGATCTCGCCTCACCGTCCGTTTGGGAAAATGGCTCTTCACGAGGTCATTCTCTTTAGCCTCCCTGTGGACTCAGAGTTCTTCTCTTCTTTATAGCGCGTTACACGTCTGGGGTTGCTCATGGACAGCGTGAATAGATAAACTGAAACACGTGGGCTCAGGTTGTATCTCTTGTGCAGGTTGATGCTGAGCGATGGCGTCCTCTTCGGAAGGAAGTGGCGATGCCCTGCTGCCAGATTTCCCCAGGGGGCCCCTGCAGGCCTACCGTGCCCGCGCCTCCTTCAGCTGGAAGGAGCTGGCGCTGTTCCTGGAAGGCGAGGACATGCTGCGCCTTAAGGTGAGGCCGGCGGCTGTGCGCGAGAGGCCGTGCTGACCCGCAGTGCGGCCCGGGAGGCATCGCCGTTCATCGGCAGGATGGGGCTTCACGCTCTTGAAGCCACGTGGCCTCCCTGGGCCTCGGCTCCGCCTCGGTAAGGTGCGGCTAGTCCTGGGCCCAGCACAGGCCAGGACCCTGGAGCCCCGGGGCTGTGGAGGAGTCAGGAATGAGCACAGGTGGTCTAAGCTCTCTAAGCCTCAGTCCTTCTGCTTCCCGCTGGCAAGGGCTTTCGTCTGCCCCTGCGTTTCTGGGTTAGACAGTGTCCCAGGTAGCCGGCGGCCTTGAGCAAAACCGTGTGAGTAAGAGTGTAGCGAGCTTCCATCCTTTGACTCCAAATCGGCCATTCCCCATCTGCTGTGTTTCCAGAAAACCATCTTCTCGGCTCTGGAGGACGACCCCCTCTTCGCACGTCCCGGTGGAGGTGACCTCCCGATGGAGAAGTACCGGGAGCTGAACTTCCTGCGCTGCAGACGGGTCTTCGAGCACGACTTGCTCCGCGTGGAAGACATGCTCCAGAGCCCCCTGAAAGTCTGGGCGCTGGTCAACTGCCTGGGCATGTACGACTGGTCCCTGGCTGCCAAGTTTTTCCTGAACGTGCTGGTAAGTAGTCAGGTGGGAGAGGGAAGGACATGAGGCTGTCACAGTCCACTCTCCAGCCTTGGGATGGCCCTGCCCCAGGGCCAGGCGGGAGGAAAAGACACTAAAACTACAGGTACTTGTTTCCTTGGAAGACACACAGCGCATAGCATTTGCACAGTTGGGCCCAGCCCAGTGGCCTGGTGGTTAAGTTCAGTGTGCTCTGCTTTGGAGGCCTGGGTTTCCGCGTTTAGATCCCAGGCACGGACTACCCTGCTCATCAGCCATGCTGTGGTGGCGAATCTTCCTCACCAAAAAAAAGAGAGAGAAGAGATTTAGACAGTTGCCGTTGTAGATTGGTAAATGTGTGCTTTTAGAGTTTTGTGGTGATTTATGTGTTTGGGAAATGTTTGTTTAAAGAGATTTCTAAGAAATAATACAGGAAACAAAAGCAGAGATTAGAATGTGTGAGCAGATCTTGTGATTATGTCTGCAAAGTCCCATTTTTTCAGCTATCTATGCAAATTTACACACGTAAGTCCTTGAGTAAAATCCAGTGCCGTGAAAGTTAAAGCCCCTTAGAAGAGGAGCTTTGGGACGTCTTTTGCTCTATTCCAAAAGAACACAAAGGAAAGGGAAAGTAGTTCGAAGGAGAGGCCTGTGTCCCTTCCTCTCCAGCTCCCAGGCAGAGATGCGCTCGGAGGCGGTGGCTGGGCCTCGCCCTGGCTCGCGGTCGGTCCATGTGTTGTCAGGTGGAAAGCCGGGCTCGATCTGCCCGTCAGGCCCCCTCACTCCCTGCCTTCCCCACCCTCCTCTCCTGGCTCCCTGCTGCCCACAGACCCTCGGGATTTCTTTCAGTCTTCGAAGTTCAAAGTGATCCTGTTTAACTCACATGAACTGCTTGGGGCAGGGACCCAGGTCCTGCCACTCCCATGAGCTCAAGGACTGGGTGGCTGGGTCTCAGGGGACCCTGGGCCCCGGTGCTGGTGCTGTCACTTAACTCTCGGAGCTTCCTTCTCGTCTGAAGTGTGGTGGGGAGGGACCGTCGTGGGGCAGGCGGTGACGTGCTGGTCGGGCAGGGTGTCCTGGGATGGCAGTACTCATTAACTTCCACCTGTTTCTGTGACATTATATCTTCAGGTTTTTGGATCAGCCATTTACAACTCTGGTTCTGAAAGACATTTCAAATATATTCCGAAGATCTTCAGCATGGAGGTAAGTTCCGGTTTGCAGTGAGTTGTGAGCCTCTGTTCTCTTCTGTCTTCTCCTTAGAGGCGTGTGACGGGCAGATGGCAGACAAGGGTCCCCGGGGGTCTTATTTCCCAGTGTCCTTAGGCTTCTTGCCAGATAGCTAACACTCTTGTTTACCAGATGGGGGTATGCTAAATTCCTTGCACTGTATGAATTTAGCTTTTTCTTATCAAAGCTGAAGCTTCCATTTCCTTCTGCCGCCGGGGAGCGGTTCCTGCCGCAGTGCTCACTCAGCGAGGCCGCTGGCATCTCCTCCAACCCGCTGTTCCGCAGGCTGGGGGTGGGTCCATCTCGCAGAATGACTGTGAGGTCCCTGGGCAGGTAGATGGGTAGATGGAGATTTGGGGCTTTGATCCATGGCTTAGTCCTTAAAGGGAAGAGGGTGGCAGGTGACCCCAGGAACGCACAGACAGAGGCTTTGTAGCTCATCGTTTTGTGCTTCCGTGTAGATTTTTGGATGTTTTGCTTTAACTGAACTGAGTCACGGGACTAACACCAAGGCCATCCGGACTACCGCTCACTACGACCCCACCACCGAGGTAGGCATGACCTTCCCTCCTTCCCTGGGCTTCGGGCACGAGGAACCGGGCAGTATTGTGGTGAAAAAGTCGTCAGATGGAGAGACTGTCCTTGTCCCCCATGCTTGCACAGCGCACGCCGACATCCAGCCGCCGCAGGGAGGGAGCTCTCGAGACACGGAGTCTGAGCCACAGAACCCGCTCCCCGTGAGCTGTGTCTCGGTTTGGACCTGTGTCGTCGGAGGCCGGTGGAGAAGCTGGCCATCCGTTAAGCGTGTTTCTGTTTCTCGGGCAGCCAGTGGCAGTTGGTTTTGTGACAGTTCAGATCACTCACGCTTTATGAAATGGCAGTGTGCGAGGCTCCTCCGTGACCCTCGTCCCTTTCCAGCTGCCCGTCTGCGTCCCCTGCCTGCGGCCGAGCTCTTTCGGCCAGCGGCCTCCCTTCTCCGTCCCTCCCTGCCCACCGCAGTCTGGCCCCCTGGACCCTCGCCATCTTCCTGCATGCAGGCCTCGTCCCGTGGCTGTCCTGTGGCGTTTGCCCTGTCGGCCCTGCCTCACACCTTCATCAGCATATCTGTCGAGTGCTGCCCTGTGCTGCGCGGTTCTCGGTGCTGTGCGTCGCAGGCTGTGTCCTTGCTCTGAGCGAGCGGACAGTCTGCTGGAGGGAGACAGACCGTGAACAGATGGATTCATGTCTATTGCCCAATAGTCGGTGCTGGGGGGGAAGTGAGGGCAGGGAGAGGACGGGGCGTGCGGGCCGGTGGGGGGCTCCTCGCTCCGGGACCCCTGTGCCTCCCCCGTTCTGCTGCCCTCCCCCAGTCCTGGCAGCCGCCCCCTTCGCCTCCGTTCTCACTGTGGCCTGTGTCCTTGCCCTCCTTTGCTCCCCTGGCTGGTGTCTGGGGAGCCTTTCACCTTCCCCCATTGTAGTGTGGTTTGGAAGAGTCTGTGCAGCAGGAAGTGAAGCCCTGTGCCTGTGTATTTGCTCGTCATCCGTTCATTCAACAGAGAGCACCGAGCATGGGCTGTGTGCCTGGGGCGCTTCAGGCCAGGAGCCGAGGGCCAAGCCCGAGAGGAGCTGGAGCGGGGATGAGGGAGGGTGGTCCCCGTGCCGCACCGTGTGGGCTGCTGTCTCGGGCTTAGAGCCGAGGGCCTCCCTCCACCGCCCGCCGCTCAGCCAAGGCCTCTTGGGGTTTTCTGTTTTTAAGCCACGGGATGCCGCTGTCTGCACCGAGTTCTCTCTGGCTCCGTGGCCCCTGCCCCTGCCCCTGCACTCTGTGCCTGTGGGCTCTGTGTGAGGCGGGGAGGCCTGTTCAACTCTGGCAGAGAGAGGGCAGCACCACGTGGCCTCGGGCTGGGGCCTCGTGGGCCGGTCTGTTTCTAACCACTTCTTCCTGGCAGTTGGTGCTTCAGTGAAGGTGGGGGCACGACGTCCGGGCAGTGAGGTCAGGAGCCCGGAGCCCCTCACGGGCTCTGGTTATGCGTTCGTCTGGACAGCAGTATTCATTGGGTACCTGCCATGGGCTGGACGCTGCTCGTAGAGACTGTATACAGAGCGGCGAGCAAACAGATAAATCTCTGCTCTGGGGCGACTCTCGTGCCAGAGGGGAGACACGGACACCAGGAAGAGAAGCCGGTTGTGCCAGGGGCTATGGAGCCTCGAAGGGATGGGGGTGGAGCGTGACGAGGCACAGGGAGGGCATCTGCAGAGGTGACAGGCTGAGACCGATTGGCACGAAGGAGACAGTTGGGTGAAGCCCCGCGTGGGGAGGCAGCGATGCTGAGGCCCCGAGGGAGCTGGCCAGCGGGTGACTCCTGCAGGGCACAGCAGCCGCGGCAGCTGAAGTGTGGGCAGCGGAGAAGCAGAGGTCGCCCTGAGAGTGGAAAGGAAGGCCAGCTGGCAGTCTGCTCTCCCGCCAGCTCCCACTTTCCTTTAGTGAGGTCTCGACTCTGCAAGATGCTGCGTAGCACGCTGTAGTTTATAAAACCGTGCACGCTGCCTGATTCCGGAAGGAATTCTCCCGGCACATCCTTCCCGCTTCCCACCCTGCAGGAAGAGGGAGAGCTGAGAATGTCCCGACGCTGGCCTCCGTCAGTCACCGGGCCACCGTCCCCTCCCCTCCCCACCCGACTCATAGGCCCTCCCGGTGGGGCCCTCCCCAGGGGCAGCCCCAGCCCCCGGCGACCACCCCGGCTCCCTCTTCTCTTCTGCCAGCTGCATCCTCTTCTGTCCACGCCTCTCAGCTCGGTTGAGAAAAAGAAGGGGAAAAAAAAAAGATTAGCAACAGATGCTAGCTCAGGTGCCAATCTTTTTTTTTTTTGCTTTTTCTCCCCAAATTGCCCCAGTACATAATTGTATATTTTAGTTGTGGGTCCTTCTAGTTGTGGCATGTGGAGTGCCGCCTCAGCATGGCCTTATGAGCGGTGCCATGTCTGCGCCCAGGATCCGAACCAGCGAAACCCTGGGCCGCCAAAGCAGAGTGTGCGAACTTAACCATTCAGCCACGGGGCCGGCCCCCTCAGGTGCAAATCTTAAAAAAATTTAAAAAAAAAGGCTGCGGTCAGGGAGGCCCCCCAGCTCCCTGAATATTTTGCGTATATCTTACTGTTTGGCATGTTAGTTATCATTTAAAGTTCTTCTTTAAGTCGTAAGACCCAGGACTATGCTCTTTAGAAATAGATCTACTTGTGCCTTACAGGCAATAAGACGTTCAGTCAGTTCTTCCTCTTGCCTCAAAGGTTTTGAACAGAGAAAATCAAATGTATCAAAAAGGAAAAGGAAGCCTGTCTGTGTTTCATGTCCTAATCATAACTTTTGCTTTTTTTCCTCGTGCAGGAATTCATCATACATTCCCCCGATTTCGAAGCTGCCAAATTTTGGGTCGGCAACATGGGCAAGACTGCTACGCATGCGGTGGTGTTCGCACAGCTGCATACGCCGGGGGGCGGCTGCCACGGCCTGCATGCCTTCGTGGTACAGGTGGGCTGCCTGTGGTGGGGGTACTGGGGTTCTCAGCAGGGCTGGCCCTCATTTTCTTTTTTGATAACCACTCTAGTGGGTGTGGAGTAGTATTTGTTGTGGTTTTGATTTGCATTTTCTTAGTGACCAGTAATGTTGAACATCTTTTCATTTGCCAGTTAGCTGATTGTCTGTCTTCTTTGGAGAAATATCTGTTTAGATCCTTTGCCCTGTGGAAGGAAGTGGAGATGCCTATGGGAAAGGCAGGGGCCGTGTCCTTGGTGCTGCTGGAGCAGGGGCTCGGCCACCATCACCTGTGTTTGGCAGAGACTCAGAGGCAGGCAGAGGAGTGGGTGTGCTTCACAGAGGAGAAAAGGGGCTCGGGGGGCCCTGAGGGTCTGGGAGCCTGGGGAAGAGGATGCCTCACTAGGAGGGGGCGTCCCAGGTGACTGTGAGGGGGCATGTCTGGCTCTGTCGGTTTGGTCCTGAGGTGGCCATGGGGACAGAAATTAGGGACGCTGTTGGTTACTGCTGGAGTCCTGGCTGGTTGGTACAGGTTGTCGTTTGGCCTGGCAGGCTGCTGCAGGCCGTGGGTGAGAGCTCATGATATGGTCTGGCCATTGTCTGCCTGTACGTTCAGCCCCTCCGTCCATTTCTAAATTGGGTTGTCTGTCTTTTTATTGTTGAGTTACAAGGGTTTTTTATATGTTCTGGATACTAAACCCGTATCAGATAGATGATTTGCATGTATTTTCTCCCATTCTGTAGGTTGTCTTTTCATTTTCTTGATAGTGTTCTTTATGCATACAGGTTTTTAACTTTGATGATGTCCAGTTGATCCATGTTTATTTTTTGCTCACGTCCGTATTTCTCACTTTACATTTGAGCTACTGCAGACGAGGTGTATTTTTCAGGTCCGAGGCCACCATCCGTCACTCCTGTGAGTGCAGATGTGTACCTGAAGTGAGCTTCTGATGGAACTTGTCTGGACTGGAATCCATGTCGTTCAGTGTTCAGTGTCTCTGGTTCTCAGACTAGAGAGCTGCGGTGTTTCAGACTCTTTACCAGTTAAGCTTAAATCCGCAGTGGGGTTTAGCCGTCCCTCCATCCAGCAGCTGGCTCCTGTGCCCCTGGTGTGGTTCCCACAGGCTCGGGGGCAGCGTGGCCCCCTGTCCCCGGGGCTCAGCGCCTGCTGAGGAGGACTGGGCCGGGGAGCCCCGGGGTGGTTAGGTTGCAGTTGTGATGCGCGCTGCTCACGGCCAGCTGGGAAGGTGGAGGGCGGTAATTCGTGCAGGTTCTTGTGTCAGGTTGGCAGTGTCCAAATGTTGTGGGGAATGTATATGTCAGCTGACACAATTATCTGTTTTTGAGATAAGCAGACCATTAACCAGCTCTGCCTTTGACCCTGGTCAGCGTCTTTCCTGGCCTGGAGAGGTCCACGCATTGTGTTTGTAAGGACAGCAGTGCCATCTACTCCCAGAGGAACCGACCCCTTGCACTCACTGTATTGTTCTGTTTGGTTACCTGCAAATCACTGGATTCCTTTTGTATCTGTTCTCCTCTCCATCTCCACTTTTGAAACCATTTTCTAATTTCAAAACGCTTTTAAAAGTTTGTATCTGAATCTTTACTGAGCCTTATTGAAAGATTTTAGAGAAAGGGAAAAGATGGTTGACTTTTGGGTTCCAGCCTTCTATTTTATTTTAAATATCATGATTATAAAGTTCAATTAAGTTAGATCCTTGTGGTACTGAAGTAAACAAAATCCAGCAATTCGTACAAATAGCTCAATCCCAAATAGCACAAATTCAGTAATTCTGTAAAGCAGAGTTTCTCAGCCTCAGTGCTGTTGCCATTTCGGGGCGGCAGTTCCATGCTGTGGGGCTGCCACGTGCAGTAGGGTGTGGGGCAGCTCCCCTGGCCTCCAGCCACGAGGTGCCTGTGGTTCCCCTGGTTGTGACAACCAGAACTGTCCCAGACATTGACGAGTGTCCCCGGTGGGGTGGGTGGGGGGTGGCAGACTCAGGCCTGGGTGGGAATCGCTGCTTTAAAGGTATTCTAGAAGGAAACTCCTGTCCTGAGTGCAGAGCTCACACAGTGAGGAATGTCAGCGAGCAATGTCTGTCTTGTTAGGGAAATGCATTTCTTGGAAACTCGTTTTGAGGAGCAGAGGTTTACAAAAATAATCTTAGGCTTTTTCACCCACAGCACACGTGTGCACAGCCATTTTGTCATTTTATTAAAATCCAGCAGGAAGTCCTGTGTCTGGAACATGCATGTGACGTTCGTAAACGTCAGATGCCAAGTTCCTGAGGCAGCAGGGACGATCCGTTCCTGCCTGAGTTTCCTGAGGCTGTTGTGACGAAAGAAAACACCCCCAGCTGGGAGGCTTCAAACAACTCAAGTTTCTTTCCCTCTCAGTCTTGAGGCCAGAAGTGCAAGATCAAGGTGTGGGCGGGGCTGTGCCCCTCCGGGGGCTCCAGGGGAGGCCCCTTTCTGCCTCTCCTGGCATCTGGGGGCCACCAGAGTCCCGGGCTTGTGGGCGCATCCCTCCGGTCTCTGCCTGTCTTCTCTGCATTCTTTCCTCTCCTGACTCTCAGAGGACACTGGTTGTTGGGCCTGGGCCGCCCGGTGGTCGGCAAGGACCTCCTCTGAGATCTTTAGCGTAACTACCTGTGCAGGGACCCTGACTCCACATCAGGGCGGGGCACACGGTTGCACCCCCCGCGCCTGCCTGGAGGGAGCCCAGGGCTCAGTCACTGGCGTTTTTGACAATGCTCGCTTGATTCTGTGTGGCCGTAACAGTTGCTGTCTGTTGCTCTCTGTACTTTGTAGATTCGGGACCCAAAGACCCTCCTCCCCATGCCGGGGGTGATGGTTGGTGACATCGGGAAGAAGCTGGGGCAGAACGGTCTGGACAATGGGTGAGTGTGCTCCCACGCTCCTCGCGGGGTCGTTACAAAAGGCTGCTTACTCAGGACCTGGATTCCTGCCGAGTCCAAGGCCACGTGGCCGCTCGCACTGTGACCTCCCTGCGTCCCTCAGTGCTGTCCCCTCACCCTCCTGGACTCCTGTGGGCCAGGTAAAACGTGGCGGGGACACATGCCTCACCTGCGTACCTGAGAGCGTGTCCTGAGGGCCTGCGCGTCTCCCTGGGGGATTCCAGGGTCAGCGACGCGGGAGCCGTGGAAGCTGACAGATTTGGATTCAGGTTCTGGGTCCACCTCTGACTCTCTTATGTTGACCAGCTCTCGGCCTGTTTCCTCACCCGTGAAGTGTGCACGAGGACAGAGTCCTTCTGAGCGGGCCGAGGCAGGTCGTCCTGCCCGTTTGCTCTGGCTCAGTGCCCCGAACCTGCACATGGGGGACTTCGTGCCCTGTCTCTGGAAGCCTGGCTGAGGGGCTTTCCGCTCCTCTGCTCCTGTGAGGTGGTCTACAGCTGGGGAGGAAGCCAAAGCAGGGCCGTGCCTTAGTCGTGTGTCCTGCGTCGTGTCTCTGGAGTGTTTATAGACTTGCTGCTTCGTAACAGGGAGCCGCCTCTCCATAGTTTGACTCACCGGCTATCATAACCCTGGTCATTTGGGTATGAAGCAGGAGGCGGGTCATCGCCAGAAAGAGAAGCTGGACCAGGTGGCTTCCAAGGACCCCGAGTGTGGAGAGACCTCCTTGCATCTGTCCCTTCCGGGAAGTCGGGGTGCTGGGGATGTGGGGAGAGTCTCAAATCTCTGCTTGGACCCTCAAAACACGGGGGGCCCAGACTGTACCAAAGAGGGCTGGGAAGCCTTGATTTTACTCAGTGCCAGCTTGAGGAGAAAACAGAAGGATGTGGTTAACGAGCAAAACGAAGCACGCGTGCACAAAACCCTTCTAACCAATACCTGTCTCCCGGAATTCTGGCGCCTCTCGCTGACTAAAAGAGCCTGTTTGACACTGGGGCCAGGCGGGGAGGAGGGCGTCCCCAGTGGGGCCGTAAATGCCTTTGATCACTACTTTGTGCAGTGGGGGGGGCCCTGGCGGCCCACGCTGAGGCTCGCCATCCTGTCCTTGTTCTCGGGGCGGTGGGGAGGCACGGCCGCACTCTGGTCTGTCCGAGAAGGTTGCACTGGCCGTGGTGAGGAGACATCAAGGAAGGCCGTGCAGGAGGTCCTGTGGAAGGGACTGCCTCGTTCTGGACTTTGAGCACTAGCATCCTTTTGTTAGATCCACGTGTCCAGTTTGGGGCCCAGAAAACACGTGATTCGTGACTCCGTCTGTGGAGGGGTCTGCACGTACATGTAAGGCCAGGCGGTGCATCCCCAGGTGCGTACTGTGGTAAATCACCCTCCAGCTGCGGATAAAGGCGACCAGGTCACATCCGGTGGGCGGCACCAGGTGTGGGCCTGGGTCTCTATTCTCTGTCCATTTGGTTTTTACTATTTAGAGTCTTTAACATTGTTTTGGAACATCACCAAAACCCCTGCACTTGTTTCCCCTGAATAAACTCAGACTCCTAGAGACTGAGCACCTGTCTCTTGTTCTCATGGTCCCCAGGAGCATTGAGTAGAGCCACGTACAGTGAATGTGTCACAGAACATGGCCCAGGCTCTCCTGAATCAGTATGTCACGTTGCTGGGGCAAAACCTCTTCTGAGACCCAGAAATGCCGGGCACCGCCAGCGTGGTCCTGGGCAGTGTAAGGGCCACCCGGTGGCGCAGCTGCGGGGCGGCTCCCCCACACCCGTGCCACCGTGCCTGGGAGCTGCTCAGTGGCAGGCTGGTGAGACGCTGCAAGCAGCCACAGGGGTCTCTGAGCCTCTGAAGGTTCAGTGACTTGCTCTGGTCCGCGGCTCACAGGGCTGGTGCTGGGCTGTGAGCTGTCACGTGATTTCGCCAGACCCCCCCCCCCCCCACCCGCTCCTGCTCCCCAGAGATGCTGGCTCCGTCCTGGCCTTGGGCTTGCGCCCAGCAGAGGGCGCACGGGGTCCGAAGCTCCTCGCTGGCTCCTGAGGCCGCGCCAGGATCCTGCTGGCTTCTCTGCCTGGGAGCTGTGCAAGTTCTCCATCGAATTTGAATGTCAGGGTTCTAATTTAGTGATTTTTTTTTCCCCAGATCATTTATTTTGGAAAAAAAGCCAAGAATTTGTAAGTTAGATTTTGTCACTTCCCAAGAATTCCCAAGTATGTGGGATGGCCGTCTAGAACTCAGAGGCAAACATGAATTGTGTGGATTAATTTTGGCCAAATAACTCTGGAAGTCAAATAATGAAGACCCTGTCAAGTGAGGTTTTCAGCCAGACCTTTGATGTGGGCTGCAGCTACATTTGTTTGTTTGTTTGTTTTTGAAGGGAGATCCCAAATTGGGACCCTCAGTTCCGGTGATCGCTTCAAGAGGCACGTGTCTCGCCACAGCGCCCTCTGTCAGCTTTGTCCGTCCCACTTTATTTTTACTACGCGGTTTGTCTATTTCTTTCTTGCGTTTATTATTTGTTTATTTATATGTATTGCAGCAACATTGGTTTATATCATCATATAAATTTCAGGTGTACATCGTTATATTTCATTTCCTGTGTAGACTACGTCATGTTCACCGCCCGAAGACTAGTTACCACCCATCGCCACACACGTGTGCCCTGTCACCCCTTTTGTCCTCCTCCCCCCTCCCCCTCTGGTAGCTATCACTCTAATCTCTGTCTCTGTGTGTTTATTTATTGTTGTTGTTATCTTGTGTTTATGAGTGAGATCATACAGCATTTGACTTTCTCCCTCTGACTGACTTCACTTAGCATAATACCCTCAGGGTCCATCCATGTTGTTGCAAATGGCAAGATTTCATGTTTTTTGTGGCTAAGTAGTATTCCACTGTGTATATACCACACCTTCTTTATCCATTCGTCCCTTGATGGGCACCTAGGTTGCTTCCAAGTCTTGGCTATTGTGAATAATGCCGCGATGAACATAGGGGTGCGTGTGCCTTTATGCATTCGTGTTCTCATGTTCTTTGGATAAATACCCAGCAGTGGGATAGCTGGATCGTATGGTAGATCTATTCTTAATTTTTTGAGGAATCTCCATACTGTTTTCCAAAGTGGCTGCACCAGTTTGCACTGCCACCAGCAGTGTGTGAGGGCTCCCTCTTCTCCACACCCTCTCCAACATTTGCTATTTCCTGTCTTGTTAACTATACCTATTCTGACCGGAGTGAGGTGATATCTCATTATAGTTTTGATTTGCATTTCCCTGATAGCTAATGATGTCAAACATCCTTTTATGTGCCTATTGGCCATCTGTATATCTTCCTCGGACAAATGTCTGGTCAGATCTTTTGCCCATTTTTTAATTGGGTTGTTGTTTTTTTGTTGTTGTTGAGATATATGAGTTCTTTATATAGTTTTGAGATTAACCCTTATCAGATACATGGTTTGCAAATATCTTCTCCCAATGTCAGGTTGTCTTCATTTTGTTGATGGTTTCCTTTGCTGTGCAGAAGCTTTTTAGTTTGATGTAGTCCCATTTGTTCATTTTTTCTATTGTTTCCCTTGCCCGGTCAGACATGGTATTTGAAAATATGCTGGTGAGACTGATGTCAAAGAGTGTACTGCCGATGTTTTCTTCTAGAAGTTTTATGGTTTCAGGTCTTACATTCAAGTCTTTGATCCATTTGAGTTGATTTTTGTGCATGGTATAAGGTAATGGTCTACTTTCATTCTTTTGCCTGTGGCTGTCCAGTTTTCCCAGCATCGTTTATTGAAGAGAGACTCCTTTCTCCATTTATGCTCTTGGCTCCCTTGTCGAAGATTAGCCATCCATAGATGGCGCAGCTATGTTTTTGTGCGATTGCTCTCAGATGAGGCAGGGCCTTTCGGCCTTGGGAATCCATCTCAAAAGTGGCTGGGCAGAAGTCCCAAAAGGTGCTAGATGTGTGGGTCACAGGTGGGGCTGGGGTGATGGTGATGGTGGGAGGCCCAAAGGAGGAAGAAAATTGCTAGAACTTGGAGCAGAAAGCCCAGGGCAGAGGGTGTGCAGTGCCTGGGAGCAGGGTCTGCGGCTGCAAGCGTCCAGCACAGCCCCGCCCCCCGCCGGGGTCACACTCTCCCTGTGCCACGTACGCCCCCGTGCCACACACACCCTGTGCCACACCTGTGTCATAGCCCGGGGTCACACACTCACCCTGTGTCACATACCTGTGTCACACGCACACACTTGTCTCACACTCTTGTTTCACACACATCCCATGTTGCACACCCCCCTTGTTCAGATACACCCAGTGCCTCCCACACCCTATGCCCTCTGGGACACTGGGAGTTCTGGCTTGCAGGCTGGCGCCCCAGTCTGGCCATCGTCTGACTGTTTGGGACCAGCTTTTGTGAGGTAGAAGTGCTCAAAGAGAGTACGGGAAATTTTTGCTTTCCGTTAAACCCAGCGAATACTTGTGCAAATATAAATATATTCGGCCTTGTTCCACCTCTGGGTGGCACGGAAGGGCGAAGATTTTCCACTCCTTACAAAGGGCTCTTCGAGTTTACCGGGTTGTTCTTGCAGCAGCATTCCTTGGCTTTCGAGGAAAGCCGGTGTACACAGGGGCGTTGGCATCAACTCTGGGGTTCTGGAAAAGTGGGCGTCTGAGTGTGCAGCCACACTCACAGCTGTCATGTGGTGGCCCCCTTGGCTGGGCCTGCCAGTGCCCCAGGCTGGCCGTGAGGAGGGGCTGCAGCCGGCCATCCTTCCCCACGTGGCTGGAGGAGTGTAGGAGGGCCTCCGAGCCACCCATGCCCGCTGGGCTCTGCTCCCCCCAGGTGTGCTGGAGGGCACGCTGTCCTTACCCCAGGCCCTCCTGGGACCTGGGTTCTCTGGAGATGGCACCAGCGCCCCGCAGATTTCTCACCCACAGTAGGTTCACTCCACAGCACTTACTAAGTGTCTGGTAGGTTCCAGGCACTGCAGCCCCATTGTAACAGAGTGAACAAGACACGCCGCCAACTGCCTGTGCACAGCAGGTGGCTCAGCAACGAACGTGGACATGGGCAGTCACTGCAGAACGGGGCCGCCCTCTACTGGCGCTGTGGGACCACCTGGTGCTCAAGGGGAATCGTGGCAGGCTTCCTGGAGGAGAAGGCAACACTGAGGGCCACCTGCCTGGAGGTCAGGAGAGAGCCTGGCCAGTTTGAAGGTCACAGGCAAACACAAGCCAGCTACAGGCTGTGAGGGGACAGTGCCATTGGAGCAGTGGGCAGGTCCTGTCTGAGGACTTACCCTGTGTTTCTAGGGGGTTAGATTCTGTAGGGCCCAGGGATCTGATGGTCTCGTGAGGGTGTAACCATTCTGAGCCAGAGTTGGGAGAGGCTGCTGCTCCCCTGTGCGGGACAGGCTGACGAGGCGGGGTCTGGAAAGAGCCACGGGGGCGTTGATGCAGTAAATCAGACAAGAAGAGGTGGGAGCTGAATGGAGACGGGGCTGGAGGGGAGCAGATGGTCAGACACAGCCCAGGGCAGAGGGGACGGCAGAGGCGGGGCCAGGGTGCTGACTCAGGATGGCGTCCTGGGTACCGCCCGCAGGCTGGAGCCAGAGGAGCTGTCTGTGTGGTTTAGTGAGAGAATATTCCCTGTGATGCTGAGGGTGCTCTTAGCCATCACACAGGTTGCTATAGGAACTACTGATATTTTTAAGATGGTTCAGGTTTTTTTGCACAGTTTATGTCACACCCATTACTTTACATAACCCCGTTCCCTAGACAATTGTGAAATAGGTTTTCCTGACCTGACAACCATAGCAAGTACCTTTGATCACTGTCACGTGGCTGACCCGTGACGACATGTGTGTCCGCCTGCTCTTCACGAGGAGCCAAGTGGCAGCCTTTGGGGCAGGGCTGTAGTGGCGCGGCTCTTGAGTTGGCCTCCAGAGTTTAAGCCCCACTGTGCTGATTTTTCCGCACCGCACGGTGCAGCCTGGGCTGAGGTTGCAGTGTGGGAGCCAGAGACCCTGGCCCTTCGGTTCACAGTTCCCGTCCTTTCTGGCGAGTAGCGGCGTCCTCAGTGGATGCAGGGCCGAAGACTCGCCCTGCAGCCGGCCCCCTCTTCCCTTGTGCCCGGGGAGCTCCCTGTGCAGCCCCAGGACTGAAATTCCCTGTCTACTGGTGTCTTCTCTCCCATTTTCTTTGTCTTTTGGGGATTATGTCACCTTTTAAGTGGTCCTTCGCTTTCATTTGGCTGGGTTTCAGGAGACAGAGCAGGTAAGCGCCAGGCCAGACCCCTGTTCACCTGCCGTCCTGCCGTGTCTCCGCAGGTTCGCCATGTTCCACCAGGTGAGAATCCCTCGCCAGGACCTCCTGAACCGGGCTGGAGACGTCACCCCTGAGGGCACCTATGTCACCCCCTTTAAGGTACAGGTATCTCCAGGCAGGGGGGTTTGTGGGTGGCAAGGCCTCCCCTCTTGCCACGGCCCCCCCTCCATGCTCAGCAGGGGATGGAGCCCAGCTTGGAAGGTGGGCTCACCTCTCTAAGTTCAGGTTCCAGTGCCACCAACAAGGAAGGGGGCACTTGGGTGTGATGGGGCCCAGGCATGATGACAGATGTTGGCCGACAGCTGCCCATGGGCGTCCACTCCCCTGCACCACGCCACCAGCCCCCCGGGGTTACGTCAGGGATGCTGCCTCTGCCAGCGTGGTTTCCCAGGAAGGGTTAAAAGGTGAAGGGCCACCTGGCGGGGCGTCCACACGTGGGGGTGACAAACCGCGTCCACTGGCGTCGGGGGTTCCCCACGCCCCCAAATTCATTGTGTAGTAGACACAGTGGTGTGGCCTTGAGACCTTGGCAGATGGGGCCTGAGTTGGAGTGGCCGATCACCCTCCTAAGTCCTGACCTCACAGCCAGGATGGCCGTGTCCCGAGGAGCTTATGTGCCACGAGGGCTCTGCCCGGACAACATGCGTCACTGACAGGAGCCGAAAGGGCAGGGCTTAGAACGAGTGTGGCAAGTTCACTTAGAGACAAGGAGAGCACTTAGCACCGTGCAACTGGAAGTCATTTAAGATGGAAATGGTAATATGAAAAGTTAATTAAAAGTGAATATGGAAAAAAAATAATCGAAAGAAAGCACGTAACAGATGGGACAAATAAGGTGGGAGAATGACTTAGAGATTGGAGAGTCGGTCAGGGAGCCTCCCAGAGGCCCAGGAGAGGATGCGAGAAAACAAAGAAAGTTTGGAGGAATGATGACGGCAGATGTCTCTAAATTAAAGAAAGGAAAACAGCTTTGACCGAAGGACCCCGTGGCACCCACAGAGGAGACGTCAGCGAAGCTCGCACCCCAGGCACACCGGAGAGAAGTTTAAGAATCTCCAAGAGCAAATTCTGAACTCTTCAGAGAGAGGCTACCGATCTGGCTCTGAGAGTAAACCCGCTTCCCCCTCCGACTTCTCAGGCGCAGCCCTGCAGGCGGAGAAATGCGCGATCCTGCCCAGGGCACACGTGTGCCGTTCCATCCTGCTTCCCTGTCATTCGGGCGCGAGGACGGGAGAGGGCTTCCCCCGCATGCGGAGTTTCGGAAGGTTGCCACGCAAATTCCTACAGGGCTCATAATTTTGGAAGAAAAGCCCAAATAATGAAGTGACCCAGGAGAAGCAGCAGGTGGTCAGGGAGGTCAGGGCGATGGGACAAGCCCGTAAGGCTGTGGGTCAGGCGGACCCACCGCACCACTGACAGGCCTCGAAAACAAGCCAGGCGCTTCGGAGACGGTGGCGCGTGCCCTGAGATCTGTAACAGAAGATCAAAAGTAGAAGCGCGCAAGATGGCTGCCCATTTTCAAGGAACACAATAGCCGATGACGTCACACCCCTGGGGACGGTTGTCTTTGATGGGGAGAGAGGAATTCTGGGGGAAAGTGGGTCCATGGGACTCATTTTGTGAACAAAGCGTTGGCACCAGCCATGGAGCGCGGGTCCGCGGTTCCCCCCTGGGCTCTGGGCACAGGCACGCTTGCATCTCTGGGTTAGAGCCAGCTGCCGTGCCTGCAGGTGGGCAGGGACCAGTCCCTGGGAGGGTGCGTTCCTGCACAGTGCTCTTCCCTCTGCCTGGAGCACCCTCCCCTGGTGCCTCCCCACTCCATCCCATGAGGGTTCAGTAATGGCAGCCACTCGACCTGCCCGCACTGTCCTGCACCCGGAGGCCTGTGTGTCTGGGCGCCCTGGGGGCAGGACCCAGCCGGCCCTTGTCGGCCTGAGTGGCTGAACGGACACACCTTCCTCTTGGTGCCCTTCTCCCTGGGGAGGCCTCGGAGGTCTTGCTGCACTCCTCACCAGCTTTTCTTCCCCAGGACGACAGGCAGCGCTTCAGAATGTCCCTGGCTAGCTTGTCCTCCAGCCGCGTCTCCATCGTGGGCATGTCCGTTGTCAATCTGAAGCTGGCCGTGTCCATAGCCATTCGCTTCTCTGCCACTCGGCGTCAGTTTGGGCCGACAGACAAGGAGGAAATACCGGTTCTCGAGTATCAAATGCAGGTGCAGTTGGCAAATGCAGGTTCTTTTTCTTTCTGTTCCGTGTGCAAGTGGACTTCTGTCAGGGAGCCATGCTTTGGTTCCGAGAGTCGACCAGACCTCCTCAGGCCGTTAAGAGAGCCATTGCCAGGGCGCTTCGGGAGGTTGAGCGGCATCCAGGGCCGGGCTTTTAGGAAATGGTCGTAGTTAAGGCGGGGCACGCAGGACTGTCCCCTGAGGAGAGTGGAGGAAGTGTATTCCGGCGAGGCTCTGGGAGACAGGTGCACATGCCGTTCCCACGTGAGGTCACTGCAGGCTTCGGCAGGTGGCCTTGCACGTCCACGACCTTTGACTCATTCATCCCGTCCCTGAGAATCGATCCCAAGGAACTGACCGTTAAGCTGCGGAGTGTGCCCCGTTGTTCCTTGTGACGTCGTTTAGCAGAAGGGACGCTCCTCCTCCGGGTCCTCGGAGATGAGGCAGCTGTTGACGGCAGAGATGCGGCCCAGACCACAGTGCAGGAAAGCCCACGTCACTGCCTGGGAGGGGTTGCATTTTATCACAGCGAGTACCCGGACAGCACTTAGGGTTACCAGCCCATTTGTCCACACCAGGTGTCTAGTCGTCACACACGCGGGTCGGGTCATTATTCCCAGTTTGCAGGTGGGGGACTGAGGATCGAATGGGTGACACCTGTCAGAGTGCAGTGGCTGAATCTGGTCCTGGTCCACATTCTGTGTAAGCAAAGGTGTATTTGAGGGAAAGTTTGAGGTAATTGTCACAGAATCATTTCTTTTACTGTGAGCCTGTTTTAATAATAAATAATGAAGAGCAGAATGTCCTGGTTCATGCCTGTGTGGCACACATCTCCCACCCCCTGCTAATCCCATGGCTGTCGTGAGGTCACAGGGCATCTGACCGCCTGGGCATCCAGCGTGGCTCGGTGGTTACGAGAGCCCCCTCACGCACAGTGCTGCTTCTCCTAACCCCAGCTCCACCCCTAGTGGCTGTGTGCCCTTGGGCAGGGCACTGACCCTCTCTGTGCTCTGATTTTCTTATTTGTAAATTGGAAGTGATAGTACTAGCTCTTGACTGGTGGCTGTAAGGGTGAAGCGCGTTAGGACATGAGAAACAGGCGCAGCGTCCACCCTCAGTAACGATCAACGGTGGGGACTGTTTCCCGGGTCCCTTTTCTCCCCTTCCCACTTCCCATCCCTGCAGCAGTGTATGTGCACAGGTAAATAAGACACTCTCCTTTCCTCCGAGGAACTTCTGGCTCTTCATGAGCCTCAGTTTCCCCATCTGGCTTAGGTTGGTTGCTTCATCCCTCAGGGCTCACAAAGCACAGGATATCAGCCAGTCAGCGGCCTACTCTGGCACAGCAGGCTGGCTTCCGTAGTTCCCAGATGGACCCACTCTCACTCTGTTCCAGGGGTCACCTCGATGGGCCAGCGGGCAGTGGGGGCATGGACCCACACTCGCTCTGTTCCAGGGGTCACCTCGATGGGCCAGCGGGCAGTGGGGGCATGGATCCACACTCGCTCCATTCCAGGGGTCACCTCGATGGGACAGGAGGCAGTGGGGGCGTGGACCCGTGCTCGCTCCGTTCCAGGGGTCACCTCGATGGGACAGGAGGCAGCAGGGGCGTGCAGGGAGATGCACAGGGAACAGTTGCACCTTTGAGCGTGGTTGTCGGGGTGATGGGCGGGAGAACGGGCTGAGCTGAGAGCGTCAGGGGCACGGTTTCCTGGAGGGACCAGGAGACATTAAGTGGGAAAGTGAGCAGTGAAGTCCTGTCGCCCACGCTCCCGCATCTGGTGCTCACGGCATGCAGGGTGGGCTGGTCCCGAGGCCCTGGGGTGTATTTACGCGAGTGTCTTATTTACTGCAGCAATGGCGCCTCCTCCCGTATCTGGCAGCTGCGTACGCCTTAGACCACTTTTCCAAATCGCTCTTCCTGGACATGGTGGAGCTTCAGCAAGGCCGGCTGGGGAAGGACGCAAGTGCCGGGCAGGTGAGAGCTCGCTGTCTCTTCTCCGCGGCATTTATGTGGCTATTCACACTCGCTGGGGCTGGACGGCTCGAGGCAGCCTTTCTTTCAAAACAGCTGAGGCTGCTGGTGTCCAGGATGCGGCTCTGACGTACTCCCTCGCTGCGTCCACCCCCTCGGGCCCCTGGGAGCTCGCTTTGATGATGTGAGCAGTGTGGGCGCGTGTCCATACCCCTGTTTCTCAAGGATGTGCTGACAGGACTCCTAATTCCAGGCTGTGAGTTCAGCTGTTGCTCTCCTTTTGAGAACATGATGGTTTTGCAAAAGCCTCGTTCCTGGCCCCTCAGTAGATTTCATGGTTCGATCCTTTTGTAAACAACCCTTCAAAGATCTGAACCCAGCTGACGGGATTCGAGTTGACAGCTAAGGATTAGTGCCAGGAATGAGCGTGCAGATCCACTGAGATCAGCGACTACGTAAAAAGAAGTCCTTTGCTCATTTCTGTATTGATGGCTTACAAATTGATTTTCCATAGCCCCTCACGCTGCCTCCTGGGCAGGAGTGAGATGTGAATCACGAGAAATGCATTTGAAAACAGATTAAAAATGCTGCAGATTGGGTTGTACAACACTCTAAAGAGCCTGGATCAAATTAGCACATTTTGACTGTTCTGCATAAACAGGAGTCAAGAGGCTCGGACAACATGGGGGGAATGGCCAGCAGGGCGTGCTGCTGAGCAAAACGGGTCTGCCCGGGTCTGCTAGGGACCCCTCTCCGGAACAAAGGGGTTAAAGGTGTTTTTCCCCGTAGTGTGAGTCATTGAAACTTCTGCCAGCTGACATTGGACTTATTCTCCTGTTAATAATGTTACAAAGTGTAATCATGCTTTATTTTTGCTGAAACTCAGTGGTTTAACCCAGGCGCAGTAGGACCCAAAAGTAGCCCTATTTGAAGTTGAAAACCCTGGTAAAATGCACTATCTTATTTAGCAGGTGTGAGTGCGTTTCTTTCTCCTAAACGTCAAGCAGAAGCAGAAAGACATTTGTAAGATGTGGACGGCCCAGGACGCTGGCTGGAGAGCACCCTCGAGGAGTCGACTGGGAAGGGCCCCCCTTCACGGTCTCCTGGGACCCGTCCCCACGTCCCTCCTCAAGGGGCAGCGTCTCAGCACTGTGTCGTCTCTTGCTTCTCTGTGTGGTCTCACCACAGACGGTGGGAACCTTAGACATCACGTTGCTCGTTTTCACGTTCGTGAACTTCGTGTAAACTGAGTCCTAATGTATGTTCCTGTGAGGTTTGCTTCTGCGACCAGCCCAATGCCCCTGGCTGGGGGTTATCTGCTGTACAAGCTGTGGTCCACTTATTTTCGTTGCTGTGAAATTGTCTGAGTGTACCACAATGTGTCCATTCTTAGGTGAATCCTGTTTTTAGACTAAAATAGGGTAGGGTTTCTTTGTTCTGCAGCTGTCAAGTGTCCCAGATTCGACTGGAGGACAGGCCTCTGTCGCTAGGGTTGAACTGGCCCCTGACCTCTGGTGTCAGAGCCTCTTTTCACTTGCTTTTGTTGGATTCCCTCTCTCAAGGCAGAGCTCGGACGTGAGATCCACGCCTTGGCGTCGGCCAGCAAGCCCCTGGCCTCGTGGACCGCCCAGCGGGGCATTCAGGAATGCCGAGAGGCGTGTGGAGGACACGGCTACCTGGCCAGTAGGTTTTGGAGAACATGTGACGCTTTCCTGTCCTTACTCCTGGTGGCTCAAGACCAGGGGTCAGCACACTGTGACTGCCCCCAGCTTTTGGGAATCAAGTTTTACTGGAACGCGGCCATGTCATCCGTTTACGTGTTTTCCGTGGCTGTGTTTGTGCTGCAGTCAGAGCTGAGGGGTCGTGACGGAGCCTAAGATGTTTGCTCTCCGGCCTTTTCAAGGACGTGTGTGCCAGCCCCGGCCCCACGCAGCTCCCTCCGCTTCTGACGCCCCACGTTCCTCAGTCGAGATCTGGGGGTAACGACACAGTGAGGAGAAACCGTGCGAAGGAGCCTCCTGCAAACCAGAGCAAAAAGCAGATTATCTGTTCGTTTGAATCGTGACATTTTGGTTAATGACGTGGCAGTAGACTGGCACCAAGTTTTGTTCTGATGAAAAATTCTTAAACTTAGAAAAAGAGAGCTGGTTTTCATTGGCATTGGCTGTCGTTTGGGCAGCTGGTGTACGGGTAAGGGAGCAGGCAACCCGTGGCCCAGGGCCAAATCCTGGCTCTGCCGCTCACTAACGGCACAGCCGTGGGCAGGCTACCCAAGCCCGCTGTGCCTCAGTTTCTCTGTCTATGAAATGGGGATGGTTATAGGATACGACAGCACGTTCTTGCCCTGATTCAGTGAATACACACGCAGGAAGTGCTCAGCACGGTGCCGGGCACATGGCTTACCTGCAGAACTCCTTGTGCTAATCTCCGTAACCGACTGGTAGAACCTGGTTACGCACGGAGGGCCACTCACGCCTTCGAAACAGCAGCACGGGCAGGAACCTTATTGGCAGCTCATACCAACAGAAGCATCTCGGGCTCTTGCTGAGTTTGAGGGTTCCGGTGATGGGCTGTAGACACAGCATCCTGTCAGTGAGGGTCCACCCCAGTTTCTGCTCAAGCAGGGGCAGTGCCTCCCCCCCCATCCCGACCCCGACTCCTCCATTCTCTGCCTCTCTCCGTCACTGGTGTGTGGGTGACCATGGCTCTGCATCAGTCACTCAGTTACCGGTTTTGTCCTCCACACGACGCTCTTTGTAGTTTCTGTTTGTTGTTATAACTCATAGAGACGCTATAAATAGTTCAGAATAAGGAAATTGAGTCATGCAGGACTGCAGACAACAACATGACTGAACCAAGAGTCATTACATATAAAACACTAAACATAAGGCCTTTATCTAGGTTTAAATGTCAATTGCAAGTGACTTCCCTAAAGTTGCTCCCAGCTCCTCACGCTCAGTAGTCTAAGTATGGCATGGGCAGCCAGTCGCGAAAACAATAAGGATGTCATAGGTGACCACAAGCCTCGTGGCTGCTACAGAACATCTCACACCCTCCGGGGCTCTGTTCCTGGCAGTGTGTGAGCGGGAGAAGTCAGAGTCCCAGCCCTTTCCCATCCCAGCCTCACGTTGGGAGAACCTTCTCCATCAGAGGATGGAGACCCAGAGGTGGAGGGTCTGGGAAGCATCCCTTATAAAATATGCAAAGGAAGTGGGTTATTTAACTGGCAGGAGAGACCACAAGAGGGAAAGGAGCTTTGTCTTTGGATATTTGAAATTTTCTGCATGAAAAGAAGGGTCACTTCAGTTGTAGAAGGACGAAGGGCAGCCCCCTGACAGTGAGCCCCTAGAACATTCCAGGTCTCTCAGCGACGCCCCCCTCCCCCGCCCCGCCCCCGGGGAGCTTCTGCGGGGGGCCCATGCGGAGCTCATGATAACAGTGGGGATGCTACTGACAGTGACTCTGTCTCGAGTGCTCACTGTGCACCAGCACCACCCAAGTGTTTACGGGGACCCGCCCGTTGACCTCCCTGACAGCCTTACTGGGCAGCTGCCCCCATATCCGGAAGGATGGAGCGGGGCCTTTACAGAGGTGGGGGGCGCACAGGCCCCTGGGAGGTGGAGCTGGGCCTCAGCGGGGTGGGAGTGCCTCATCGGGTCAGGCAGGGCCGGGGACTTTGAGATCCCAGATGGGCGGGGGGTTCTCCCCGTGCACCCCACCTGATGGGAACGCTGTGGCTTCACTGCAGTGAACCGGCTGGGCCACCTCCGAGATGACAATGATCCGAACTGCACGTACGAAGGTGACAACAACGTCCTGCTGCAGCAGACCAGCAACTACCTGCTCAGCCTGCTGGCCCGCCGGGCCCAAGGTGAGCCCGCCGCTCTCTCGGCAGCCCCTGGACTCAGACGGGGAGCTGCCCTCGGGCCCCGTGGCGTTAGCCCTCCTGTCGAGATGTACTATGTGTTTGCAGGAAGTAAAGGTGTTCTTAAGTGGTGATTGGCCAGCTCGTGAAATGGGGCGGGAGGGTCTCCCCTCCGGGACGGCTCTGTGCGTGGGGCCCCCTGGCTCCCCCCAGCTCACAGGGTATGCTCCTAGGTGGTGCTCACTGCAAGAGCCGTCTGAAGACTGTGGACTTTCTGGAAGCCTACCCCGACATCCTTGGCCAGAGGTTCGAGGTGCCCAGCCTTGAGGACTGCCTGGACTCCTCAGGTGAGTGTGCCCCTTGCTGTCCCTGCTTCTGTCACAACCCCGGGAGGTGCCCTGTGCCCTGGGCGGGCTTTGGTGGTTCCCGTTGTGGCGGCAGTGGCCTTGGAGACCCCTGGAGGCAGCGTGTGGGTTTGTCCCTCATTCACTCGTTGATTCATCCGTCGAGCATCTGCCTGTGCCTGACGCTGAGCGAGGCACTGACTCCAAAGGTGAAACGGCGGGAGCCCACTTCCTTCCCTGACTCTCTCCTCTCCTAAGGATAAAGACGGGGAGGCCTCTGGGGTCCCGCCTTGGCCTCGCTGGGCCCCGAAGCTCCCACCCGCCGCCCTGGGACTGGGCTCTCGTCATAGGAAGCTGGGGCTGTCCTGCTCATGGTCCACAATGCCGGCTGTCTCTGGGCCTTTGCACGGGCCAGGCTTTTCATTCTGGTTGTGGCCTCACCTGTCGTCCCCGCCCACCAGCAGCCCTCCGCCAGCTCTCTTCACACTTCAGCTGCTCCAGCCCCTGTGCCTCTCCTACCCTGGTAGCCCTCCAGCCCTTGCCCCCAGGCACCTCGTTCCCCGCTTCCTGCAGTCCCTGTCGCAGTCTTGCCCGTCGTCAGCATCCTTGTCTCCATGCTCCCCTCCTTTTGGTGTGATTGTCTCCTGGCCGAGCGCAGAGTTAACCCTGCAAGCCTGCTGTGCACGCAGGGAGCAGCTGCAGGCCCTGCCCCCACAAGGACCTGGGAACGAGAGCTGGCCCGGGAAGCGGCAGCTTATTGCAGAGCATGCGTGGTCCTGGCCCTTGGCTTCCCGGGCAGAGTCCTGCTCCTATGCCGCTCCCGCGTTAGTTGCAGACAGGCACTAGGCGTGTCTCTGTGCAGCTCTTGCCAGGCTGTGAGGGTGACTGAGACCTGGGTCACTGCTCTCACGGGGCTGTACAGTCTGGATGGGGATACTATGTGTTTGCAGGAAGTAAAGGTGTTCTTAAGTGGTGATTGGCCAGCTCGTGAAATGGGGCGGGAGGGTCTCCCCTCCGGGACGGCTCTGTGCGTGGGGTCCCCTGGCTCCCCCCAGCTCACAGGGTATGCTCCTAGGTGGTGCTCACTGCAAGAGCCGTCTGAAGACTGTGGACTTTCTGGAAGCCTACCCCGACATCCTTGGCCAGAGGTTCGAGGTGGCCATCCCTGAGGTGGAGTGGCTGCTGCGTCCCTGTCTCCGTCTCTGGGGGCCGTGTTCAGGGGCATCCACCCTTCTAAGTGCACGCACGGTGCGGGCACATGAAATGCCCCTTGGGCTCTGGCTGCTCGGGCTCCAGTGGGTCCAGTGGCTTGTCCGAGCTGGAGACAGAGAGCCCGGGTCTGCCCCCACGCCTGTTGCATTCCAAAGCTTGGGATCCTCCTTGACAGCTCCCAGAGCCTCCTAACAAGCCATCAGATGAGATTTTGCAGGAGAAACAGGGTCGGACCTTCTGCCCCGCAGTTCGGGCGGCTTCTGAAGGAAGTGCCTTCCTCCCACGTGGTCTCACTCTCATTTTATCGAATCGCATGTCAAAAATAACAGCTTTGGGGCCGAGGGCTTGGGTTCACACTCCGCTTCAGTGGCCCAGAGTTCACTGGCCTGGATCCTGCGCATGGACATGGCACCGCTCGTCAGGTAATGCCAAGGTGGCATCCCACATGCCACAACCAGAAGGACCTACAGCTAGAATATACAGCTATGTACTGGGGGACTCTGGGGAGAAGAAAAAGAAAGAAAAAAAGAAGATTGGCAACAGGTGTTAGCGTGCCTGTCTTAAAAAATAAATAAGTAACAGCTTTAAGCCACCCCAGAAATACCACTAGTTTTGTCGTCACTGTATCCGTTAGTAATTGCTGAACATGCTTCACTTTGCCACCTGAAACACCTGTTTCAGGTCATCTCAGGGACTTACTCTGTGGCCTAGGGACGAATCATGGAGTGTGTGGGGCAGAAGCTGACCCTTCTGGTCAGACACTCAAGACTCAAGCCCACCTGCCGGGAGAGCGAGGCATTAGGCTCCCCTTGGCTGCCGACCCTGTGCCCGGTCCCTCCACCCGCCAGCCCTGGGATTCAGGCCCGTGTCTCGCCCCTCCTGCCTCAGCGTCCTCATTTGCCCTCAGGGTGCTGACAGGACCTGCTGCACCAGCTTTCATGGTGAGCTGGTGCGTGTGAAGCGCTTGCACGGGGCTGGGCACCACATGAGCACCCGGTCACTGTCGACAGCTGTCTGACACACAAGCGCGTGTGCTTCTAGCTTCAGTCACAGAAATCTCCGTCAGATGCCATACATTCCACTGACCACTGTGAGCAGAGGGCCCTTGGTGGGGGCGACCTGAGTGTGAGCGTCCCCTGGGGACTGGGGGCTGCTGGGCCCTCTGGGTGAAGGTGCCGCCATCCTCCCTCCAGGAAGGACAGAGGACACGTGGCACATGGGAACATTGGCAGCTGCAAGCACTCAGGGCTGCGTCGGCTGCTCACGTCTTCCGGAGAGCAGACCGAGGCAGAGAGCACGTGGCGGGGACCAGCCCACCCCAGCCCATGCCAGAGCTGGCATGCAACCCAGGGTGGGTTGACTTCCCAGCCCAACTTTCCTCCGTGATCATTGTCATCATCGTCGTCGTCGTCATCATCGTCTTTATCAGCCAGAAAACATTTCTGGTGGTAATTTTTTGTTTCTCATCGGTCACCACGGTTTGGTACAATTTTTCTGGCGACTGCTAAACTTCTCACGGCTCTTCCCCTGCCTTCTCACGGTGCTGACAGGGAACAGGGACGCCCTTGAAGCTGTTTCTGATGGTGGCGGAGCTCCCCACGTGTTGCTACAGAAAGCACTAGAAAATGAGCTATTCGTTCTAAGAACACCAACCCAACCAGAACTTGTTCTCTAAAACCACAGCCTGTTGTGAAATCAGAAAGTATACAAGTGGGGCGCCAGCTTCTTGACGTACAGCCCGTGCTGCTGGTGTCCCCCACTCGCTGACACCATGACGGCAAAGTCCACCTCTATACCGGTATCGGAACAACGCCAGGCGGGGCGGCATCTGTTTTTCCTGTGAGTGGCCTAACTTTTGCAAGATCCAGCAAAGTGAAAACATTGTCTAGGGCAAAGAATGCAACTGAAACTCATTTCGTGAAAGCAGCTCGGCGTTGAAGGCTAACATTACTTTCTGTGCACACACAGGCCCAGCCTCGTCCCAGGTGTTTGACCCTCCGCCCCAGTCCTGGGCTCGCTCCACAGCCCATCTCAGCTGCGTCTTTGGTAGAAGTTGCCTGAGTGACTTACAGCCCTCGGGCTCGGTGGGACTGTGACGTGTGACCTTTCCAGCATGGAGCACCACTGTTTGCAGGGTCAGGGTAGGGGGGCAGGCATGCTCTCTGTCCTGGTCCCAGGCTGTGCCCAGCGTGCACCCCGAGGATGGTGTGACAGATGGCCCCGTGTGCTTGAGGACCGCACCGTCGCTGAGTGTGGGAGACCTGTCTCTTTTCTCTCGTCGGCTCATTTGCAAGAACGTCAGACGACCTCAGCTCCATGTGGTTGCTGCTCTGACAGCCTTGTGGACACAGGGGCTGGGGTCATGTCACAGCATGTGTCCCGTGGCTTCCATGGTACTGTTGGTGCACCGAGGTCTGGGAGCTCAGGCTGAGGCCACACTGCCCCCAGCGGTGTGACTTGGGCTAGGTCCTTAACCTCTCTGAGCCTCAGTTTCCCTTGTGACATACGGGGAGGGCGCGAGGTCGTCCCTGTGCTGTCCCTGGCAGTGGCGTGGCCTGTGGTGGAGCGCCCTCACTGGGGGCTGGCTGCCGTGGTGGGGTCACCATTCTGGGCACGTCAGATGCGGAGTGAGCAGTGTGCGTGTGTCCTCGGGCCCCTAACAGCCCCTCAACAGCCCCCCCAACCCGAGGAGGCGCGTTGCTGCTGGAAGCTGCCAGCTTCCCACCCGACTTCATCCACCGAAGATTCCTCAGCTCCCGCTGAGCTCCAGGAACTTCCCACGCAGCCTCCTGTGCTGTGTGCTTTTCTCCGCTCGCTGGGGACTCCTCCCTTCCGTGCGAACCCCGCGAGGCAGCGTGACATACTTTTTGGTAAAAATTAAGAGCTAGATGTTGGGTTTCTAAAGGAAAAACATCCAACAACTCCCGTGTCAAGCTTGCTTTCTGTTTGAAGTGCAAAGCACACTGTGAACTGGTCACTGACATTGAGCCACGCGGTCACCTCTGCTGTGGACACTGCTTGGAGAGTCCAGGTGACTGCCGCAGTGGCGCGTCCCCCACAGAGGGATGCCTCCTAGGGCAGCGTGTGGGGACGTCCGGCAGGCCTTGGGGGACAGCGGGGTCGGACGGCGGGAGCCTCTGGTGTGGGTGGGGAGTCAGCACGAGCCGTTCCTGGCCCTGGCTGCGTCCTCGGGTTTGTTGCTGTGTAAATAAATCATGGAAAATGTGAGTCTGCAACCCCCTCCTCCTGCTGCCGTTGGTGACAGCCCGTCCTACTGGGAAGAGCTGGGGAAGTGGCAAAGTCTCAAAGACCCCCGAACAGGCGTCCTCAAAACGGGCTCTGGGATGTCAGCCTTGCTTTCCAGGGACCGCCTGGAGGGCAGCATCTGAGGCTCAGGAGAGCCCGCTGGGCTCGCTGGTGTGTCAGCGTCCTGGGAAGCACACTGGATGCTGAAAACAGCAGAGACGTACTCGCACATGGTTCTGGACAGAAGCCCAAAATCCAGGGCTGGCAGGGCTGCCTCCCTTGGTGCCTCTGGGGAGGGTCCTCCCTGCCTCTTCCGGCTCCTTGTGGCCCCAGGCGTCCCTGGGCTTTTGGCCACCTTACCCGAGCCTCTGCCTCCATTGTCACACAGCTTCCTGCCTGTGTCTCTGTCTTCTTTCTGTCTCTCATAAGGACACTCTCCTTGGATTCCGGGCACACCCTCCTCCAGGATGATCTCATCTTGAGATCCTTAACTAATTACATCTTCCCGAGTAAGGGCGCGTTCATGGGTTCAAGGGGGCAGGAGGTGGTCATGTCTTTTTGGGGCTCCTATTCAAGCTACACCTGGCAGGAGGCTGGGAGGGGTACCTCACCCCAGTTCCCTCTCCACCTGCCTCACTGGGCTCCCTGGGAACAGCTGTGTGGAGGGTACCTCAGGCCTCCCCCACCCAGGGCGGCGGAGAAACCAGCACCTCCCCCCAGGCTCTCCCTCTTGGTGGCTGTGTGAGCTTGGGCAGGCTGCTGCAGTCTCTGAGCCTTGGTTTCCTTTGCCCTGTGAGACAGTTTGCTTGCTCTTTAATGGACGTCTCAGTTGTGCTGAGGATTAACTCATGGAGTAGCCGTGAAACAGTCGAGTGTCTGCAGCAGGACCCCACCCATCGCTCCGTGTCCTTTTCCCAGGGGCCGGGCTATGTGACAGAAGGAAATCCCAGGACCCATTTGCCCAGGCTTCGGGCCCTGACCAACGCAGCCAGGTCCCTCGTCCCCCTGGGAGCTCTGAGCCAAGAGCAGCTGCCAAGTGGAGGGGCTCCTGCACCCTGTGTGCCCTCTGTGCCTGGGCCGGGGGAAAGCGTGGCCTCAGAGCCCCGTGGCCTCAGAGCCCCGTGGCCAGGCCAGGCCAGGTCCCTCCCACTCGCTCACCGTGTGCCCCAGGTGCCTCCTTGCACCCTGTGCCCTCGTCGGAAGGGGTGGTAACAACCCACTTGGCAGGGTGTTGTGAGCACTGCCAAGTTCTCGGAACCACCCGAGAGGTGACGAGGGCCCACAGCTATGGGCGCAGCGCCTGGGCGGGGAGGGGGTTGGGGGGCCGTGCGCCCTCCAGTCTCTCCCGGGGGGGGTCTTCCTTCCAACCTGTCCCCATTTACATCCTGTCATAGCACGTCCCTGTCTGTCCTTCCTCTTGTCCCTGTATTGCGTCTGAGCTCCTTGGGAGGGATGGGCATGCAGCGAGGCCGCGGGAGAGAGGCGTGAGAGGGAGTGAGGGGCGCCCCGCTCAGCAGCCCCCTGCAGTAGTGAGGTCGGGGCTGGGCCGGCCAGGGGGATGGGCGCCCCCTCTTCTCGCCACTTGTCTGCCATCCACCAGCAGGTTGTCCTGATGTTTGTGCAAATCCCTGGTGACTGGGGGATGCGCCCCCATTTCATCCAGACTAAGCACGTGAGCACCAGCAGAACGTGTGGCCGTCGTAAGCGAGGTGCTTGCCGGAAGGTGGCTCCGTGAACCTGCAGCCCCCGTGGTCGCTAGAATGGCATGGAGCTTGGACGGCCTCGCCTGTGCCTGTGCCTGTGCCGGCCTGGCCACCGCCCGGTGGGGGGTCTTGGGCAGCCCCCTCCCTGTGCCTCGGTTTCCACGTCTATAAACTGGCCCCGCCTCACACGCTCATCATGGAGATTTCTCTATACACGCCTGGCGCTCGCGATGCGTCCATCCCCGCTTAGTACAACTGTTAGATGCTCTGTAGTTACTTTGTTTTGTGTGTTTTCTCTCGTTCTGAAGTCCCCCTGGCAGCGTATGAGTGGTTGGTCTGTTACCTGCTCCGAGAGAGTGACCAAAAGTTAAATCAGGAGAAAAGATCAGGAAGCAACGACTTTGAAGCAAGAAACAACTGTCAGGTATGGGTTTGTCTTAAAAATTGTTTTTGTCTTATTTGCTCCTGATTCCTGTGTTGCCGTGTCCTCAGGAAGGTGACTGTCCCGGCAGTGGCGGCCCTGTGACCGCGGGCACGTTGCCCCAACTCTGTACACCTGTGTTTGCTGGCGGGCTGGCGGGGCCTCCGCTGGGGCATCACATTCAGGTGCCCATCTGCAGAGCTGTGACGAACGGAGTTGGGACTTTGGGTTGTGGGAGCCTCAGACCCAGTGTGGGTGGAGACACCAGCCCAGGGCCCTCCCAACCAGAGCCATGGCTCCGTGACTCACGTGAGGTCACACCAACCCTACGTCTGGTTTTCAGAGTCACTGCCGCCCTCCCCGGGGAGCCTCGTGGGACTGGTCCTCACCCTGGGACAGGGCTGTCTCTTGTGTTCCGGGAATCCTCAGCCCAAACGCCTGCCCTAGGACCCCTCGTTTTGCCGGCTCTGCTCCGCTGTGTCCATCTGTCCCGTGTGTCTGTAGTGATGGGTGTCCTTTGGGAGGCCATGGATGAAGGAAGCACAGAAAGCATGTAAAACTGGTGCCATTTAACGAGGCTCTGTGTCCCCCGAGGCCCGGCATCCACATCTGTCGTCCCCTTCGGAGGCCCTGGCCCCACCCCTTGTGCTGCGAGGGGCAGCTCACCCCCCGGGCGGACGCAGCCAGAGGCAGAAATGGCGGTGCCTCGGGGGACCTGCTGGATGCACCTGCCCAGGCCGGAGACGAGGAGCAAGGGGCAACTGGAGCAGCTCCCGCTGAGGCTGAGCAACCAGGACCAAACCTGGGGCTTAAAAGAAGTGAGCACGACCAGAAGGACCTACAACTAGATATACTCCTGTGTACTGGGGGGCTTTGGGGAGAAGAAGAGAAAAAGGAAGAACATGGGCAACAGATGTTGGCTCAGTTGCCATGTTGAAAAAAAAGCAGATGGCCAAGGTCAGTAACCTTCAGGTTCGGTGCCACTGTGACCAAAAGTAGGAGGTGTGACAGTGACCCTTCTGGAATGGGCTGCAGTCACCGCAGGCTGGGCCACTCGGACACTGATGGCCGCGGGTTAGCTCGTCCCGCCTCACTGCTTTCTCAGTTTGTCAGGTCGTCATTCTTGAAATGGAAGTAGGGTTACTCCCCTGAGTTACAGCCCAGGACCGTGAAGAGAAGGAGGGCGCAGAGGACCCCCACTCCCACCACGTCTGAATCCCGGGAGCTGCCCCAGAGGTCATTGCAGACCTTGTCCGAGCTCTCCGTCAGCACCCCCATGCCAGCCGGCTGCACCTGCGCCTGGCACGTGCAGTCAGACAGTGGAACCCGAGGGGTGACAGAGAAATAATTCACCTGTAAACCTTTGTTAAAGAGTCTCATGATGGCATTTCAGCGAGTCTTGTGGCAGAGAAGGATGGCGGGCAGCGGGCCCGGCCTAGCTTCTGGGTCTGGCTGACCCCAGTGTCCCTGGGGAGAGCCACAGAGCTGACCGGCACGCGTCAGCAGAGGTGCAGCCACACGCAGCGGCATGACGGTGGACAGGAAGGCGGCTGTGAGGCCTGAAAGGGGAGGGCACAACTCGAGAGGGGTCCTCATTTTCCAGAGCCGTCTGGATCACGGAGCGTCTTGAGTGCGCGCTGGGTCGTCCTGACAGCCGGGAGCTCTCAAAGCTCTCCCTGAGGAAGGCCAGTCCCTTCCCAGATGGCGACTGGAGCAGCCACAGAGCGTGAGAAGAGGGCTTCAGAGGATGTTTGTGTAACCTCAGCGTGGGACGAGCCTTCTTGAGTCAGACAGGAAACTCAGAAGCTGTAAAAGAAGAGGGACCGTCAGCTGTGGCTGCATAACGTTCACTTCTCTGAATAACAAAAGACGCTGTGAACAGAGCCAGAAGATGGCGCAGCCTGGGCAGACGTGGAACGTTTACCCGCCGGGGCGTCCCCAGGAGGAAACGAGTTCCTGCAGACTGAGCGTCAGCCGGCCCGGAACCAGCCTCTGGCCCCAGGCAGCGGCCGCAGTGGCCGCCAACCGTGAACCAGGAGCCAGGGACGTGCGGTTAAGGGACTGTGTGTGATGGACAGCGGCCACTCCAGACACCTGGCAGAGAGTGTGAACTGCTATGTCCTTCGGGGAGGTTGTCTGCTTGCTCCTGCTGATGACAGCTGCCATTCACTCTTTACCTACTGCTAGTCAGCTGCACACAGTAGGTTCTTAAAAAAAAAGATGCGTTTATTGCATTTCTTGGCTGGGTAACACCCTCACGTGTTCAAAGTGAGAAAATATAACAAGGTAGGTGGTGGAGTCTCCCCCACCCCCATCTTCCAGCCTCGCCGCTCCCACCCCTGGAGCCAACCCATCTGAGGTCCCCAGGACCCTGTACAGAGATCCGTGCGGCAGAAGTGAGATGAGAATGATTTTTCTCCCTTCAGCGGCACTAGGCTCTTTCCCTGTGCCATTTCATGCCGTCATCTCTGACGGATAAGGCAATGGAGGCCATGAGGGGTGCCCAGCTGGCTCGGCCCCCTTAGGGCAGCATTGGACCCATGCACTGACCCCAGGGCCCAGCACTTTGCCCCGTCCCACACAGCTGATGTCCGAACTTGGACAATTCAGGGTTTCTCTTTTGCCCAAAGTGTCTGTTCCTTGTTAAAATGCAAGTATCCTCTGAAATTAGAGCACACTAGAAGTTAATACCTGGATCCGAATTCCCTTTCTGGAGCCGGAGCAGGGTTCACGAGAGAAGGGAGTCTGGCATGGGGACCAGTGTGGAGAGGGGAGCCGGCAGGGGGCGGGGAGGTGGCTGGCCGGTCCTGGCTCTGTGTGTGCTCTCCCTTCAGCTGTTAATTCCAAGGTTTACTGCTGTAAGGTGACATGTGATGCTCAGCTGCCTTGAGTCCAAGAGGTTCCTGGTGAGCCTCCTGATGGGGGACAGTTAAGCAGCACACTCCGAGGGTCAGCTGAGACCGCCCGGAGACTGAGCAGCGGGCTGCAGCCTCCCCGCCCCATCCCTGCCCCGTGGGCCTGGCAGGAGCGGCGGGTGCCAGACCTGCCTGCAGATGCGTGAGCACTCGCGGCTGGAGCTTTTTGTGACTAGAGACCAGCCGTTTGAAACGTTAACTGTGGAGAAGTCTTTGTAGGGAGTGCGGACCACACTTGAGGCGTTTCTGACCCCTCCACGGCCCCAGAATGGGCACCATGCAGGACACTTCGGGGCCACCAGCCACATTTGTTAATGCCTTGCTCACGTTTGTTGATCGCGAGGACAGGCCATCCAAGACTCAAGGAGGAGCCTGAGGGTGCGGGAAATGGGCTGGATGAGCTCGGGGACCTGTCCTGCGTGGTGCAGGATGCTCAGCAGCACCCCGAGTTATGCCGACCACAAATGTCCCCTGACAGTGCCAGGTGCCCTGGGGTCAGGCTTAGCCCAATTGAGAACCCCTGAGGTCAAGTGTGGCAGGCCTCTTGTCTGGAGCCGGGACGCCGATGGGAAGGGGAACCATTCTCTCTGGCTCTTGGCATCTCAGAGGCCACAGGGCCTTTTGTGCTGTGCCACGTTTCTTCTCAGACAAGCTTCCTCCTGCCCGCAGCCCAGCGTGGCTGCTCCCTGGGGCCCACATGACGGCCCAGGCCCAGCACAGACTGCCCTCACCCTGTGGGCTCTATGGCCATTATTTCAGATTCGCACACGATGGTTGGGTGGCCTGACAATCGCCCGGGAAAGCCGTCCACCCAGCCTTTCTAGTCCCGTTAGCCTGGGTCAGGTGTTGACGTGGGCCCTTGTGCCTGCTGCAGCCTCAGACACCGGGTCAGGAAGGCTGCAGGGGTGCCCCAGAGCCTGTGCCCCAGGTGACTGATGGTCTCATCGAACCTTGCCCAGAAGAGCACGTGGCAGCTTCGTGCACGTCCGGTTCCCAGGACTGAGCTGGCAGGAGGGTAGCGGCCACGACCGAGGAGCCCCTCCACGTGAGAGTCCGTCTCAGCCTCCTCCCAGCACCCTGGGAGGTTGGCGCCATCACCTTCCCTCTTCCCAGACCCAGAAGCTCAGCCCAGGACATAAGTCACTTGCCCATCCTTGCACACTCATGAAGCTGCGTGGCTTCGGAGGCGGGCTCTCCAAGGCCCGGGCCGAGAGCTGCTGTGTCAGCTCAGGGGGACTCAGGATGCATTTTTTTTTTTTAAGGAAGATTAGCCTTGAGCTAACATCTGCCAATCCTCCCCTTTTTGCTGAGGAAGACTGGCCCTGAGCTAACATCCGTGACCATCTTCCTCTATATGTGGGACACCTACCACAGCATGGCATGCCAAGTGGTGCCATGTCCGCACCCAGGATCTGAACCGGCGAATCCCGGGCCGCCGAAGCGGAATGTGCAAACTTAACCACTGTGCCACTGGGCTGGCCCCAGGGTGCATTCTTGATGGTGGCAAGGTCACAGGTGGGACTGCCTTTCCGGGCCTGTCACTGGCCTGTGTCATCACTGAAATTGAAGCATGCCCCTTCCACCAGAAAATAAGATTAAAACACTGTGCTTTTAAAACCAGAAAACCTATGTGGCGAGGAAGAGAGTACAGTGGAGAGATCCCAGGGCTGGGATTCAGTTCTGAGCCTGGCCCCTGTGCTGGGATCAGCCTGGCCTCAGGTTCATGAGGGTACCCACGAGAAGGGGCGCCCTCATTGTGTGAGCAGGTTTGGGGGTGTTGGTGAGATCTAATGTGCTACCATCCTAGGGAAGTGGTTAAGGGGCAGGCGCTGGGGCCAGGTGAGTCTCTGCCCTTGCTATTGTTCCAGGAGGATCAGGGGCTTCGCTGGGACCTCTTAGCTCGTGCCTGGCCCTGGAGCGCTCACTGCCCACTTGCACCGTCAACTTCGTCAGCTTCCTCCCTGTGAGGTCCCAAGGGCCTTGGGTGGGTGCCTGAGGGCCTGAAACCAGCAGAGCCCCCACCTCCCAGCCCTCATTCACCAAAGCCACGGGCACGCACACCGTAGTGCATGCCAGAGCAGAAGAGGGCAGGGCCACTCTGCAGGCAAGACAGCAGGATGAGCGCCCTCTCGCAGGCGGTGGTCCAGCGGGGTCTTGGGATGGACCAGCCTGGCCCGAGGCAGGGGAAGGAAGCCCCCTCTCCTGAGCTCTCTCCCGAGGGCTTGCGGTCTTGGGTGGGGCCCTGGGAGACCCCGGGCCTCGGGTGTCTGCTCTGCGAGTCCCCAGCAGGCCTTGAAGACGGAGCCTGGCCCTCTCAGTCTCGCCTCACCGTGCACGTTCCACCCCGCAGCCGCGCTCTGGCTAACGTTTGGGGCAGCGTCACGCCAGGCACTCGACTAGGGGCTTCCGTGTCGGGTTTTCTCCCCCTCGCCCCGCTCGTCACTTTGCTGGATTATTTCTTCAATTTCAAAAGTAACTCATGCTCATTAGAACAAATCAGGCAATACCTGTGTTACTTTTCTAATTGAAAATTCTGGTAAAGTAATAAATTGGAGATGGGGAAAGAAAAGCTAGGAAGTGAAGCTAATGATTATCAGCAGGTGTTTTGGATATTGGTTTAAAGAGTTGGGACCAGAAGATGTGTGTGACCTCCTGCCTCCACCCGCAAAGCCCGCATCAGAGCTCCTTCTGCACGTGCAGCTCAGCCGGGCCGGCCTCATGTTGTGGCCTCTAGTTAGCCATCGGACATAATATGTGAGCGGGTCAGAAACGCTGTTTAAGAAACTTGGGAGGAGAGGAGCGTGGCCCTACCCTTGGAGAAGCCGGAATCACCGCCAGCTGAGTCCACCTTCTCTGTGGCCCCAGGTGCAAAAGAGACTACTGGATCTCGTGCCTGAGGGAGCCGGCTCCTGGGGGACGCCCCGCACTGCAGGGCCGGCCGGCGCTGGGCAAGCACAGGTGTCCTTGCATGTAGGATGCTGGGGCCACCCTGTGTTCCAGGCGGGGATTGAGCCAGGAGCGGTCACAGGGTGTCCCGAGGTCCAGGTCTGTCCGTGTGCAGCCTTTTCCACAGAAGTGTTTGTCTGCCCTGCCCTGTCCCCCCCGCTCCACTTGGTGTCCTGTCCTCTGGGACGCGGGCCTGGGTCTCTGCTCCCGATGATTCCCCATGAACGGTGGCTGTGCAGGGGCCGCAGCTGCCCGCTCACTGGTGTCCGTGTGTCCTTTCAGGTGTATTACTGCCGCTCCTTGGCACTGGCGTTCCTGGAGCTCACTGTGGTGCGGAGGTTCCACGAGCACACGCACCAGCCCAGCGTGCCGCCCCCGCTGCGGGCCGTGCTCCGGCGGCTCAGCGCACTCTACGGCCTGTGGTCCCTGAGCCAGCACACCGCCCTGCTCTACCGAGGTGAGCCTCCTGGGGCACCTGCTGCCCCACCCTTCCCACCCCAACCCCCCAGGGATCAGGCACCCTCTGCGTTATCCAGGACTCTGCTTTCCTGGGAGGCGTGACTTCCCCGAGGATTTACTGAGCACACCCGCGCCGGTGCACAGATAAGGAGCCCAGACACCAGGATGGGAAAAGTGTGAGGGGTGGAACTGTCAGGAAGGCACCCACAGGGCCAAGCAGACACGAGCCCAGGCTGCTGGGGAGGCCCCAGGAATGCCCGTATTGGGGTCCCAGGAGGGCTTCCTGGAGGAGGTGATGCCTGGGCTGATTCCTGGAAGACTGGTGAGGAGGTGGTTAGCCTGAGTTTCTCCACCTTTTTCTCATTCTTGTCACCTAAGGAGCCTTTTTAGACACGTTTTCCTGATCGCCCCCTGGCGTGTTAATAATACAGATGCTCTGTGTGTCTGTTCATCTCCTGTACTCTATCTGGGCTTCATGAAGAGAGAGGGGTTTGCCCCTCCCCCTCCCAAGAACCCACGTTTCCCCTGGGGGCTGGTGTTGGCCCAGGAGGCCATGAGAGTGCACAGTTAACAAAGGAGTGAGGGGTGTGCCAGCGGCAGGCGCGGCGGGGGGTGGGGGTGGGCAGGAGATGGCCCTCTCTGAGAAACGACCACTCTCAGCGACTGACGAAAATCAACCAAAGCCGGCTGTGCAGCAAACACATCCTCCCTGTGCAAGGTCGGGGCCTCGGGCCTGGTAGACGCCACAGCAGAGCCCCAGTGGGCCAGCGGAGGGAGAACCCCAGGAGGTAGCCCCGCGGCCCGCCCACGTAGCCCGCCCCTAGCCCCAGGCGCCCACCGCAGTCTTCCTGGGCATCCCGAGCCACCATCCATGCTTCCTTCTGCCTAAAATCCCCATTTCCTCCTTTGGACAGAACCCAGCCTGCTGTGCCCCCGGCCCCGCCTGCCTCCCCGGCCCCTCCTCGTGGGTCCCCATGGCCCACCTGCCTCCCCGGTCCCTCCTTCTGGGCCCCCTGCAGCCCGCCCACCTCCCCCAAGCCCTCAGATCTTTGCCCTCCTCACACCCGGGCCCTCTGCCTCAGCATCCTCAGCTTCTGGCTGTGACCTCCTGGTTCATGCTCAGAGAGCCGGTGGGAAAAGGGACATCAGAGCCCTGGCTGCCAGTGCATTCCTGCGCAGGGGTGCAGCCGGACTCGGGCAGTGGCTGTGAGCCGTTTTCACACAAAGTAGGCTAATGTGGAAAGCTGTTCCGGGGTGACTGCGCTTCCTGGGTGATTTGGGACCTAGGGTACCCAACAGCAGGGTAACCAACGCTCTGCTTCCAGGTGGCTACTTTTCTGGGGAGCAAGCGGGTAAAATGATCGAGACGGCCATCTTGGACCTGTGTTCCCAGGTGAGTGGTGACCACCGTGTGTTACCATCTGACATACGCATTACAGGAACCCCCGCGTGGTGGCCTTCCCTGACCTTGGCTGCCCACGCATGCGTGTGCCGTCAACGTGTAGCAAAGTCAGGAAAATTAGAAGAAAATGTGGTTATGTCAGAAATGTCAGGAGACGAGTAGCTTTTGGGGAGTATCTTAGCATCTGGCCACATTCGGCTCCCTCTGATCCACTTATCGTAGCAACACCAATTCTTCTCTGGAGCATTTCGAGTTACTCCGCCTCCAGTTTAAGTTCATTTCGTGGTGTTCACTTACCTCTGTCACCCAGAAAAGTCCCATGGCCCACACCTCTGTTCTGGTGGCGCTCTGTCCAGGCGGACTTCCTACAGGGATGGTATGTTCTGAGTTTCTCCACCTTTTTCTCATTCTTGTCATCTAAGGAGCCTGCCCCACACAGTCACCACTGGCCACGTGGGGCCGTTGGCAGTGGCAGTGTAGCTGATATGACCCAGGATTTTTAATTTTCTTTGATTTTAATTAATTTAAAGAGTCACTCTTGCTAGTGGCCACCATATTGGGCAGTACAATGCTGTTAATCGGGTTGCTACTCTCTTGATGGTGGGAAGTGACCCAGAGCCCGCCGGCGTTTTGTCAGATGTCTGCAGTGACACCTGGCCTGCCACTTCCCCCTCCCATGCTCTCAGAGTCAAGGGAGCAGCAGCAGCGTCTTTGTGCTGGTGCCAGCCACTTCCCGGGCTTCCTTCCAAGGCTGCTGAGGAGGGTGTGTCGGTACCTGCAGTGCAGGCACACGGCACATCACTTTTCTTAAAGTAGAACCATTGACAGGAAGGCCTTCCCTTGTGCGCTCCGTGGTGGTGAGCTGCTGTGTATAGAAAGGCACAGTGGTCTCCCTGGCTCTCACATGTGCTGTGGGGCTGGCGGCCATGGTGGAGGCGGCCCACGCCTCGTCTGCACCCGCCACCTCAAGGATCCAGGATGTCTTCTCCCTCAGGGAGGCCTGAGGCAGCTGGTGGAGGGCCGCCCACTCATCCACTAGGCCCTGGTCGGCAAGCCGTGCGCTTGTGCATCGTCTGTGGGTGTGTCCAAGCCGCCCTGGCAGAGGTGAGCCGGGAGACAGGCCCAATGGCCCACAAAGCTGGACTGTTCCCCTTTACTTTAAAGGTTGCTGACCCCTCGTCCCGACGGCTGCTCTGCTAATGATTTCCCTCTGAAGTGGGTGGGCTCGCTCATCCGCAACCTCGGCACAGAGAGGGTGGGGCGCCGTGGCACAAGTGAACGTGTGTGCTAGGGAGCAGCACCCAGACCGTGAAACCTGCCCATTTCCTGTGCTTGTGGTTGTCGCTCTGCCCAGCAATGGCTCTGAATCTGCGTCACTGGAGTTGCCCCGTTCCAGTGTTCTATTCGGCAAAGCCACGGAGCTTCACAATTGTTTTAAGAAATAATTTTTTTTTTGCATTCCAAGAAAATTCTTGGGAGTCTGTTCATATAAATTCCAGTTGTCATATTGAAGAATAATTTGTCTAATGGAACAGGAGGGTAATAAAACCACTGTGAGCCAAAGGGCATTTGTGTCAGGACCTTCCCAGGTGCTCATAAATGCCTTCTCCCTCACATTTCTTCTGGATGCATTTTCCTGCATTAGAACAGCAACTGCCCAGATAGGTCAGGGTTCAGAGACGAGTCTCTGAAGACGGTCGCCAGTAAATGAGCCACAGAGTCGTCACTTTTACGAGCAGTCCCCACCTTGTTGAAAAACAGTAAAACATTGGAAGTCATGAGTGAATAGCAGCATGGTGAAAATATTCAAACTCACACTCAGGGAATCTGTGATCCAGGCCAGGAAAAGATAACACGTTAGTAATGGAGCCTTGCGCGCCTGCTGGGGTTACCGTTGCTAGTGGGCCCAACAACAAACGGCCGCAGCTCTGTTCTGCAGTGGTCGCCATGGCGATCTCTGGGCGTTGCCAAGTGTATGGACTGTGTTTTCCGACAGCTGAAAGATGATGCGGTTGCCCTGGTGGACGTGATCGCCCCTCCTGACTTTGTCCTGGACTCACCGATTGGCAGAGCCGACGGCGAGGTAAGGCGCAGCCCCCTCCCATGGCTGGGCAGGAGTGGGAGACGCCGTGCACTCAGGCACCAGCGGGGGCTGTTCTGGCAGCTGATGGCCGTGATTGCAGACCTGCGGGGGTGACATGGGTCAGGGGTCCCCTGGCGCCTTCCTCAAGGGAAGTTGTCACGCTCTGAGCAGCAGTGGAGGGAGTGGCCCGAAGAAGTTGGGGTGGTTGTGGGCGAGTTAGCCGTCCCCCGGCCTGCCTTCCTCCAAGAAACGGGGTGGTGACGCCACCCTCAGGGGCTGCGAAGCCAAGGTCAGCACAAGCCTGTGCGAAGCGCGGCCCCGCAGCCGTCTCCCTCTTCTCACACTGCCCCAGGCCCTTTCCAGTCCTGGGTCTTGGTGCCGTCGTACAGTCTGGTTCCCACCCCATCAACCAGGCCACTCACCCCTGTCCCTGCGCTTCCTGGCGGGTTCTCGATCTCCTCTCTTGCCCCTGGTGCTCCAGAAAGATTTCTTAAAAAGCAGATCTTGTCAAGCTCCTCCTCTGACTGAGCTCTCCACCAACATCCCCCACACCTGAAATAGCACCCACATCCCCTCCTGTGCCCCCAGTGTACGGCCTGCCCTCTGCCTGGTTCTCCAAGGTCATTTTATGCCATGCTCCTCCTGTCCTCTGGACTCCAGCCTCCAGCCTCACAGTCGTCTTCTCTGTTCTTCTATCATGCTGGGCTTGTTCCCACCCCAGGGCCTTTGTACCTGCTGTTCCTGCTACCTGGAGTGCTTCCGTTCGGTTGGGTCTAAGGAGAATACATCCTCTTCAGAGAGGTCTTCTCTGGCCTCCACTAAAGTGCCCCCACTTTGTCCTGCTGTGTGATCTCACAGCACTGGTTACTGAGCCCACAGGCACCCCTAGGCAACTTTCACCACCACGTGGAGATGCCAGTGCTGGACGATGCTCACGGGTCTGCTGTGTGCCTCCCAGCACCTCACCACCCACAGGTTATTGTCCTTGTGTTACCATGGGGAGGTGGCATTTCAGACTTCTGCAGTCACGTGCCTGAGGTCTCGCGGCTGTGAGCAGCATAACAGGAGATACCCCCCCCCCCCCGCAAACTCTGACCCCCAAGGTCATGTTCTTTCTGCCAAGGCACCGCTGCCAACCCAGGCTCTGCTTCAATGGAGACTGGACGTAAGGGGACAGGAGCCCTCCCTCTGTCCTCAGGGTAACCATCGTGAACTTGCCCAGAGAGGGGGCAGGCACCCTGGCCTCCCACAGCCCGGACACACCTGGGGTTGGACAGGGGTCCCAGGTGCTGGAGGGCAGGATGGAAGCGTTCCCTGTCGAATTGTTCAGGAGTAGGGACAGTGACATCTGTGCGGAGCCTGCTGTCTTCTGCCTGCACAGCTGAGCATTTGGCATCCTCACTGAGTCCCACAGGGTGGATGTGTCCATGCCCACTTTGCTGGGGCAAAATGCAGCGTCTGGAGGCTGGGTGGGTGCCCGTGGTTGCCCAGCCAGGGAGCGGCAGAGCCGGGATCTGGGCAGGCATCCGCCATGTGGAGAGAAGACAGGAGGGCGAACCTTGGTCCCCTGCTGTGGCCAGGGCCCCCTGGGAGCACGGAGAACATGCCAAGCCCACGGGAGAGGGCCTAGCCTCTGCTGACATGGGTTCAGCAGGCAGCCGGGCAGGTGGGCATTCCAGGAAGAAGCAGCACGCGCCCATCCCGGAGGGCCTGGCAGTGGTGTCGATCGAGGACCTCGGAGCACGAGCGAGGCTCTGCCTGTGCAGAGGGAGCCGGGGCGGCGAATGCTGGACCCACCTGCTCCGCAGAGGCAGCCCTGTGTGGCGCACGGCCGGGGAGTGACCTGGAGGGAAGAAGGCCATCCTCAGATGGGGCCCCTGCTGGCACTAGATTCACGGAGCTGGGAGGCCTCGCCTGATGCGATGTTTATACAGCCCACGTTTCTCCCAGTTTTAAGGAGTGATGTCTTTACCAGGTGCTACTCAGTAAGAGATTCATTTTAGGTGAACAAACACAGCTGGAGGAGGTTATTTGAGACAGTCATGAGACATCACGCTCCCAGTTGAGAAATGTAACCTCAGGTTTATGACCCGTGGGGGAGAAGCCTGGGTCCATGTCTCTTTGGGGCCAAGAGCAGATGTTGGAGGAGGAATTGCTCAGTGCACTTAGCAGGTGCAGGGAGAGCGGCCTTAAAGGTAAAAATCGGTCCACAGCAGCCGGATACAACCCAGGCCCCTCCGCGGCCCGGGGGACTGTCACCGCCTCCCAGCCTGGCACCCACTGTCGAGAGTGGTGAAGATGGGTCATCAGCCCGCAGGGTTTTCGCGGCCTTCCTCCATGACAGCTGCTCTCCCCGGTTCTCCAGCGAGGCCGCCTGGGTGAAGATTCTCTTTGACAGGCCTGGAGGAGGCGGACGGCTGGCCCATGGGAGCAGGCCGACGGGGAGGGACACTGTGTGCCGGGTGTGGTGGCCCAGGGGACCACACGGCAAGGCCAGCCCACGAGCCGTCATTCTGCTGCCCGGCTGTGCCTCCCCTGTGCCAGCCAGAGCCTCGTGGGTGCAAGAGGACAGAGTCCAGGAGAAAGAGCGCACGGAGGCTTGGAGGGTCCCACGGCGGCCATGCTTCAGAAGCAGAAAAGGACGAGTAGGGTGTTCCATCATGAATGTGCTTTATGGTGCTTTATAATTGCATTTTCCTAATTGTTTTCTACTGAAAAAAGCTTTATATAAATTAAATTTAAATCATCTTAAAACTTCTCTAAAAAGCGACACAAGAGAATTTCCTGTTTTTAACAAAAGCTCACGAGGGGAGTTGCATTTGCACGCTCAGCCATCTGAGGAATCTGTTTTATTATTTATGTGTCTGTGTCTTTTGTAGCTCTATAAAAACCTCTGGGGCACCGTCCTTCAGGAAGGCAAAGCGCTGGAGAGGGCCTCGTGGTGGCCGCAATTCTCTGCCAACAAGCCCGTCATAGGAAGTTCGAAATCAAAGCTGTAGTCACGAGGCTCAATCTCATTAATCTAATCATGCTAATCAAGACATTGACCTCACCTTCTGGTTCCAGGAGACGCTGGACATTGCTGCCGCTTTCTGAACATGCACCGCTGCCTCCAACCAGCCCTTGTCCTGTCGGGACTGGCCGTCCTGGGCTGGGCTCTCTCCAGTCACCCCAGGAGGCGTCGGGGCGGAAGTGCGGGGCTCGCTGGGGGCCGTGGTGACTTGCTGTGCAAAGAGGGAACCTAGATAATCATATCTTCCTGATGGCTGCCCACTGTGGCGATGAGGACTGGGCACGTCCTGTTTCACTCACCGAATATAAAGCTGACTGCTCCTCATCAGGGACTTTGTTTCTAACATCATCCGAGATTTTTTACAAAGCTCTTCTTCACTGAGACTTAATGGCGCCGGTGTGAGTCTGTGGACTCTAGCCTGCCTTTACTGTGTAATTAAATTCGTTATAATCTTCCTCGTCACACCAAAGACCATCTGAGTGACATAGTTTAAGATTTTTAAGGAGGAGAAAATCAGTTTTATTACTTTCTTGTGTGGAACTAGAAGTTTCCATCAAGGAGATGTTTCCAAATTTAAAAGTGCATCACGACTTGAACGTCTAGACAACTTAACACCCTGACCCCCAGCGTGTGGCTTGTTGAGTTGGTAGAATGGGGTGGTTTTGCCGTCAGTAAATACCCAGGGCTGCACGGCCCCACGGGGTGTTTGCCTGGCAAACTCCCCACATGTGTGTGTGCATGTGTGTGCATGTGTGTGCGTGTGCGCCCAGCGCGGCCCAGGTCTGTGAGCATATGTCCAATCCGTGGAGACCAGACTGAGGAGCTCAAAGAGCCTCCCCGGCCACGCGGGTTTCCGAGCCCAGGACGCCAGCTGGCAGGTGGTTCTGACTCTTGGCACTGTCTCTGTTTCCCCTCCGCTGTCCCGTTGTGCTCCTTGGCCTCTCTGATCAGTCCTGGAAGGCACAAGACTTTTGCCCTCAGCGGCCCCCGTGCCTCCCGACCTCTGTGGCCTTGGAGCCCACTAGTGCAAACTGGTCCTGGACAAACGAGGACCTTTATTTTTCAAAATAACCCAGGGAATTTCTGAGCACATGGAAGGCGTGGGCAAGAACCTGTTTGTGGAGGCTGGATTTCCAGCTCTGGAAATTACGTGGGTGGTTCCTTCTCAAGCCTCAGTTTTCATGCCTGGAAAAGGGACGCATCTCCCACCCCACCTCCCACCCCTGCAGAGCTGCCAGGAGCATCAGAGCAGGTAGGAGGGGCGATTTGTCATGAGCACGCACTACGTGCTGGAACTTTCTATCCATCATTGGCCCCTCAGACAACTGTGTGGGGCTGGGGGGAACTGTGTCATCAGGCCCATTTTACAGATGGGGAAACTGACCCCAGAGGGCTGATTCACTGCCCTGGGCTGGATAGCCAGGAAGTGGCAGAGCTGGACCGGGCTCTCAGGTCTGACCCAAAGCCCCAGCCTGTCCTTGGCCCCACACGTTCTCAGAGCCGGGCACAGACGGGCCTTTGCTGATGTCAGTGTCACGGCTTTACCTAGGGCACAGTCCTTCCTCATTTAAGGTCTGTCTGGTTGGGGGGGTTTCCTTGTGTCTTAAATAAACCCTTCACATTTTTTAAGAGTGTTTTGTCCATTATACTCTTCTCTGCCTGCTTTCAGAGAGAATGGGAACAACAGAAAATTTTCCAGACCCTTAGAAATTGAGATGGGCTGGTTCTGAGCACAGATTCCAATAGTGGAGTGGAGGAGCCTGTCGATGCCAGAAGGAGGGGTTCACTCCCCACAGGTCTCAGGGGTCCCCAGGCCCAGCCACTCTGCCTGGGGTTCCAGCCCAAGAGCCTGCTGGCCGCGGTCACCAATTTCTGTCGTGTATCCCCGGGAGGCCACTCGGGCTGCGTGTTCGTGGACACTGCTTCACCCGCACCCCGTGGCTCTTCTCAACAGGGAGGAGCTGGCTCTCTGGTCCTCTGACCCTCCTGCCGCTGGTGTCCGGCTGCACCCTCCGCCTCGGGCCCCATTTCAGGAGTGACAGCCTCACCTGGGCATCTCGCGTTTTCGTATTTTGCCTTTTGTCGTTTGGGATCTTGGTTTATTGTCCAGTTTTGGGTCTGAAACCACCAGCTCTTCCAACAGGTCATAGAAGTCCGAGGTTGAGAGTGTGTTCATCCAGGAAGATAAACACAGTCGTCTGTAAGTGTCAGGCGTGCTGGGCTCTGTGATCAGGGAGCTGTGTGAGGTGTGCCCGCGGCTGCCACTGCTCCGTGTGCACTCCCGCGCCCACCCACTAGGGACGTCTTCACTCCCGAGGTTCTGCAGGCGGGACGTGCTCCTCGACTTGCAGGGCGAGGAGGGTCATCAGTGAGCCACACAGCCTGGGCGCCACCCCCCAGGCCCGGCCTGGCCACCTGCCACCGTTCATCCACCACCAGGCTCCTCCCCGCCGCCACCGGCTGCCTGGTGCAGGGCTGTCCCGACGGCAGGAGCGGAGGAGGTTAAGGAGTGGACGGTCATTAAAGGCCATTTTAAAAATAAAGCATTTGAAAACACTGTGCAGTAAAAACTTGAATAATTTGAATAGATTTTAAAAATTTAATCTCATTGCCTTCTACCAGTTTTTTTTTTTTTGGTTATAAAACCAACAGGCGTTTGGTACTATTGCAGTAACATAGGAAGGTTCAAAGAAGAAAACGTCACTCATAATCCACTTGGGAACAACCACTGGTTGCATGGTATTTACTTTAGGGCCACGGGGCAGAGATCTGGGTCCACCGTAATCCTGGCTCTTGCTGGGTTTGCCCGGTTGTGACAGTGACTTGTGCCCTTCCCTCGGCAGCCCTGTGGCCTGTCCCATCCCACCTGCTGGTAACAGTGTAGCACACCCCATTCGAATGCCTTCCTCCTCCGTGTGTGGGGGGTTTTTGTAACAGGAAGGGGGTCATCCTCTTGTCAGCCTTTTTGTCCCCGCTTAAAGGCATGTCACGGGCACCTCCGTTCAGGCAGCGTGGGGTACAGGGTTAACAAACCTCCCCTTGAGGGCTGTGGAGAGGGAGGGCCTGTGCTCCAGGTGGCTCTGGGCCGTCCGTCCTCGCACGTGGGCCTGAGCGTCAGTTCCTGGAGGCCGAATTGCTGAGGGCCGGGATTTCACGTGGGGGCTGCTGATAAGGCCGGAGGCCCTGGGGCGGGTGTGGACCCACCAGCGTGTTGGATGAGAGCCCAGAGTGGGCCACGTTGCCTGGGCGGGTCCCCCGCTGATGAAGTGGGATGAAGGGGAGAATCTGGCAGCTGTGAGCCTTAACATGGGCTCATCCGGAAAGCACGCAGCGCAGAGCCTGGACGTGGCGGGCGCGAGCTCCTGGCACCTGGTCATCAGTCTCCTCCACGGGCTTTGTTCCCACGCCCCTTTGTCCTCACTGTTCCCTTCCCGTCCCAGGGGTTAAATAAACCAGCATCTCCTGGTCGGTTTGCTTTTCTTTGCTCCCTTCTGAGAGCTGATGGTGTCTTCCCCTGTATTCATAGCGATTTCTATTGTTCCCCTGTGATAACTGCCTGCTCTTGTTCTTTGTCTAATGGAGCATTTAGTTTTTAAGATATTTTCATTTAAAAAATATTTTTGTGTACTAAGCATCATAAACCTTTGACATGCATTGAAAATTATTTTTCCTCATTTATTATTTGCCTTTTAATTAATTTTTTTGATTTAGTGTAAACTTTTAAAATTTAAAATTGTATGTATGTATAAATCAAAAAACTAAGGATCGTTTCTGCTTCAGCCTTTGAGGTCAGGCTGGGAGAGTCCTCTCCCGAACCCAGATGATTCACGTTTGCCTATGTTTTCCTTGAGGACGTTACAGTATTCAGTGGGCTGGGGGTTTATTTCCAGGTGGGCGTGAGGCCAGGATCTAAAATGGTGAGCCCATTGACTGACACACTGACCTGAAGTCCCACCTGTATCAGACGCCACAGTCGCGTGTTCTCAGGTCTGTCTCTGCCTTTTTCGCTTTTATTGGCTTTTCTCACATCAGCTTCTGTTGATTTCATTATTGAGGCTTTCACACTTTTAATATCTTTTGGAGTGAGGAGATATAGCCTTATCTCTCATCTTTTCAAAAAACTTCTCAGGGCTGGCCTGGTGACGGACGTAGCGGTTAAGTTCACACGTTCTGCTTTGGCAGCCCGGCGATCGCTGGTTTGGATCCCAGGTGCAGACATGGCACTGCTTGTCAAGCCATGCTGTGGCAGGCGTCCCATGTATACAGTAGAGGAAGATAGACAGAGATGTTAGCTCAGGGCCAGTCTTCCTCAGCAAAAAGAGGAGGATTGGCTGCAGATGTTAGCTCAGGGCTAATCTTCCTCAAAAAAAAAAAAAAGCCACTTCTCAGATGTATGAGCTTTGGTATTATTCTTGTCAAGTCTGGGCACTCTCCCATCCCCAGATTAAAGAAAGATTCTTTGGAAACTGGAATTTTGTCTAATTGATAGATTAATATCAGGAGAATTTATATCTTTAAGTAGTTTTCCCATTTAAGACCATGTTTTCAAGTTTTTAATAAAAAGCTCATTTTTGTATATTTTGTAACTGGTCACCTTTTAAAAACCTTATTATAACAGTCTTTTGTTGATTCTCTTTGGTTTTCCTTATATGTCAGATCTAGTGATGCTTTTGCCCTTATCTTTCCAAAACTTTGACCAGTCCTGTAACTTTCCTGACTGGTGGCATCTGTGGGACAGACCCCGTACATGTGATGGCGGCACCACCGTCTGGGCCCGGTGCTCAGGAAAGGCCCTCAGGGGTTCTCGTTAGCCTGATGCCTCGTGAAGGACAGATGGGCAGACAGACTCAAGGCGGAAGACAAATGTGCACCGATGGCTGGACCCTCTGACCCACTGAGGACAATGCCTGCAGAGCGGGGAGCCGCCTGACCCTGGAATAAGAGAGCAACGAGCATCCCCTCGCCCTGGGGCTGCTTCACACGGACACAAATGCAAACCACGCGGACAAAGAAAAGGAAAATCAGCCACCCCATCGCTGTCTTCAGGAGCCCGCACATATCTCGGGATTGAGGCCTTCGACATCACCTCCAAGGATCCTGGTGGCAGTGGAGGTGTGGGCACTTTCCTCATGGGTGTATTGTTGACGCAGGGCAGACATTTGGGGACTGTCCCTTTTCTTGGGCTTCTAATAGCTCTGCCCAACCCTATTCACTTTTCTGCTATTTTTTATTCCCCCCGAGAGATTTAAGGGGGTCCTACCCTTGGGCTGCCCCCAGCAGGGATTTTTTACGCAGTCAGTGTCTACGCAGCGGTCACCCCTCCTGCTGTGCAAGGACAACGGCTCACGTCCTCATCACAAGGCTCCTTTCTACTTGACTTGGTCCACACGGCCATTCTGGACGTTCCCCAGACTCCGCATGGAATGTGTCCTGCCCGACGGTGGGCCCCATCAGAAGAGCATGGGCCAGGCCCCAGGCACGGGTCCTCCAGAGGTCACATGGTCTTAGACCCCCCTTCATGTGGTGGGCTGTGTGGATTTCCTGCCCAGCTTCCGAGCCCCTTCGTCCTCTCTAACAGAACCCTAGTTTTGTCCAAGTTCTGCCCCAAGGCTGGGCCCATGGTGGCTGGAGCTCCTCAGCTCATCTGGTCCCTTTGCCCCAGTCACTGGCTCAGGGATGGGACCCAGCTCAAGGATCCTGTTGGGTTGAGTCTAAGGAACCAGCTGGGACGGTGGTCTCTCGCTTTCACTGGACAATGTGCTGGCCGCTGAGGAGCTATGTGCCGCTCCAGCCACATTGCCACCTGAGCCTGAGGCTCAGCCAACCCGTGGGGACGGCCCGGGACACGGTGGCTGCCACACAGAACAAGAAGCCGCAGAGCCTCAGGTGATGGCCTCCAGGTGCATGAGCCACCGGCTTTCTAATCGCTGAGGACAGGTGAGCTAGGCCGAGGGCCCCACACACGGAGCCCCAGTGCCAGGCTTGGCCCGGGCACCTGCGGCAGAGCACAGGGGGCAGCCCCTGGTCCACACAGGGGGGCCACACTCCACAGGTGGCATGGCGGCTCGGTCTTGGGTGCGGGAGCTCTGGCACTGCACTGCCCAGCTGTCCCCCAGCAGCCTCTGCTTTGCTGCCAGCTGCTCTGGCCTCTGGCTGTCACTGAGACCTATGTCAGGGGGTTTGTCTCGGCCCAGGGCTTTGCTCCTGAGTCCAGGGGTCCGGGAGGCTCGGTGAGAGTTGGGTTCCTACTGGCTTCCAGGAAGCCCGCCTGTTCCAACTGAAACACGGGCCTGACCTCAGCTGGGCTCCCAGTGCCTGAGACTGCTGGCTGCCCCGGGGGTGGCTCAGCTTGCTCCATGACACCCGGAGGGAGGCGGATCTGGTCCCACGGTGGCCTGTCACTGAGCTCAGGCGGAGTTCCACTAGCCTTTCCTCGGGCTCCCACGTCTCGTTCGAGCTCTCAGGCAGGGAGGCCCACGCTGTGCTGCGCTGTTTGCTTTGTGAGAGAAAATGCGCGTTTCGTCTTACACAAGCCGAATGCTGGGGCGCAGAGCAGACCCGAGAGTGGTCCCCGGGGTCTGCTCCAGGTGTGTGAGTTCCGTGTGCAAAACTTCCTGACATCTCTCGAAGTTTTCCATCTTTGCTCCAGAGCAAAGCTTGTGAAAACAAAATGCATTTTTAGGAAGCTTTTCCTACGTCATCGTCCTTAAAAGCCCCGGGCCAGATGTCTGTGCTGGCAGCCTGAGGAGGTTGGTAGCAGCATCCACAGAGGACGGCTCTGGAGCTGGGCCCAGGTTCCAGGCCTCTCGGTCACTGGCTGTGAGGCCTTGGGCACATTTCTTCACCTTCCCAAAGTTGTTTCCTACTTTATAAAGGCCTGACGCTTGCCTTCAGGGTCAGAGGCGCTGACGTCATGCAGTCCGGGCACTGGGAGGGGCCCCTGGCCCACTGACCTGGCCCCTGGGGCTGCACGTCCTCCAGCACCGAGGGAAGTTCTGAGCATGCGGAGCCTGGGGACCACCGCCTCTGTCATGGGCCTGGATTCTGGGAAGAATGTGGGGTGGTCAGTGGCCCTCGTGAAGATGCTGAGACGGAGAATGACCATGTGCAGTCCCAGCGCCTGCCTGCCTGTGCCCTGGGGTGGCTCTGCTCTTGGCCTCCAGCGCTCCCACCTCTGCAGAAGGTCCTTTCAGGGACCAGAGTGGCCACAGGAGGAGCTTCATGTGGCTCCAGGCTGGCCCTTCTCTGCCAATCCTGGGCCCGCACAGAAAGCCTGCCCCCGGGGGAGCCCTGGTCATGCAGTCTTCGTCCTTGTGTGAGCACTCCTCGACACCCGGCCACCAAGGGCCTGGGGCCCCGTGGACAGTTCACTCCATCTTGGGACACTGCCCACTGCTGGCTGCTCACATGGCTTCCCAACCCCAGAATAGCCGCTGGGACGCTGTACCTGAGCCAGCTCCCTCTGTGTCCTTCCTTGGTGCTTCCCCACTTCCCTGACAATGGCCTCTGTGTGGACGTGAATGCAGTGTTGGCAGCAGACGTGCTTCCCACCCGGCATCCAAGCCAGCGTGGCCCACCACTTGCCCTGCCCAGCTGTCATCTGTGTGACAGAAGGAATTGCGTGACATTCCTCCTTCACCACGTTGGCTGCAGTAGCCCCACGACCCTGGACAGCACTTCCCACCGGTCGAGAAGCTCACTGAGGTCAGGGACGAGGTCTGAATCATCTGTGTGTCTCCAGTTCCCAGCACAAGGCCACAGAGAGGAGTCCTAGGCAAGCACTGGAGGGAGGCATGGGTGGATGGATGGATGGAGGGTGGATGGATGGGTGGATGGATAGGATGGGTGGATAGGGTGGGTGGATGGGTGGATGTGTGCATGGATAGAAGGATGGTTGGGTGGGTGGATGAATGGATGGATGTGTGCATGGATAGGTAGATGGATGGGTGGATAGGGTGGGTGGGTGGGTGGATGGGTGAGAAGATGAGTGGGTATATGGATGGATGAACAAATGAATGAATGAATGACTTCAATTAAAAATTGAATAAATGAATAAAATGAATGAATGAAAAAATGAATTAATGAATGAGTAAAGGACTGAGGCCAGCAGGGAAGGAGTGCCCTCGGCTGCCTCCAAAGGAGAGATCAGCAAGAGGGACTTCGAAGTCCCAGGACTCCCTTTGCGGCCACAGTGCTACCACACCTCGCCTTTTGTGTCCATCCCTGAAGTAATGACCACACAGGGTGTTACGGCTGAATTGTGTCTCCCAAATCCATATGCTGAAGCCCTAACCCCCAGGACATCAGGATGAGTGTACTTGGAGAGGGGACGTTAAAGAGGCGATTTAGGTAAAATGAGGTCGTATGAGTGGGTCCTGATCCAGTCTGACTGGTGTCCTTGTAAGGAGAGGGGATTAGGACACAGACACGCACAGAGGGACGACCATGTGAGGACTCAGGGAGGGGACGGCTGTCTACACACCAAGGAGAGAGGCCTCAGGAGGAACCAACCCGCCCACACCTGGATCTCGGACTTCCAGCCTCCAGGGCTGGGAGAGGATAAACGTCTGTTCTCTGAGCCCCAGGCTGTGGGTGTGGCAGTCCCCACGGGCTGATGCACAAGGATTCGTTCCTTGAGTGATCTCTGTGAGCCCAGCCAGGGGACAGATGATTCCACCCATTTCAGATAAGGAAACTGAGGCAGAGAGTGGCTTGGTGACTGGCCCCAGGTCCCTCTGACAGTGGGGCACAGGCACCCAGCTAGTGCAGATTTCAACTTCTGGTTCCGCCAGGGAGTAAGGGAGGCGTGTGTGTCCAGGGAGCTCCCGGGGTGTTGTCGCCAGATGACAAGGGATGTGTATGGGAAGTCTGGAGGAGGCGTGTGTGAGGCTGGTCTGAGAATCAGTGTCCAATTGGTGCTGGACACAGCCAGCGTCCCGCTGTGTCCCTTTGTCTGGCAGTGGCCAGAGCAAGGAAGGGGCTCTGAGAGGCCAGGCAGGAGCCCCCAGTCAGGGCCAGGACGCAGCTCAGGTTCCCCCGCTGCAGGCTGCACTGGGCTGCACTGGAGAGGCTGCAGGCGACTGACAGCTCAGGGGCTCTCTGATCCTGTCATCAGGTGCGTCCCCTAAGTGAGCACTGTCCCCCTTTTCCAGGTGAGCACAGAGAGCCCCGGGGGTAAGCCTGCAGCCTGAAGTGCTTCCAGAGCCCCGGGGGAGGAGCTCCCATGGGGGATGGAAACAAGACTCACCAGCTTGCGTTCTGTCTGGGTGTTCTGCAGTCGGCTCTTCCTTCTAGAAGGTTCCTTCCCTCCACCCTCTCCTCAGACCTTTCCAGCCTCATTTCTGAGGCTGGGCTGAAGTCCACGGAGATTCCCAGGCACACCAGGGCTCAGAACACGGCGCGGCGGGTCTGTCTGGGGTGTTCAGGCGGCGGGGGAGTTGAAGAGGTACACGGATGACTGTTCTGGAACTGGAAGCTCCAGGACCGTGGGGTGTCATCCTCACCAGGACCCTCGAAGAAACGTGGGCGTCCAGTTGGCAGCCTCCAGGGCGTGATCGCCAGTCTGTGGGCACAGGGACATGTGAGGTTTCCACGGGGCAAGCACGGCCCCAGGGAGGGCACGGGGGTGGGGGGCCTGTGGTCCTGGTCTCCCCTCTGCAGGACCCTCACCTCTTCGCCACTCCTCAGCTTCCAGGGAGGAAACCGTCTGCAGCCACCAGGGCGATGATACAGCTCTGTCCACGATGCCCACCCCCCAGTCCTGCCTGGCCGGCCCACGGGGGCCACAGGCAGCTGAGACGACGCTGTACCAGAAAGCTGCGACACCGGCCCAGCCAGGGGGACACAAGAGCCCTTTGTGGGGACAGGAGGGAAGCAGGCGTGGGCGCCTGCCCAGCTGTTGGCATCAGACGGGTGTCTGGTTTGTGTTTGCTCGCTGTCTTCCCGCAGCCAGGCTGGTGGAGCACCCCTGCAGACAGGCCTGCCAGGAAGTGATTTCCTTCCCTGCTGCGCCCTGGGACCACAGTGTCCTAGGCCTCGCACTCTGAGACCCCGCTTCCTGAAGGCGCCTTGAAAACTCCAGGATGGTGAGCTCCCAGAGACATGAGAAGGCTGGCCACCAACAGCCATCAGCGCGTCCATCCACCCGGCCCCTTCCCCACGCCACCCAGTCCCTCCCCCACACCACAGGCCCCTCCCCCACACCACAGGCCCCTCCCCCACACCACCCAGCCCCTCCTCCACACCACAGGCCCCTCCCCCACACCACAGGCCCCTCCCCCATACCACCCAGCCCCTCCCCACACCACCCAGCCCCTCCCCCACACCACCGGCCCCCCCCCACACCACCGGCCCCTCCCCCACACCACCCAGCCCCTCCCCCACACCACAGGCCCCTCCCCCACACCACCCAGCCCCTCCCCACACCACCCAGCCCCTCCCCCACACCACAGGCCCCTCCCCCACACCACAGGCCCCTCCCCCACACCACCCAGCCCCTCCCCCACACCACAGGCCCCTCCCCCACACCACCCAGCCCCTCCCCACACCACCCAGCCCCTCCCCCACACCACAGGCCCCCCCCCACACCACAGGCCCCTCCCCCACACCCCCCAGCCCCTCCCCACACCACCCAGCCCCTCCCCCCCACCACAGGCCCCTCCCCCACACCACAGGCCCCTCCCCACACCACCCAGCCCCTCCCCCACACCACCCAGCCCCTCCTCCACACCACCCAGCCCCTCCCCCCACCACCCACCCCCTCCCCCACACCACCCAGCCCCTCCTCCACACCACCCAGCCCCTCCCCCACACCACAGGCCCCTCCCCCACACCACCTGCTCTCTCCCCACACCACCCAGCCCCTCCCCCACACCACAGGCCCCTCCCCCACACCACAGGCCCCTCCCCCACACCACCTGCTCTCTCCTCTTGCACAACCAACGGTTTATTCAACAAATACCAAATAAGCATTTGCCCTGGGCTGGTCTCTGAGCAACTGAGTCATTAAGGGTGCGATGTGGGGCCCTTTTGAGACCACCCAGCAGAGGGCTGGCTCCCGTGGGTGCTCACTGCTGCAGCTCCTCACCTCTCTCTGACTGGCTCAGGTGCTATGGGGACAGAAGCCTGGGACACCAAGCGTGAACCCAGGGTGGCACCCATAGAGCAGTAGGCAACACGCTTGTCACCACTGTGATTGCCTGGCACTTCCAATGGAGCAGACCACAGCACTTGAACCAGGACGGCCGAAGGAGGCTGTTCCTGAGCACACAGCTCCCCTGGATTGTGCAGTGCCCGTCCTGCACAGCTGCACCGTGGCTCTAGCCCTCCAGCCCAGGCGGTCTCTGTAACAGCCCGTGAGAAAGACAAATATATGGCTGACCTCGGGTGAGAAGCCAGGCCTGCTGCTGCCTCAGGACCCCCCCACCCCCAGCCTTGAGGGGCACAGAGAGCACTTCTCATGCCAAAGCTCAGGGGGCCCCTTTCCTAAACTCTCCTCCTGGTGGTCCTGGGGCTCCAGGAATGTGGGCTGTCATTCTCCTCCTGTCGATAGAGCCAGCCCTCGGACCTGTAGCCTCAGGGGATGCATGGGCTGCGGCCTGTCCAAGGCAGCTGATGCTCCCCAGGCACAGGACTCTCCATCCCTGACCACCGAGATCCAGGTGAGTGGAGCCGCCCCATGAGGTCACGGCTGTCCCGTTTATCAGCCGGACTGAGAGTCAGGCCCAACCCCCAAGGCATGCAGGGGAGTTGGCAGGGCCAGCCTCTGAGAATGCCAGGCCGCCAGGGTGAGTGTCTGGGGCAGAGGCCTCCTGGCCAACTCTAACAACACGCTCCGTTGGCAGATTCTCTGCCTCCCGCCAGGTGGCCCATTAACCACCTCAGATGCCACTAGAGCTGTGTCCAGAGCTGGGCTGCGCCAGGCGGGTCTGCCACTTGTTGAGCACTGACTGTATGCTGACACAGTGCCAGGCCCCTCATCAAAGTGACCTGTTGAATGTCCTCACTCCCCGAATTTCAGTGAGACACCTCAGCAAGGTCACGAGATTCATCCCAGGTTGCGTGACAACAAGGCCGGGCCCACCTGTCCTAGAGGCAACAGCGCACAGATCTGCTGCCTCGGGTCCCCTCATCTGCCACCTGGGCAGACATGCCGGGTCTGCAGCCCCCAGCCCAGGGCCTGCCCAGGAAGGAGCCAAGGATGGAGGGGAGGAAGCCGGGCTGAGCAGGGACCAGAGAGACAGAGGCCCAGTGCAGGGCGCCTTGGGTCTCGCCTTCCTCCCTGGCGCGGAGGACCGGTGCTGAGCAGGCAGGTGCGGTCCACTCCCAGGGAGCCTGGAGAGGCAGACGGCCGCACTCGGCAGGACGGGGAACTGTGGGGAGCATCACTTCCAAGCTAGGCTAGCCTTCGGGTCCTCTTAACAAGGCAATTTTGTAAAAACTTGATTAAGCAGCAATGACGACGGCATGTCCACTCAGACCAGGTGTCCGGGCGTCTCCTCCCGACCTCCCTTCTCCCTCCAGCTGCTCACGTTCTTACCGAGCATCCCTCTGCTCCGCTCCCCACAGCCCCTCTGTTCAGACCTCCTCCTTCCTGCCCAGACTCTCAGGGGTTCCGGTCCAACACAAACCTGAGCCCATCTCCCCTGCAAAGTCTTCCCAAGGCCCCCGCTGCCCTCAGGTGGAAGCCTAAACCCATGGCCTCCCCCCACGGTGCCAGCGGCCCCTCTGCAGACAGCGAGGCCTCTGTACAGCTGTTCCCTCTGCCTGGAATGCCCTTCCTGCCACCCCCCGGAGGACCCGCCCTCATCGCCCTGGATCCTCGAG